CCCCCCCCCCCCCCCCCCCCCCCCCCCCCCCCGAAGAAAAAGCGAACAAGACAATTGCCTGAGGAAATTAAATTTGAAAGTATTTGACGGACGGGTGCATTTTTATGCGGATTATTTTAATGCATATATATTTACTTTATATTGTTTGCTTTTGAGTGGTTCAACTGCTCTTGGAAAGATGCAGAAAGTAGTAAAAATTTTCAAAATACCGTATTTACGCGAGTATCACGCGCACCTTTTTTTTTTTAAATCAAAATTGAGAGGATAAAAAGGGGGTGCGCTGCATATTGGGGTACAAATTTGTTTGAAGATTTAAAAGCTTAGGTTTGAATTAAATTTGATTTTATTGGGAAACTTTGGACCGATGTTACGAGAAAAAATGTATTTCAATGGAATTAAATGAAAATTAGTTGAATCCAGAATTAATCATGTTACAGTATATTAAGATTCGGGCGTTATATATTTTTTGCAGTGTTGGAGTACCGTAACTAGAATGGGTTGCGCGTCTTACTCGGGGATACCATTTCACGAAAAATTGACTGAAACCCTGGTGCGCGAGGTACTTGAGTGAATAATGACGTTTGAGGAAGAAGTTCAACTGAGGCAAATTGCCGAGTTGAACAACTGAAAGCTAATCTAATAGTCTTTTAGATTACCCATCATGGGTTTCGCGGTCATCGCAGATTTAATTCTTTCGGTTGGGAAGTCTGCCATCCGATTACAGTCGCATGAATTTTCGGTGCGTTGAAATGGTTGAATTACAAGAATTTGTTTCAGAACCCACATCCAAAAAGAAAAAAAGAAAAGTACTGTATCGGGGTTCAGTAATTGAATATGAAGGAATTTTTCGGACTGGTGCAACACGTGGTGTCGGAACATGGGTTTACTCCTCGCATTTAAATGGTTAAACTGTTCTTTTTCGCAGAACATTGAAGACACATTTCGTACTCTCCATAGCGTTTAATGTCAAGTTTCATGAAGTACAGTATTTAAAAAAAAGTGCTATGCGAATCATTTTTTCACCGGGTATATCTTTGTAAAAAATAAAAAAAAACACGGGTGTCTTGAAATACCTGTACAATATTCTCGTAAAATTATACTCTGAAGGGCGCGAAAATGAAGCAAATTTCATCAGGGTTACTAAGACGAAAATTTAATGCTTTATGACACAAAAGTTGATTCAAGGAACGTAGAAAAAAAAATCAGCGATCTTCTCGCAAGGTTTCTGATTTGATACTGTGCTTGAAAACTTGAATTTCTTGCAGGCGATGTTCGTTTTCTTGCACACGGTTCGTGGAGTTCCTTGGATGACGCTCACACAGGGAAAAGAAAGTTCTATGACCCACTGGGACCAAATCGATTACGGAGAGCAGTTCACTGCTTCCAAGAAATTCATCACCGTTATTCCAATCGTATTGTGAGTAAGAAAAGGAAACAAAAGGACAAAATAATTCAATTTACAATTACAGTTAATTCCGAGATAATTCCAGAATTCCGAGATAATTCCAGGGTGCCATTTTTTCCGGATAATCTAATTTCAAAATGTTCTCGCACTAAACCTGATGAAGTAAATTCTTGTTACAAAACTCTTTGCGACTTGTGAAAAATTCGTTATAATGAGATTCGCGGCTTTTAGTACAGTACATTGAGGACTAATTTTTCTTGTTAAGGGAAAAGGATTATAAAAATGTTTAGAAGAAGTGCTTCTGCAACAATATATGTACACTTTTTGAATAATGTTCAACTCTTTTTGATTAAATAAGGACTGATTTAAAATATGAATTGAACATCTTTTTTTGAATCTGTCCTGCTTAATTTATTTTAAAACGCACTGATCTTAGGAAATATCTACCAAAACATAGAATATATATGTGAAAAAATAACGTTATTTATTTACATCCACATGCTCCTGAAATAGAGCAGCATTCTTTCAAACATACGATTTATTTTGAAAACCTTGGCTACATACTTCCGAATTTCAAAGTTAAGCTAAATAAATTCGGATGAGAACATCAGCTTCGAACTTCCAGCAAAATCATATTTTCTTGACAAAAAATATTAGAATTTGATTTTTATAGCTTTTGAATTATGCATGATTTGCATTTTCTCAGATTTGTGATTATGTTTTTATTGCCCTTGCGCGTAAAGAAAAAAATGTATACCGAGAAAATTAATTGGTTTGTGGAGCCAAAATTTCGATAACGTGTTGAAAAAATCGTCATAATGAGATCGGATGTAACAGGATTTTACAGTGGTTTAAAATTTCTTCAATCAGGTTTTATCAATTCGAGAATAGTTTCGACATGATATTAAAAACATCCTCGCTGAATGTCGAAGTGCATGTGTATATAATTTTTTTGTATAAGCTTTTCATAGAATGAACGCAGAATTTTTACGTAGTATTTTGTTGAATAAATGCTGTTTCGTTTTCAGATATATTTTGACAAGTTACTACACGAACTACGATTCTTTCCACTGCTTTGTAAACTTCATGGCGTTGTTGCTGGTTTTGGTTCCGAAGCTTCAGTCGTGGCAGCAAAATCCGAAGCAGCTGTGAAAAGTTGTGGCTTTTGAGAATCACGAGAGAAGGAGAAAAAGAAAACTGCGTACCGAAGAAAATTTCCCCCTCTTCTCCTTTGTGGTGATGGGGGAAAATGGCGGAAAATTAAGGATACTGAATTTTTTGGAAGGAAAGTTACTCTGTTGTGATGATCGCAAAACGTGGTCCTGTCCACAGGGTTTTGTTGCTTTTTAAAACATTTTAATTCGAAATTTTTGTGTGAATTTGAAATTTCGTTTCTCTGTCTTGCACAGTTGATCCTTTTCCCCGAACGGGATTTTAACTTTTGATTCTACGTTTTTCTCAGCTGGACAAATACGGAGTGCATGGATCAATTCTGTCAGTTTCTTCAATATTTGAGAGATTTCTTATATTGTCTTTTGATGGCGTTTTTCAATGTCTTGCTTTGTGTATTGTTGGAAAATTTCATACCTTCAAGTTTCGTTTATTGCTGTGATAACTGGTGAGCCTTGGATGTGTATAAAGTTGAAATTGTTTAACAAAAATACAACTTTCTCTCATTTTTGCAGAAGTTTCAGGTTGATGATGCTGGCATATTTTGCGAAAAAGAACCCCGCGCACTTGTTATCCCAAACATAAGGTCTAGAAAGTGAGGTGTACTGTACAATTGAATGAAAGAAGTACTGTATGCCCCTACATTTCTAAAATTCTTATTTTGTGTTCTACTCGAGAGCTTGGTACAAAAGCAAATATGGTACAGTACTGTATTTGGTAACCAGATAGCAAGATACCAAGCAATGGCGATCCAAATTAAGGTCATTTCATGCGAAGTTTTAAAATGTTAAACTTGAAAAATTTGCAGGTTCAATTTTGGCACTCAATTCAAGACTGACTTTTCTATATTGTGAGGGGATTTTATGGGTTACAGACAATTCAAGACAAGGCCAATGTGAGACTAGTCCAATCTGAAATAAGACCAATCCAAGACAGGGACAGTTGGACACAGCAAAAATAAGACATAACCTTCACAAACATCTCTTCTCTTTCAGTTTCTTCTCAACATTTTTTAAACCTGTATAACTTATAATTTGTCACATATTCTTAATCACATGTGGACGAGGAAAATTAAAGCAAGGAGAAGTTGGTTTTTCAAAGAAACCTGAGAAAAAATACCTTGTGATGCTCATGGGTCATTGCATCATATTATCTCACAGTTCTTACACATAATTCAATAATCATGAATCTGAACAGGCATGAAACATGATACAGAGCTGATGCAGCTCACATGGATGTCTAAAAATGTTTTGAAATGTCTCCAATAGTCTCTGTCTTCAAAAAGTTGTCTTGAATTGACCCTGTCTCAAATTGATCATGTCTCAAATAGTCCTGGTCTCAAACTGTTTCTCACTTCAATTGTCCTTGTCTGTATTAAACTGTCCTATACCTGTATTTTATATATGGCTAGCAGCTACAGTTGAACCTCTTTGAGTCAAATTTTTAAGGACAAGGAAAAAAATTGTCTTGGGGAGGTTTTGAGTTAAGAAAACAAATAGTTTTGCTTCGAGGAGAAGTAAAAAAAAATTGCTGGAAATTTCAAATGAGAATATTATGGGGATAAACTGCTTCTTAATGAGTCTGCAGCCTGCTGAACTTGGAGGCAGGGGTTCATTTGTTCAATTAGTCTTTCACTTCCTTAAGATGCATAAAATCATTTGTTTTTTTCATTTTCTCTTTCATATTTCAAGTAAATAACAACAAATAGACCTCAGAAAATTCAACTTACCAAGGTTTGAGAGGAAAAGACTCCAAGTTCAGGAGGTTTTTAAGGCAATGTTTCTACTGGAATTCAGACAGGGACTTGAAAAAAATTTGACTTAGGCAGGTATTCAACTTGGAGAGGTTCAACTGTTCAATGTAAGTGGTGAGATGATAGGAACTGATCAGTTTTTGGAAATTTATTCTGATTAGATACAATCTGTGGAGTGCTGAAGTGCAACTGTACATTGAACATTGCCAGATGGAAACTTGCTAGCTCTAGTAAAGAAATAGAATTGCATTTCAAAACATTTGATTTCCATTGGGACAAAAGTTCTGCACATCCATCAGGGCTGTCCAATATTAAGAAAGCCTGGGTTGTTTTTCTGAGTATCCTTGTGGCATGCAGAAAAACGCAGTCTTTGCTTGAGCCGTATTTCATCTATGAAAGCTAATTCACTGAATGTCAGTCTGTCGCACTTGTGATGTAATTCCCCTGAAGCAGATTTGTCCAGCATAGGATAATAGCCCTTGGAATTTCCATAAGGTTTATAAGATGGTGGCAAATAAGAAGCAGGAAACTCTTGAACTTTGCACACGTCAGCAGCATTTCTTCTTAGACACCTGAGTGCATCCAATTCAGCGTTCATCCTGGAACTACCAAAACTTTCCAGTTTTTGTTTGAAATCTTCATAAAACCTGTCATAAAGCATATGATCAGCCAGGTTGAGTGAGTGCAGGTTCTGCTTTTGTTTCTCTGTTAGCTGTTCTAGAGGGTGATCACTCTTTTTGTCCCTCTGGTTAGCTGCAAAACTGAGAATGTCCAGCAGACTCCAGTTCATTAGATGTCTCAGTAAAATGAGGGACTCATCCATGAACTCCGTTATCATGAAGAGATCATAAACAATGTCAAGCATGTCCAGGTGTGCATTGATCTTGGCCATATTGCCCATTAATGTCCAATGTAATCCCAAGTCTCTCATCATTTGGTTCACTCCCAGTGGGGCATTGGTATGCCATAGTCTTTCTCTGAGGCTTGTTGGAGGGTTCTCCAGGAATTGTTGGAAAGTTTTCCCAAAGACTTTCCGCAGTTCATAGTAACTATTGAAAAAGAATCCGATGAAGTTAATCCTGAATGGATATTCAAGAAAGACAATCTTCAATGTATCAGGGCACCATCTTTGAAGGTGAAGAAATTAAAATCTCCCTTTAAATTGAATTCCTCCACTTTCAGAAAATGCATCAGAATTCCACCTCCTCAAGCTTAAGTAATGTATAACTGAAAATCAGATCCCTTTTCAAAATTAGATTTTTTAAGGTTTCAGGAAACTCAACAGGATCAATTGTGGATTTTTATAATGCGAGTTTTTGTTTAGGGAATAACTGAAGAACTTTACCTTTTCAGTTCAAAGAAGGAACTGATCGTATGGTATTCATCAACTTGAAAGGGAAAAGTTAAAGAAATAAGTCACTCAAATATTGATCTGACTAATACTGTATGTGGAATCTTTTTTTTCTCAATACAAAATATAGTAGTACACCATTTAATATCGTACAGGCGTCTTTTCCAGAGTGACCCTCTGTATTAGAAATATATCTTTTTTTGTCAATAACATAATTTTAGACTTAGCAAATTAAATATCAAAATAAACTTCAATTTTTCTACATTTTTCCTCCACTCTCATCAAATACTCACTTGTAAATGGATTCAAAGGCGTGATCAGGATTTCGCAGGATAGTGAACCATTTTGCACTTCCAGGAACGTAGGATTGTATATCTTCTGGTCTGATGGTCGTGTGCAGACAGAATATATCAAATTTTGCCTCACTTTCACAAGGTCGCAATGCTCGCGGGGGAACTGCGAATTTAGTTACGTGATTCCCGGATTTTGGAAGCACAAAAGTTAGGTTTTGTTCTTCGCCGTATCTCAGCAAAATATTTTGTACTGTTGAACTTCCGGTCTTGTGAGTCTTGAGGAACACCATGGAATTCACTGGGTCTCCCCTAGGACCAAACTGATCATCAAACTGTTCCACTAGCTTCAGTTCCTTCTGGCAGCCAAGGTACCACATGTCAGGAGGATCCAAAGTTTCTCTTCGAAAATGTTGAAGATACAGTATTTTTTATTTTTTTTTTTTTCTGAATTCAGGCTGATTTCTCACTGGTCGTCCTGAAGATAGGCCATGAATGCGCTTGGCAAAGCCCTCGAGAAAAACCTTTCTGCCAAATAATCAATTTCAATCAGCAATGAACACAAAGCGCAAATTGTTAAAATCACCAGACAGACGTAACTCAGCCTCATGTTTTCCAGGCACTGTTCCAGGTTGGTTCAAGTTACAGCGACGTGTTCCAAATTCTATAACAAAAATTGATAAATGCGTGAACAGATACAGACGGACAAAGTGGTGTGAACTGTCACAGCCAGCTGTGACAGTCAACTATACTCGTCTCGACTCATCCAGGAAGCAGAAAACGTGCCCATAAATAATGAATGAGACCTGCTTATCAGTTTTCAGTGGGTAACAGGCACACAAGTGAAAGTGAAACTTTATAGCAAATTCATACAAGGAGTTTTTCTGAAGTCCTGTGAGTTGCCAACTTGATTTTATTGCTGGAGTATGAAACCCGGAGAATCAAATTCCCCGCCACTTTGGTTTGATCTTCAGAAGATTTTTGAAAATTTGAAGTACAGTTAAAGAAATGTTTTTAGGGACCTCTGATGTGAACCAACGAGGAGCATCATAATTTTCTCAAATCGAATAAGTTAATAACAGGTACATAAGAAAAATTAAAACTTTGTAGCAAATTCAAGTAAGGAATTTTTCAGAAGTCGTGTTAGTTCGCAACTTAATTTTATTGCTGGAGGATGAAACCCGGAGAATCAAATTTTCAAATCATTATTGCATGTAGGAAGTTCAAAAAATATTTTCAAGGACCTTCAATGTCAACCAATGAGGAGCCATCAGGAATAACCAAATTAAATGCATGAGGATTATACAACAAAACTCTAGGGACCAGAAAACAATTTTTTGGGACCCCTATAATATGAAAAGAGAACCCTAACGGACCTGAACTAAAATTTGTTGTACGAAGAATATGATTTTAGGAGATAGTCCACCATAAGGGGGTAATCAGCTCATAAGCAAAATTAAAACTTGATAGTAAATTCATAAAGATGTTTTTCATACATCTTGCAAGTTGGCACCTTAATTTTCTTCCTGTAGGATGGAAGCAAGAGAATCGAAGTATCCCCAAAATTAACTCATGTTCACCAAACTGGTGTGAAAATTAACAAAATAGGAAGCATTGCATCTTTGTAGAACAGCAATGAACTGCTGAAGAAAAGAAGGGATTTTTAATACAATTGCTCCGACTTCTTTTTTCTTTTGAAAGTTCTCTAGAAGCTAGAACAAAAAATAAAATGCTGTCAAACTGCTCAGGACTCGGTTTTTAATGCATCCGCCGAAACCAGGAGATTTTGGCACAATATCAAGCACAAAATGCTTCCATAATACCCATTGGATGGAGCATTGAATCACATCACCACACAAATCTCACTATGCGTTTCCACGGTCAAAAGGTAACTACTATTGGTAAGATTTCAAACTTCAACAAGCATCAACACGTTTTCAACAAGCCTCCTACAAACGTTCAACTACAGATATTTTTGAATTCCGCTTCTCGCGCAAAACAACAACTCTTTTTCGTTTTGCGCTTGAGATTTTCCCGATAACCCATGGAGATCATGAAGTATTCTTTTTTTTCATTTTCAGAAGGCGGAAGGTTTTTTTCTCAAGATTCAGTTCCCTCGGGCCTGAGTCTTTCTTTCAATAAGCTCACGACTTCGGTTCTTCCGAAGGACTGTGCGTCGTCCAAAGCAGAATTTCCCCATCTGTTGAGAAAGAAAGAAAAAACACGGGGCACCATTAGAAACACTGTATTTGAAACAAAAGAGGTTCTTCCCACTTGAATGTCCAGGGTTAATTTACTTTTCAGTTGCAAGGGTGTCACTGTGAAGAGATTTATTTTCAAATTGGCAAAGAAATAATTTTTCACTCGCTCAAGAGGGGATTCCAGCGACATCTGTCTGTCCTTTCAAATATCAAGACCAGACTTCCAAAAAAAAGGAAAGAACCCAAAATTCAGTTGAACTGCAATAACTCAGCCCTCTCTGTCAAATATGTACTGTTTCCCTTTGTTAATTTTTTCAAGTCCCTCTCTACATTTTGACACATGGATTTTAACTCTAAGGTTCTAACTCTTCAAAACTCAATAATTACAATTTTTGAAGGCTCTCCTCTGCAATTATTTTCTTGACACAGGGAAGAGAAAATGTATTGAAAAATATAACTTGATGTATTTTGAAAGGAAGTGAAAAACTAATTTGGCACATGAACCCTTGCCTCAAAGTTTGGCATTCTGTCAACTCATTTAAGAAGCAATTCGAAGCCCAGAATATCACCAGTTACAATGTCTCTTAATTATTCCTTTCCTTCAACAAAAATTCTCCTTTCCCTGATTCAAATGTTGTACTATAGCTGGACCATTGATGTTCGACTCGAATAGGTTCAACGGTAACAGCGTACGGATCACGGAACTAAATCCAATCCCCACCTGTCCTTTAGCGTGACATCAGCTTTACAGCAGTCAACGAGAAATTTGACCAATTCCACGTGACCCTCACAAGCAGCCAGGTGTAAAGCAGATCTGCCGTCGTAGTCCTGCAAGTTCACATCTATTCCCGAGAGAAAATGTCGTCTGATGGCTGAAATATCCCCAGCAGCAGCAGCGAAAAGTAAGTTGACGATTCTTAGCCCGAGAGAGTCGTACTTGTGTTTCCTGGGATCCTTGGATCCAGCTCTGCTTGGCTGCGTTTGAAGAAGATCATCAAACCTAAAAAAACGGAGGACGAAATTTGATATTTTATAAATTTGAAATTCGAATTCGAAAGGGTTGAAGAAATGAAGACGTCTTTTTTCTTAGTGTTGCCGTCTTGATCCATATTCATAATCTTGCTTCTTATGCCTTTTTTGGTCAGGAAAAACATAAATTTACTCGCATGAGACAAAGCTAATTCCGAATCACAACTCTTAGAGAACGGTTAAAAAATGTTTACACTCCACAAAGCAGAAAAAAAAACTCAATAAGCCTAATCGAGTTGCTCTCAAAATGTGAAATGCTCCTTCAAGCACAAACAAGTAAGTCGCAAAATCCTCCCTAATCGCTGAATGTGGCTTCTCCCAACTCTATTTTTCGCCAAGTGTAACAATTGACGAATCCTTGGAAGAGTGCTGATTTGAGATGTGGATATTCGCGCATTTCCGCGCTAAAAAGAGCAAAAAACATATTCGTTTCCACACAGATTCATCCCACTCAAAATATATTACATTAGAAGAAATGAACGAAGATGTATACAGTAGTAATGCTTCTTTAGCTATTGCTGTGTTGTCCCTTGTTAATTTTCTTGAAAAAAAAATGGCAGACCGAAACATTAAACGAGTCTTCTAAAACGAATAATTCGAATTTATGAATTTCGACTCTTATAAAACGTATGAGATCAAAATTACAGTGGAATTCATAAAATTATGCCATCTGACGTTCCTTCAAATGAATGTTTTTTTTTCTTAATGAAAAGCCCCTCGCGTGAAATTTAATTTTCTATACTCATGCATAATCATAAAAATAAGACAAGAATGTCCAAACAGAGTCTTACTCCACCCATAACTCGAAAATGTGTTATCATTTCACACTATGCAATGCCTTTTCTTCACCTAATTCCTTCGTTCATTTTTTCGCGCTTATTTTTGCGCCTCCAACTTCTTTCCTGCAAGAAGCGCAGCGTTATCTAGCCTAATTGCACTGAAAAGAAAGCGATAACGTGCAGAAGCAAAAGCGATAGCACCAAAAGTAAAAATTATTTTATAAACTTGAAAAAAATTCAACCTGTGGAAGTTGTAGACATTGACGAGCTCCTTGCAGAACTTGAGTCCCTTGTACGAATTCCCCATGGGATCCAACGGCGGCGCAAACGTGGCCAGTCCCATGACATTCGGCACCACAACCATAGTTGCCCCAGAAACCCCGCTTTTGGCGGGCAAACCCACAAAAAACGCAAATTCCCCGGAGTAATCGTACATGCCGCAAGAATGCATCAAGGTCAACACGTCGCGAACAGCCTCGGCCTCAAGCACTTTTTCCCCGGTCGTCGGACACACTCCGCCATTGGCTAGAGTGCCAGCGATAACGGCCAAAGACTGACAGTTGACTTCGAAGGAGCAGAGTTGAAAATAAAAGTCCAGCACGTCCTTGACTTTAACCTTTTCCGGGAAACAATGGTTGTCCATCAAGTGGAACGCGATGGCAAAGTTCCGGTTGCCGGACGACTTCTCAGAGAGGAATACGGAGTTGTTGAACCCGATTGGATCGTTTCCTGCCATCGCCTGAGGGCAGACACGAGTAGCAAAAGGTGACACACAAGAAGGGACATCTGACTTGAGATGGTTTCTCGTTCCTGAATGACTTCATGAGAAAATCTTGTGGGCCCGAAAGTCTCGCGGGGAACGAAAATCGGTAATCTCTCGCGAAAAGTATTATCTTCTGGTAATATTTACGGCATTTCTGTTCTCTTGCTCTTCTAAAAAAAAGGGGGTTCTAAAATTAGTCCAAGTGTATTAAAACAAAGGCCTCAGAACATGCAACTGAGACTTTTTGGAGCTAAGATGTTCTGGGTTTGCGAAGACTAAAAATAATATTAGTCCTGGGAGAATTCAGAAATGGACATGAATCCACTTGGAATAACGAAGTAACCTTGCTTCAAAAGAAAACATGCGACATCTAGGAAAGAAAAAAGGAACTCATTCTTTACCGTCTCGGACGCTCAGGCTATGTTCGTGTCGTCAGAAAATTTCCCCAAGAAAGCGAAAAATGTTAGTCTTCCTCTTGTAAATGTCCCCAGTGTAGGAATCCACTGTTCGATCAATTGTTCGCTTATCAAAAAATTTCTTATAAGCATTGAGCCATCAACAGCACATTTTGAAAGCAAAAAAATATACTTCACGCAATAGAAAACTTGTTACTTCACTTCTACAACTTTCTTCAAAGCGTTCTCATTGCATATTTACTTTCCGGGCATAGTTGAATTTAAAATAACGGAATTTTTTTTTTTTTACAACGCGAAGACATTTTTTTACGTTTGTGGGATAAAAGCGGGGCACTAAGAGGATTAAAACTATAATGCCTGAAATATTACCTTGAGATATTGACACACGAAGTCAAACTTGGTGGCGGAATCCATTTCTGGGTGGACAAGAGCCAGTATAACCCCACAGACAACAATGGCACCGGAATTAATCATCGGATTGTGTGGCTTGGAGTTGTAATCCAGGGTGAGACTATTGAACATTCTCCCCGATGGCTCCTTGCCAACATATTTGTGAACAGCCGTTCTCCCGACCTAGAAAGATGTAGCAAATACTATATACAGTACATGCTTCACTCCAGTTAGAACGGCGTTTCTTGTTTTTAGAAAAGCCTTCCTCGGTTACTCCTGTGCCATCACTGTAAGAATGCGAATCTTATTGGCATAGTCTTACACCAGACGCCGTCTTACATAAACCTAACCCAACTGATACACACCTAACATGGCTGGATCCAAAACATTGGTTGAAACAAAACAAACATTAAAATTAAATAAATTGAATTTATACCCATAGATCCATAAATCAAACATAACCCAGCTCCCAAAAAACCTAGCCAAGGCATAACCAATATAGTTGAAGAATTGAAGCATTTACCAAAACTCACGCCACAAGAAACATATCACAGTACTGGTAAATCGCATGTGCTGAAAAAGAGTACCAATGCTGTATTTACTTGAGTACCATGCACCCTCATGTAAGATGTGCACCATGGGTTTTCAGTCAATTTTTGCTATACAGTACAATAATATTCCCCAGTAAATTTTGCATCCCATTTCTAGTAACTTTTTAACTGCAAGTTTTTAAAAAGCAACACCCAAATTTGAATTTAAATGTGATTTGATCCCAAATTCAATCAATTTTAAAATACTTCCATTACAGTAAGTTTTCCTATCGAAATTGGTCCAACTGACTCATTAGAATCAAATATAATGCACACCTCAACATCTAAAACGTTTTAAAATGTACGTCTATCTATGATGCACACCCCCTTTTTCCCTCCCAATTTTGATAAAAGGTACAGATGGTACTTATTTGAATACAGTGAATAAAAGAGGAGTAAAATTAAAAGCTCATCACAGACCATCAAGGTTTGTAAAATTGTGCACATGATACCACAGTGAGGCTGGGCACCCCAAAGAAATATGTGAACTGGGATTTTTTACAATCAAAAAATTCCCATGCTGACATGAAGCAAAAATGGGCATTTAAAATGTGACCCTCAGTCGATTCAAGATGTGGAAATTTTCTGATCAAGCACAAGTACAAGATTACTGGGGTAACTTAAACAAGAGAGCTGTCAGATACTTACATTGCATAATTTTGAAATTATTTTTACGTTTTCTTGAATGATGAGTGAATAATACGTGACCTGGATACATAGCATACACTAAAATCTGCATGCTCATGTGCAGATGCATTGAGCAAACCTACAAGATTACACACAGACGTGTATCATATAAAATGCCTAAGTCAGCACAAACATTTTAAAAGCTATGTAAAAAATGTACTTATACAGCCCAGCACCCCTGGCTTATTGTTCATAACTGAGTTCATAGAGGGGCAACAAGTTTACCTCATTCAGTGCAAGTCCGTAGGTCAGAGGTTTACTGCAAGACTGGATTGTGAAGTTGATCTCACTGTCCCCTATATGGTGCCTTTGTCCGTCAATAGTACACAGACTAACGCCCCAATAATCCTTGTCCATCTTGGCCAACTGTGGAATATACGAAGCCGGGAACCCGTCTTCCACATTCCGGCACTCCCAAAAAATTTTCTCTATCGTGGTTCGCAAATCTGGGAAATCGGGGATTCGAAATTGGTTCCTCAACGCTCGGGATAAAAGTACTAAACTCCCGTCGAGCACTTTGCAAAACTGGTCCTTATCCAGAACCAGGGACTTGATCGATTCGCGATTCGTAGACATTCTCACTTCTTCCAAACGTTCGAGAAACTGACGAAGACGAGGGTCAGTCATTTGTAAACCCGTGGCTTTGATGGCATCGAAAATCGTGATCATTTTCACTTTGTCGTCCGCTGTCTTGAAAGCATCAAAGATTATGGTTTCGAGATTCGGCAGCATGGGGAGGTCCATGTAACTGAAAAGGAGAAAGAAAATTACCACAAGTTCGGTTCGGGAGTTTATAGATGATACCTCTTCTAACACTGACATTTTCCAGTGAAATGTCATCACTTCCCACGCATTTCACAGAAGATCATAATCATATCAAACATTCTTCAATCTATATGCGGTGTTCAAAGAATCATTGCTCAGTTAAGACCTCAGTATACTGCATGAAGAATTTTCGTTCTGTTCCTTACAACGAAAAATTGCTTCAACGTGAATTACTCAAGAGGTCACCGTGAATCACAATCAATTCAATTTTACCCCGAGGCCCATCATTTCATAAAAACATCGAAACCTTGAATAACATAACACAGCAAGTGATTTCACCAAAACAGTATCGAGTGAATGAAAGTCAAGCTTGGAAGTACTGTACTTCATCTTGATTCTTTCCCCGGAATATACTTTTTCCGTTCCTGAACATGAAATTCTGCTAACACATGTCACAAGCAAACACACGCGGGACTTCATCTCGAAGAATTTGCTAGACTCGCCTACCCAGTCAATTTACAAGAAAAAGATACGATTGATGTAATTTGTGGCAAATGATTGCAAATTCTTCACTTCTCTTAATCACGCTTGGAATTCGGACACCTCTCGTTCACGAAACACTCACATGGAAGGTTTAGCCACGCCGGTGTCGGTGGCATTCGAGAAAAACTGGGCAGCAAGAGCAGCATTTCTTTCACCTCGACTCGAGGCATACGGGTTGCGTTTTTGATTATGGATACTCCGCTTATCTGTCTCATCATCGCCATCAGCCGACGACCGCCGATTCGGAAGAGCAGTGTGAAGTTTTCTCGCAGATGCCACTGATGGTGCACGAGGTCTTCGCACCGCGCGACACAGTTCTTGGGCTAAACGCCGCATTCTCCTCACATATGACTTCACTCGTCCGCATAACAAAGATCACTTTACGTAGAATTGACTAGATGAAGAACAGGGCACTATCACGGGAAGTCTGTGGAGGAAAAGACTTCTTCGTTAAGAAACCGAAAAACTCGCCTTGAACCTCGCCCAGTCGCACCAAATAGTAAAAAAAATAGAAGTTACCACTGGCAAGTTTTAAAAAAAGGTGTACCACAATCGGCAGGGGTACTCAAAAGCGAATCATTTTCTCAAACGTGGAAATTTGAATTGCGCGAAAGACATTGCATGTTAAAAATTCGCATGGCCTCGAGCTATTCCACTGAACTGTCTTCAGTAGAATACTTCATCTTTAATTGGAATTTAATTTTGTTTAAAGGTTTCTTCTTTCATTCCCAATAAAGTGCCAAGTATATGGCTTTGGACTGTGTTTTAAGACCCCGGGATCCATGAGTTTCTCACTGTACGCATCTACAGTATTCGGACTAGCCTTGGTTATGATGAAAGAAAACTGAAGAGATATCATTTTACTTCTACGAAGGAGGTTCCATTCGTTTTTTTGTGGAAAATCTACCGTGATAAATTTCGAAAGAATCAAGATCAAATTCAAGGACGACCTCCGGACTGCTAAAAGAAACATCATCTTTGTCAGGGAAATTACTTAAGGCCACACGGGATCAGAACATCACATATACCTGCAAAAATAATATTTCCAGCTGAAAAATTCACGGTATAGAGAATTTGAGATCATCCGATAAAAACAAATTTTACAAGTAAATACGGTTCATGAGGATGTCGCTGCTAAAAAAGAGATTCAACAAAAAACTGACCCATTACTTTTCCACGCACCAAAACCAAAACCCGTGAAAAAAAAGAAAAACCAATGTTTGTTTCCATTCAATAGACGTAATATTGTTCAAACCGTAGTAAAACGCATGCAGGCAAACCAATGCAACAATAAGCGCACTTTCGAAAAAACATTTTAAAAATCCAGATCTCCCGCCCAATCGTCGAAGCCATCTGAAAAAAAAAAAACAGAAGAAAGTTTGCGTTTTTAATAGAAATTCTTCATCTCATTTAAACAAAAATTTCATCACCATCATCTGGGAAATCCAACTTTGTCTGAATCACAGCTGGTTTATCTGCAGGGGCGCTCATTTCCGCCCGGGAACGCTTAGAATTACTGCTGGAGTCTTCGCTATCAGCTTCCGAGGACGAACGCTTCAATCGCGCCATTACAGCTTCAATTCAAAATAAATCGTCATATAAGATGGGTTGATATGATGGGCTTATCATACATTTTAAAGGCACAGGTATTTAATCGTACATGCAAAACAAGCCACAAATGTTTCCACAAAAAAATGAGTCATAACTCATATTCAAAGTCCAATATAGTACATGCCGTAAGAAGTGCAGTTACAAGTAGACTCTCTCTACGATTTTCTCTTTATAATTATTTTTTTGGTCCCATACGCGTTTTCCGTATAAAGAGGTTCTCTAAAACAAATTCTTTTCGGGCTCTTGACTTTCGATGCAGAGAGGGTCCTCCTGTACAAGTTATGCACGAAAGACATTTTACTCTTGATAACTACACTTTTTTTCCGCTTCACCAGATGACAATCTCAATACAGTACAGGCAAAAAAATACGAGGCTCACCAGGAATCACGTTATTCGGAGGCTTCGGGACAGTGATAGAGGACAAAAGTGAGACTTTCGAAATTCGCGAAGCACCATGAAGATCATTCGTATTGGAAGCCCTGCAACGAAAATAAAAACAAGAACCAGGCAATAAAATATAATGCAAAAAAAGCACGTCTGAAAATGGTCCGATTTTTACTCACAACGATTGCTGGCAACTCTGTCGATTCTTGTCGACGACTTTCCACGCAGATTCGGCGTCCCTCAGCAACCGTTTGAAATCGAAATCCTCGACCCACTCGCGGAACTGAATCCCTGAGACGGTCTGATGTGCGACGACGCACAAATAGGCGTCCTTTATATTCACCGTCGGCTGCCCCCAAGAAGAAACCACAACTTGCACATTTTTCGCGACTATCACGCTTCCGGCTTTGAACACTTGTCCGCGAGATGAGATCACATTCGGGTCAATCCAACCATCCATTTCTCCTGTCATGGAATGTCAAAGGAACACATTTCTAATTTCAGTACGAAACAACGCAATTTTGTCGCTAACCCTGACAACTAAGAAACTAAACCCATCGAAAACCAAAAATACCCATCTGAATTACTTTCAAAACTAACAAAAATCTTCTTCTGAACAAGTTTGATTTCGTCACCAACTTCTTCAGAGAATTGAACTTGATCAAGCAAACATCAGGTAATTCAATCTGAAATTATTTTTGCTTCGGATCTGGTTTCTTATACGCGCACTCACATGCACATTTTGAACAAAAAAATAAACTCACCAGTGGGATCGTGAAAGGCAGCATCGGAACCATTGTATTCGACAGACTTGACACGGAAACAGACAGCAGGGTACTTCATCACTGGAACTTTTTCCCAGCCTTTGCGTTGCGATTCACGACACAAATGAGCAATATTGAATTTTTCAATCAGTGGTCTGGCATCAGGATATCGGGTCATCATCGATTTCCAAACACCCTCACAATCGAAAAACTGACACCCGCTTCTTTGAAAATTTTCCTAAAGTAAGACACTCATAAAAATTACGTGCGACGGAATAATAAGTCAAGACCAACCGGTTTCTGACGCACAGAAAATGGTCTGCAGAAATCAGCGGAAGGGTCTTTCACCTGTAATTCGAAGGATATTGATTATTTAAAATCCATCATCAAAAATTTCGGAACAGAATCAAGAGCTTACTTCGTTTTCCACAAACGGTTCCCGGTTAACCAGAGATTTTCCGGATGCTTTTGCATTGTCACAGCTTCTGAGGATTTCATCCAGATTCAACTGAGACATGAACTCATCAGCATCATTTTCTAAACACGCTTGCGTGGTCATTATGACATTTCCTAATAAAAGGAAAATGACGAACATATAAAAAGTGAGAAACACTGTTAATTCTACGCATGATCATATTTCGGATGAAAAATTTCAGTACGCATTACAAAAAAATACTGAAACAAATAATTTCATCCGGTAGCCTTTTGAGGACGAACTTAATTATGTAACTAAAAACGAACTAAAATTTTGAGGAGCAACTAACGTGTAAGCCGCGAAAGTTGCCAACACTGCATTTCTTCCCACAGCCGAACATAAAAAAATAAACGAAAAAAAAAACCACAGGCACAGAGTTTTCGACGAATTTTCACGCATGTCATGAAACCTTTTCGGGTTCATTCGCAGTTTCCTCTTCACCGTCTTTGGATAAAGACCAAGAAACACTTGCTCGCGGTTTCGTCTCCTGTCTTTTGTGATATATTTGAATAGGCCGAGAAAACCCCCGCTTCTCGTGCTTAGGACATGCGAGGAACTCCATCTTTTTGAAGCCAACTTGTCCGACAAGTAGGTCGGGAAATTGTTGTGGTCGGATTTTTAGCTTTTTGTACGTTTCGAAGATTTCCGGCTGGTAAAGGAAAAAATAAATCCGACAATCATTACCAATGTACATGAATACTGAAAAACGTAGCAAGAAAATTAAACCGCACACTAAAACAAAATCTTCAAGAATCCTGAAAAAAGGGACTAATGGAAAAACTTACCGTGATCTTCTTCACCTTCCCATAGGTTGACCAAGGCTGAGGTTCCAAAATTAACTGACCGCCGGGTTTCAGTTGCTTAAAAGCTCGCTTGAATAAACGCAGGAGTCCCTCGTCGCCGAAATTCAAATGAATCCATTTTGTTACACTCAAGCAAAGAATAGTGTCGTACACTTCAGGAACAGCCTCTTCAACAACTTTGTCGCTCTCGCCAACGTAGTTTTCCTATTAGGAAAAAATGAGTACAGTATAAAAAAATGAAGTAGTCATAAAGAGATTTCTAATCTCCTCGCGAAGTATTCAAAACAAAACCATCGTAATTTAGATTCACAAGATAATCAAATCACGTAATAATCAAATCACGTAAGAGTATTTCCTCTTATTTTTACGAAGCACAGAAGTCTTTTACTAGAATCCCACCAATATGAAAACCTCAACAAAAAAGTGGTATTTATCGTCTCAATTTACCCTCCGCTCTGTCTGTGTGCGACTATTATAAATTATACATTCCCCACAAAAATTTGATGCTTCATGATGTTCAATAATGCTCAATACAATCATTTTCGAAATTAAAAGTTATTTGAACTATCCATAAGCCTAGTTTTTCTGAAGTCGCGAAAAAACACACGAACTTCGCTCTTCAAAAGGGAAGATGAGCCAAAAGAGAGAAAATCACAAACCGAAATGAAGCCGATGTTACAAGGAAACATTTCGTCTCCTTTCGGCGTCTCCACGTGGAATCCAGCCGGTATCGTCAGATGGGGTCGAAGCGATCCATAGAGGTGCTTCATTCCTTTAGGAAACTCCATCAATGCTTGGGAATCGCTGGGAATCTTGACGTAATGCTTCAGGTTCTTTCGAGCCACTGTGATCAGGTGTTGGTCAATATCGACACCAATTATGCGAACTGGATTGAAATCTTTGGCAATCGAGTAAGTTATGTGCCCAATGTTGCAGCCGATGTCAAGACAAATTTTGCGATCAAACCAGCTTTTATTAAAATAATTCAAGCGGATATCAAATCCCGTCGGATTCCGTTTTCCATAGTATCTGTTATAATTTCCAAACCTGAAAATAAAAACACTATTAAAAAGCGAGCTGACATAGAATGGAAAATGTTCTTACTGAAATCTGTTTTTCTTTTTTTGTGCCGGCTGGGAAACCTGCGGAATAGACTTGCAGGGGCTCACACTAAGCCTTTCCTCCTTTGCGACAACAGGCAGAACAATATCAGGCCTAAAAACACTGCATTCAATTTCATCTCCAGACTTTCTTTCCTCCGACTCAGAAACAGTCTTCCGACGCTTGCCGTGACGAGGACGATGATGTTTCCCACTACTGTGCTTCCTTTTTCGCTTTGGAGCGGAATCACTGCTTGACAGAGAACCATTCTCATCAGAGCTGTTTCCATCATCTAGTTGTAATGGATCTGCGATATTTGGCGGGACGACGACCTCCACTCGGCTGGGGCGGGCGGGGGTATCCATCGGCGAGGTGAGAGGGGTAGCATTGGCTTGTCGGTTCAGAGACTCATCAGTGAGCAAACCTTCTAGGCCAAGAGGGTCAGCCGGGAACCGGGCACTCCTCGTGGCCTGCATCGCATTCCCACTGTTACGATTTCCGCGACGAGCATGATGCCGTAAATCCCACGCAGACCAAGAGCCATGCCGACGTGAACGGGCTTTGCGGGGGCTGTTATCATTGACAGAGATGTGTCTGTCTATCCGCGTGCCGGAAGGAATAACGCTCGAGGGATTTGGAAGTTGTGCGATTTTGAGATCTGAGGCCATAATTCAATCGCAAAAAAAGGGGGGGGATCACGACGTCTTCTATAACATCACCGAATCATACTCCCTGAGCGAAAAACGCTGATGAAAAATACGGACCATTAAAGTATACAATTCGCACGCACACACAACATCAGAGCACGTTGTCACAACGATCATTCAACCCACTGCTCGCTCCCGACCCGATTTGAAGTCAGGCCGATTCAGAGCCATTATACTTCACCCAAACCCCATTGAAGACAATAATCACAATCCTTGCGCACTCCTTAACGTCAGCTAGCGTCAACACCCTAATCCTAAAATTCTTCGAAATTTCAACGACCAGCACATCCTCCAGAACTACAGGCGATTTCCGTCGGGATGTCACGACGAACCCGGACGAAGAGATTTATCTCTTTTTCCGAGTTATCCTAGATGTCAGTATGTTTTACGCCCTTCCGAACTTAATGGGGCCCCGCTTGAAACAAAGAGCGACTTCTAGGAGAAGATGTCCAAAGCTTCCACCAAGACACGGCTATGCCAATCATGATCTAAGGAATAATCGGAGGGGCATGCGTGACGAGGAAGGAGAGGCACATTAACTCTCCCGCTGCTGACGAGCACGCGTGTGTGATCGTCTGCCGAGTGCTTTTGACTGGTGCAGAAATAGACAAGTTATTAGAGTTGACTTGAACCCCCTGACTTACACTTCCTCATTATACCTGGTGATGAAAAACATGGGTGCTTGTCAGTGCTGGAAATTTACCTGGTCTTAGTTTTTCATGATTACTGTATCAATTCCAGTATGATTGTAATCAATTGCTTGTTTCGGGAAGCACTTTTATCATCGCAAAGATGGAAAAAATGTCATGCGAGAAAAACAAACTTCTGAAAAAGTCATGAAGATTCATGTTCAATTCTGTTGACCATGACGACCCGATTGCCGCGTGTGTCTCGCATCTGCATTTTGCTCCCTATCCTCTTGATAGTGTATTTGACGTTTTACTCCCGGAGCTCTTCAAATTATGAATGGAAGCCAGGCGTTCATCTCAATTGGACAGCATTCCAGTAAGTACCGTGGATTTCCTTTAAAATTGTTAGTGTGATTCTTCCCGTTTAATTCCTATCTCAGAAGCCGTTGTCCCGATCTCGAATGGAAAGACATTGAGCCATGGGTTTTGCCCAAGGAAGCATCTTGCCCAAAAACGAACCACGTCGGCTTTCTGAAAACCCACAAATGCGCGAGTACAACTTTGCAGAATTTATTCCTTCGGTACGCGAAGAATAATCAATTGAACATTGTTCTGCCGAAATATGGAAATTACCTTAGTCGGAAAATTCCTTTTGACTTCCACATGGCGTATTGGCATCGTCTGCCGAAAGATGGTTTTCATGTTGTTGCCCACCACATGATATGGAATTTTCAGGCTGTTTCCAAACTTCTTGGCCCTGATGCGCGTTACGTCACGATTCTCCGTGAGCCTGTCAATCAATTTGAATCAATGTTCAGTTATTCAGACATGTCCTCCATTTATGGTGCCTCTCTTGAAGCATTCAGTATGTTCAGCAATAAGACGGATAAGATGTATTCCAAACGCATTGGGGGAAACATTGGACGCAATCAAATGTTATTTGATTTGGGGTTCAAGCCTGAAGACTTCGATGACGACTGTAAAGTGATGGCAAAAATTATTGAAGTGGATCGTTCGTTTGATTTGGTTTTGTTGGTCGAACGTTTTGAAGAATCAATCGTTCTCATGAAACATTTGTTGTGTTGGGATTGGGAGGATGTTGCATATTTCCAGTTGAACAGTCGCAAAAGCTCATCAGCCATGCCTGAGAAGATTCGTAATGCTTTAAGTGATTGGTTGAAGAGCGACGAAATGTTGTATGTTTACTTCAGAGAAAAGTTTGAGAAAACGTTAAAAGCTATGAATCCCGAACTGTTTTCTGCAGATCTGAAGTATCTTCGTGATATGAATGCCAAAATAAATTCTAAATGTGGCTTTCATTTCGTACAAGATGCAAGTAAACTGCCAAACTTCGAGCGTCCTTACAAATATCAGAAGTTGCGTGGTGTTTCTGTGAGTAATGATGCGCAAAGTTGTAAAGATTTCATTAGAACTGAGAATAGTTTCACTGATTTGCTAAGAGATTTAATGCTTCAGCGGTTGAAACGAGAACACTGAAGTTATCACCGAACTGTCTTCCATTATAATTCAAACTCTTCACTCAGAATGTTTTCGTCTATTGGGAGAAAGCTTGTAAGTCTACTTCAGGGGCTTGAAGTTAATATTAGTGGTGCTTTTGGCGCATTTACCTTCGATCGTGCGATTTATCCGCTACATACTTGTGAATCTCAGATTTCGTTCTTCTGAACGGTCATCCGACATGATTTGTTACCAATGTGATGGAAAAGGATTTTATCATGTAATGTTGCCAGAATTATGCAACCCTCGTGTTTTGTTTCGGCCACGGAAAAAATCGTGTTTTTTATCTTTAATAACCTGTGATAATTTTGTGTTTGATTAAACGAGGAATTTTCTTTTCCAGGGCCTATGGTATTTATTTCATGAAGCATAGTTTGATCTTCAATTAGCTGCCAAAATATGATTTTGGCTTTCAAGTCGGTGGTGGCACGGAAAAATTTTTTTTTATGATAGGAGATGCAGAAGCAGCGTATTATTCATTAACATTGTGAACGATTCAATTTCAATATCGAGTCGAAATCCTCTATGCATCGAATTATCTTATTGATCCCTTTCCTAATTAATGGCCAATTTCTTTACTGAGAATGAATGCGATTTTTTTTTTTTTGTACGGCCAGTTCTTCGAAGTCAAACATTTGTACTTGTGTATTTTGGCTTAAGGAGGTTCAACTGTTGGGGCCATGCGGAGCATATTATGGAAAATATTATGAAAACAAATCCATGTGGAGCAGGAAAAAAGCTTTGTTATAACAGAAACCAGTTATCAAGAAATTCAAATGCTAATATGGCTACAGGATGGGGACCTAAAAACAATTTCGTTGTTACAAGATTCTACTCCATCTTTTAGGTGTATTAGGTAACTGCGAAAGCCCTTAATGAATGTATGCCTCCTCGTGCCGTTTTCTTTCAGGGTCGAGCATGCGCCTGCTAGGTCATGTGTGTGATCGTGTGTCGCGAAGTGCGAATACTGCCATAGCTTGAAAGTGAGAACGAATCGATCACGGTGTTCTGTGGCGTTTATAAGTCGCACCTACTTTTCAAGGAAAAATGAAGACATTTACGTGATTTCCTTCCCAACCGAGTGAGCTGATTTCTTTGCCTGGCTTGAATGCTTGTCAGTGTTTGTACTTCACCATTTGACGATGTATTTATCGTATACACTTCTCCGTCTTGGTGCAAGTGAATCTTCGTTGTAATTCGAAGGATATCTCCCCCTTGAATAATATCTCTTCTTTTCCAAGTTTAATGGAAAAATGAAGACAGAAATCGCGCGAGAAATGATTTTTTGAATTCGGTTATAACTCCGAATCATGATGTTTGAAATTCAGAATGACTGAAAATTCCTCGAATTACAGTTTTTCAAGTAACTTTTGACTTTCGATTCCATCAAATCTTATTAGTGCATACGTGATGGTCTGATACGGTCAGTATGTTTATCATGGGTTATTTTCGTTCGCGATGATCAGCAATTGTCATATCAAGCTTGCTAAAGTCGCCGAGATAAAACATTATGGCTCTCAAAATATTCGAAAATATATATAATTTTGTCAGTTCGCAGTCATCTTGGGCGTGAAAGGCCTGGAGACATTTATGGAAAGTTACAGATGTCTCACCGAAAAGAATTTGTAGAACACCATGCTGATAGTAGATGGACTAAATCTGAGCTATACTGTAATTTGATTGCTTTCCGGGAATCAACAAATGCAAAGTCAGTTCGGTGGAGAATACAACGGTTTGCGTGAATCCCTGACATGGTTAATCATCGTTTTGCGTTCGAAAGGAAACATTCCTATAGTCATATTCGACGATGGTTTAGATTTCAACGGGCATATTTTGGTTGAGTTCGAATTTTCCGGGAGTGCTTTTGTAAGTAATGAATTATTGACATTCGAAGTTTTATCTTTCTTGCAAGGTTAAGGTAAGTTTGTGTGATTCAGTTTCTTTACCTGTAGAAAAAATTGACGGGCTGTCTTCTAACGTGACTGACCTGAAATTGTACATCGGTGTACCGCCTGTCGGACTTCTCATCTCTTCTGAAGTAATCCGAGTACTGTACAGTCAAACCTCGATTGAGGGCCATTATTTTAATGGCACAAGTTGGCAAAAAGCGAGGGTGACACTGAATCAGGGGAATTTTATGTGAGAAAGGCAATTTTTGGCGAAGCTTTTGGCGCGATTCGACCAGAAAGATACTTTTTGGGAGTCTTTTTCTACAATCTGACGACGAAGCTTAGAGCTTGCCCTGATGTTTGGAAACTACTGTAGTTACAATGAACGTTCTGTATGCAAATGAGAAACTTTGCATGCGTGTGAAAAAGGTACTGGCTTAGGTCGTTCTCTTTGATCCTCCAAAAATGATGGAAATGTTCCTGGAACAAATTATAGTTGAAGGACGTGAGAAGAAAAGGACAAAGCGGGAAAACCAACGAGAGCCTGCGAGCAATGCTGCTCAGGTTTGAAAGCAGGTTTACTTTCTCTTGGCTGCTTTAAGGTCACGGATGTTTTGAGAAAATTGACAAACTATGCTTTTCAGTTTGTTTTTAGATTTGGTGAGCATCGGATGGAATATTTCAGTCATTTGTGCAGTTACTAGTTTTTCATCACGCGTCTACTGTGAACGAGTTTCTCAATTTTGATGAAGCGATTCCTAGCTGTTGAATTCTTCATTCTCTTCTGAAATTTTGATAGAGAATGAAAACCATCCCGAGAAAGTGGCCGTTTTACCGCGATGATTAAAGGAAAAAAAATTTTATTCGTAAGTGGAACTTCTATGACATAGTTTTAGCAATTTATGCAAAGCTTACTCGACTGAAACTTTTAAATGTGAACGAGTTCCGTTACTTCCATGAAACTCACAGTTGGAATAACGGAAAATATTGTACTGTACATCGAAAAATCCCTCTTCGCGTATCTGTTTTTTTAAATTCTGATTTCTTTCAAAGTATCCTGACGAATTCCTCTCAAAATCTCGTAAGATGTAAGAAAATTGACTAACGAATCCAAATGGAAAATTTTCTTGGGTATTTTTCTCACCCGTTCATGTTCACTCGTGCAATTCATTTTGTGTTAACTTATGCAAACCGTGTTCTTGAATCGTTGAAAAATGTATAATTGTCATCGATGTAATTATTATCGACCATTGGCACTGTACGTGAAAAATGTATTGAGCGGTAACTGCTTTTGGAATAGTAGGACTTCCCTTTTAAAAACTATCTCCCTTCCGTATTTTTTCTTTATTTTTTCTTTGGGACCTTGTATCGGTGATTTTCTTGGAAGAAATTTCCGAACTTTTCTTAAAAATCGATAAATATGTTTTATTATTTCAAGGCGCGTACCTTATTTTTTGTGAAAAATTTGAAAGTTAGAAGTCCGTGTGTGCATGAGTAAGTATGAGTGCTGTATTTTTATGTTTCGGAAACATTTTTTCGTGACCCGAGATGATGTCGAATTGTGATCAAAGGACGATTTTTGCACTTCGAAATACCGGCGTTACCTCGAAGGACTATAGCGAAGAAAACGTTGATGAATTTATGCGTATTTTTGCCTTTCCTTCGACAGGATTGGACATGCGCCCGTCGCGATGTACTAATACATTACTGTACTGTCGTTGTATGGAAGTGAGGAGGAATCGATCAGTGGTTGGGTGTTTCAGTGTTGTGTTTGCCATTTCCTTGTGAAGGTAAAAACTTCCGCTTCTACGTGATTTCTGCAGTGAGTGAGTGAGAAGAATTGTTAATTGGTTGAATTAGTGTCTTTGGACTCTCAAAGTCTGTATTTTTTTGGGTGCTGGATTTGAAAGCATCAGTTGGAGAGTAGAGTCTTTTTCCTGTTTTCATGGATATCTGAAACTTTGGAAAGTGCTGCCTGTAAATGAGAATGACCTCATAATATATGTACAGTATACATATATTTTTTCTTTTTCAGAATAAAGTGTTCAATTCTTTCTTGATGCCAATACAGTGCCTTGATTGAACGCTTGTGATTGACTGGCAAATTTTACAGGCTTAAAATTGCGTTATACTTTCTATAATTTCTTCTCGTCACCCATAGTTGATTATGTAGTTGAGGATGACAGGCATTTGTTATTTCAGACATGAGGAGAAATTTATTTTTCCAATGAAATTCCAATTTTTTATCTTTCAGTCATGGGTATCAGAGGTCTGGCTACTTTTGTGGAAAATCATGGCTGTCTCACCATTGAGCAGTTGCAGAACACCACAGTGGTGGTGGATGGGCTGAATCTGATATTTCACTTGGTTGCATTGCGGGAATCGAAAATGCGGAGTCCATTTGGTGGAGAATATGACGGTTTGCGTGAATGCCTGACGTCATTCATCGACGTTTTGCGTTCAAAAGGAATCACCCCGATTGTCATCTTTGATGGGGGTCTAGATATCAACGGCCAAAAATTCAGTGAGTTTCAATTCTCGAAAGGTAAAAACTGCAGTGTTTCCAAGTATGAGAAGAATCAGTCGAATCTCTGATAATTTTCGTTAATTAGATAATCAGCCTATACTAAATCTGGAAAATGTTTGAATTTATGCCGTTTTTCTTCTTATCGTGGAGAGAGGTCCGTTTTATTTTGTGAAACTTTGGAAATTGACGAGCAGACAAATGTTCTGGGAATTCTATGAACTTGCGTATTCTTCCCAGAAACGAAGTTGTCACGAATGGGAACGTCAGTATTCCGGATAGCTGCAGTAAATCCTGGGAATCCTGCTTCGGTTTTTGCTCAGCACGTTGTAACGTTGGTGATACAGACATTGCAAGATTTGTGCGTGACTCATCATGTGGCTGCGTTTGAAGCTGATGGTATTATTGCATGGCTGGCGTATCATCTCAAATGTCCAGTGGTCAGCGATGATTCTGACTTCTTCATCTACGGAGTGAATTGCGTCAAACTTGGGTCATTGGTCACTGCCTGCGTCGCCAATTTCCGCGGATGCAAAACTTTCAAGGAGTGAGCGTGCATCTTTATTAATCGGATTATTTGCGAATTACCAACGTTTCAGCGATAGAAAAGACCAGAGAAAAGACTATCGATTTTAAAAGCCGCGAAATCTCCTTTTTATTTATATTAATACCTTGGGGGGAAAATATTTGAAGTTGAAAGGTTTACCATCATAATCTAACATTGAATCAGCAAAAAACAGAATCGGAGAGTCAACTCAGTCAAAGATTCATAAAAGTGTCGGCATTCAAATTAAAGCGTGTAAAAGTTCCTCTTAGGCAACCCGTTTCCTTGTCTTATTTTGGTATCGAGACAGCTAGATCCGTAAAATTATTTATTTATTTAATATCACTGAAAAATCCAAAAATGGGATCATCGAACAATTTTTAAAGGTTTAAGTCGATATTTTTCGTTTTTTGCGCTTCGGGCAAGTCGTACAAGTACTGTTGCGTTAATTAGATCGGAACGAAGCGAAGATTTCTCGTGACAGAATTGAAGCAGCGTAAAAGGATTTTCTTCGTAATTCAAAAACTCATTTTTATTTTTCTGTGAAATTAATCATTGTATTTTAGAAGTATTTTAAAGCTTTTTTCCCGTCTAATCATACAAATATCTTCTCGCCATCCCAAAAGAATAGAAAGGATCCTGGGGATTTTGTCGTAAACTGTTATTTTGAAATGAATGTACAGTACTGTATAAGAAGCAGCCGTATTCAAAAAAGCGGATCGAAGAAAAAATTGGCTAAAATGAGACTCATGGGAATAGTTTAACGCAAAATTCAAGGTTTGTTAAAACCTTGACGCCTGTTTTTGTCAGAATTCAATTGGCTTATTGTTTCAACTATTGAGGATGTGCAGTGATTGAAAATGTTCTTTGAGGTTACCTATCGACTTTTTTGGACGCTAAATTTAATGTACACCCATGTTCCAGTGCCGTAGAGATTCATTTATAAAATTTCAAGATCTGATGAAACGTTGGCAACGCAAGTTGAAGAAGCGAAAGAAACAAAAGTTTTATTACAATAAGAAACGCATAATTTTAGAGACCACGCCTTAGAAGTTGCGGTGTTCTCCCCAGACAAGTTCTTGGCCCAATTCAAAATCAAGCGAGAACATCTCCCAGTCTTCGGGAGCGTCTTGGGCAACGACGTTGTGCCGTTCATGGAAACAGTCTCGGGATTCTCGCAGATTGCCAAGCACGCATATTCTCAGAAGGGTAATGGAAACATGGGCAAAGTAAGGAATAATTCGAGGCATGCGGTGATTGCTGGGTTTCTGTCGTGGCTGGCGAGATGTGATCCCGAACGAGCTCTTGATAAGGTATGATGTTCTATTTTATTCAAGTTTTGTGCGGTATTACTATTTCGGAAGACTTGGGTAGATCAGAAAAAAGGACGTGAAATAAAACGGCATATTCCGTAAGGTTCAAATAATGAACACAGTACTGTATACAGTAGTAGTTTCAAGTCAAATTCATTTCATTCAAATAAATTAACTTGGAATTATTTTTTTCCTGAACTTTTTTCATCACCGTATAATTCTTGATTTTCCTGCTTCAATTTTCTTTCGAAAGCAAACTGAAAAGTCCCTATCTGATTTTAATTTCATTATTCTAGCATGAAGCGTTTATATATTGTGTCGAGTCAAATTCAAGCTCATTCAAGTTATCTTTGAAATGATTGACCTCCTGAATTTTTTATAACACCACGTAATTTTTTTTTCATCTTCCTTGCTTCAGTTTTCTTACGAACGCTAACTGAAAAGTTTTGAATTTTGATTTTACTTTCATCAGTCCGGCATTAAGGTTGTATGTAGTGTTAGTGTATTGCTGTAAGTTAACTTCGCATTAATTGTTTTCCTGAACTTTTTCCAACGCCGTATAATTCTTCATTTTTCCTGCTTCATTTTTCTTTCGAGGGCAAACTGATAAGTCTTGACTTTTGATTTTACCTTCATCAGTCTGGCATAAAGGCTAACTTTGGGGTGATTATTGAAATTATTTCTTGCATTGAAAATAAATTTTATATTTAATTTTCAGTTTCTCGATTTCCTTCAATACGGGAAACGAGACAAGGTGAGGGAAATCGTGTTGAAAAGCATTCGGATTTATGAAATGCTGACAAAAGACGTCGACTGGTGTCCAGAAACGTTCGCTCCGACGGCATCAGACATACTTCAGGCAGAAAACGCATTGCTTGCTGACGAAAAGCGATTCCACGACACCTGCCCAGCCTGGTTATTGGCGAGATTGCGGAAATCAAACCACGATTGGCCTCGTTATCTCAACGCCTTGATGTTTCGCGTTTTGTTCGTGACTCCAGTTGTGGAGAGTTACAGTCTGGAAACTTGTTACGTGGCGGCATTTCCGATGATTCAGAAGTTCTTTGATACCCTGTTTTCTTCTGTCTTGGCTGAGGGGGAAGAAGTGGTTGTGAATGTGTATGCAAGGAGAAGGTTGGAGAGGAGTTCGGTGCTTGGAAAATTTCCGTTCAATGTTACCGCGCGGCGTGAATGGAAGATTGAGGAGGAAGATGATCCGTGAGTATCGCTTTTTTTTCAAAATTAGAGAACTCTTCCTCTTGTTCAACAATAACTGAAGTAAAGCATTCGAAATTCAGCTAGGGCGTTACGGAATTTTTTTTTTCGGGGAAGTTGTTGAAAGTATCGTACGAGCAAGTCAACGCTCTGTAAATCGTACTTCAAGGGACCAGCAGAAAAAAATCGAGTTATGGAGCCAAGCGTTTTTCTTGTGAAAAAGAAAGGAGAATTGCAGTGAATTGTATTTGGTGAAGTTCTTGGCCTCAAACTGCTTCTTGAATGAGTTGACAGGATGCTGAACTTGGAGGCAAGGGTTCATTTGTCAAATTAGTTTTTCACTTCCTTTCAAAACACATCAAGTTAATTTTTTCTTTTATTTTCTCTTTCTCGTGTCTATAAAATAATAGCCAAAAAGACCTCCAGAAAATTTGAGTAACTGAGATATGTGGAGGAAAGCCGTCGAGTGAGGAAGTTTCCAATATATTGTTTCTAAACAGAATCCAGGGAAATCTTGAAAAAACGTCGACATACAGAGGTATTCGACCTTGGGAGGTTCAAGTTATCGAGGTTCAACTGTAGTTTTATTGAACCTGCGAGGAGACCAAGGTGTAATGAAGTGATAAATAATCCTTTTAGAAATTTGTATTCACTGTGATGTGTAAAGTGTCATACCTCATCAAGTCCAGTGATAATTATTTTTTTCTTGCAGATGTCTTCTACGACAGAAATTTCTCTCGATGATCGAGTTGGCATCGTATGAAGAAGAAATTAAGAAAATCGATCCTGAGGAACAAGTCTTTCTCCTCTCTGTTGTTCTTTGGATGCGAAACCAAGTTTTCCCGGTATCAGTGGAACATCTTTTGGCCGCCATTGCTACTCACCTAGTTCTCTTCGATCTCGAGTACAAGGCAGGAATAAAAGAACGGAAAGCTGGTCCCCTGGAGCGAATCTCCGACGCGGAAAATCAAGCAGTTTCCGCGAAAATTTCGTGCATCAGGTTCTTCAGCGTTTCAACTCGGGTTGTTGAAGACAAGCGTTGTTTCGACGCTGATATAGTGTCTTATTACGAAGCACTGAAAGCGATTACTGGGTTCTTCATGACCTTATCGGCTATTTTTGCCGAACCCTTCGGCGTGATCCGACCAGAAAGGCATTTTTCGGGAATCTTTTTCTACACTCTCACGACGGAGCTTCGAGCTTGTGCTGATCCTTTGAAACTCTTGAAGTCAAAAATATTTTCTGATAATGCGGAACTCGGTCAGCGAATGGATGAAATACTAAACTGGGTCATTTCAATGGGTTCCGGTCAAACTTTGGAAACATTTTTGAAGGATGGCCGTATAGCAGGAGCCGGGGCAAAGAAAAAACGAAGGAGAAACCGCAAGAAAGTCAAAGATGAACAAGATCTTGTCGACGAGGCTGACCAAGAGGAAGCGGTGCAAGAGGATGAAGAGTTCGAAGATTTCGAGAATAAGTTCACATGTTTGGGGTTGTCTTGAAGTAAAGACTCGGAAGAATTTTTGCATGAAAGAAGGAGAATTGACGAAAAATATTTTTTTTAACGGATTACGTTTTTTGAAACATTTTAAAAACTTGTTTCCCCCTATCTGCAGGTTGAATGTGAGAAGTTTCTAGTCATTTAATACTGTTACCCGTGCCACGCTTGAACGAGTGATTGTCATTTTTTCGGATCGTGCTATTTTTCCCTGTTGGAAAAACAAAAATGGCATCCAGAACGAAGGTAATTTTCAAAAATATTTACTTGTTCATAAGTTTCGAATTTTGATGATTCCCTGCTAGTAATGTAATTGATTTATCCTAGCCACGGTTTTGAATTTAAGTTGTTCGCACCGAATAGTTCTACTGACCATATCTTTTCCTGGTAGATATCTTCACGATCGACTGAGGCATCCAGAAATAAGCCCGCAGATTCAACAAAAACAACGAAAGACGCAGAGAAACGTTCTACGAAAACAAACGATAATGCGAGAAGTTCGAAAACAACTGTTCCGAGTAATGCAACATCGAAGGCAACAAGTTCAACATCTACAAAAATTGACTTATCAAAAACGAAGCAAAAAACGTCCTCGAAGCTAAGCTCAGAAACGAAAGTGACCCAGAAAAAAGTTTCTTCGACTCCAGTTTCTGAAGATAAAAGAAGTACTGCTGCGAAAAAAGTTTCTTCTCGAGGTACAATTCAGTGAAATTTTTTTTTTTTTGAAATTTTTTGAAAATTGGCACTAACCGTGATGAACTTTTCAGATGATTCCAAACAGGGTGACAAAAAAGCTGATGCTTCAAGACCTCGAATTCCTCAGGGAACCACGGCGTCGACGTCTTCAAGAGCCGTTCATACCACATCAAAAACAGAAAAGCAGAAATCGAGTGTTCAATCGAAAGGTATAAACAAAAACCATATCAGTGAATCACGAAGTTTTATTTTAAAATCGGGTGGTTTTCTGTTGTCCGAAAAAGTAGTCGGCGAAGATTTAATGCTCCGATGGTTGAAGCTGCAGAATGGCTTTTAAAATGTGTTCAATAAAGGAAGTTTCATGTTCACTGTATGATTTCGTTCATCTGATCAGCAGTCGCTCAAGTCACGGATAAACGAGCTGAAGAAAAGCCTGCAAAAAGTAGAGGCTCAAAATCAGACGAACCGAAACCTGCAATTGCTGCAGCATCTCGTTCTACCAAATCAAAAACCATTGTTCCAGACCCAGAAGACCTTACAAAGCCCAAACCGAAGAAAGAAGGCGTGAAAAAATCTCCGAAGACTCGTGTTATTGCACCACCGACCCCAGTCGAAGGTATCAAATTTCTCAACTTTTGTAAAGTCGTGTTTGATTTATTCGAAATTTAACCCATTCAAAATTTACAGTACAGTTAAAATGATGCATTAATTTCACTTCATGCAACGCAATGATTTTTAATCAACGAGTTATGAACTGGATTTACGAATAAAAAACCTCTTGAATTCACTGCAATACAGTATTTTTTGCATTGTTGATGAAGTGCTGAAATTCTGGTCCCGCATTGAATTTGCAACTTATAATATATTTGCGCTGAAAACTTCCTCTCTAATTCAGTCTGATCATTCAAATGTAAAAAAAAGTACTTCTGCTTTCACGTGATCATGCGCTGATGGTAAACTCCAATGTATTTCTTGGCGAATGAGGAAAAACAATCCCGTTTGAAAATTCATCTTTTATTGATATCAGAAAGCTAACTCCAAATCTGCACATTTTTTCTCCGTAGAAATAAACGATGCTTCGAGTGATGAAGTTTTTGGTGCCAGTGCAAGCGACGTGGTTGTCCTGGCCTCGTCAAAACCCCAAGAGAACATCGAAGAAGAGTCACACGATGCCGTCGACGTGGATAATTACGAAGACGATTTTGAGGACTACGAATCTGACTTCGAGTCCAATAGCGAAGACGAAGAAGAAGATTCTCAATCCTCGTCCGATGCAAAAGAAGACGCCTCGGACGACGAGTTCGCAGACATGCGCAACGAAGACAAGAAGGAAGATGACGAAGGCATAAGTGACGCGGAACCCGACCTTGCTCCCTTGACCTTCCACGACTCTCGCCTTGAAGCCGACGATGTCGACTCTGGTCACTCATCGGGGCAGTTCGGTGGAAAGATGCAAATTGTCAACGAAACAGATCTTGCTGCAGCAACTGCGGCTGAAAACCAACTGGCATCCAACTTTGTGCGGAATCTTGCCACCCGAAGGAACGCCGTAGCTGAGACGTTGGAAAGCAGCAGCAGTAGCAGGCAAATGGAGCAAGAACAACAACATGCTGCTGTTGTTGAAGAAAAGCGAAGATACGACTTTTCGTCTGCGAAGAAACGACAGAAATCGTTTGTGGCTGCCGGGAGAGTTGCGAAGAGAGGTGCTGAGTTGATGGACATCGTCAGGCTGGAGTCGTCGACTGCGGATTTATTTGAGCTTGAACCTTTTGGTTACGATGCGTATATAAGAAGATTTGGTAAATCCAACATGAGACAGGTGAGATCGCAGCGCTTGGCTTTGAATTTCGTCAATATTTTTCAATTACAAATTTGTGTGCTCCCCTATTTTATGTCCCTAGAAGGCTAGAATTTTGAAAGCACTGCGGGATCGATAACAACGCTTTAAAAGCAAGTTTCTGATCGAAAGAAAGAGTGTAATACATCATTGTAGAGTGGGTCCCCGCGTAACGAATTAATCCCTTCATGGATGTGTTTCGTTATACCAAATTTTCGTTATGTCGAACACGTTTCCCCGTAATATTTCTATGTAAAAGATTTAATTTGATCAAGACACTCACCAAGACCGTACTAAACCAAAAACTGTCCAATTTTCGGCAGAAAATCGTGAATTTAATATTGTTGAACATGAAATGCAAGTAATCCTGACAACTTTTGCTCGCAAATTTCTGAATTTCTCAGATTATAAAGACAAAAAGATGTATAACTAGGCCTTTCTTTTTTCATTTTTGGAAAATTTGAGAATTTTTTTTAAATTTGTAGACTTTTCTTGCCATTATTTTTTTATTTGAAATAGTTCGTTATTCGAATCATAACGTTTCATGGAAAATTCAAAATTCTCCTTCATTATCGATGAGAATCCGTTTTGTTGTCGTTCCCTTAGAATTCTATGGATAAAACATTGTTTTCATAGATTGGCGTGAGCACGGCAGATGACACTGAGAAGTTTGAATGCCAAACAGAACCCATAAAATATGCGACGAGATGGGTCCAGTTTCCGGCATGCATAAGCCCCTCATCGTTAGCCAATGCTTCCATTTCCCGCGAAGACTTCTTGGGTGTTGGAAAAGGAACGAATCCGCTCAGCTCCGAAGATATTGACGATGACCGAGAAGATTCCAACCACAATGAAATTCTGGATTTCAACGACTTCGTTCACTCGCGTTGCGGGAATGGAAAGTCGATGTCTGAGTTTATGGAAGCAGCGGGTCGCTTGATGCTGAGGATTTTGCATTCAGCCCCAGGAATCGCTCCGTCTGCAATTTCTGCGGGTGATGACGGATTTAACGGAGAAAAAATTCATATTGCTGGGAGGAAAGTGCAATTTTGTGAAGGACCTTGGACCCGTATGACCACGACGTTGGTGCAGTTTTCCGAATTTGAGCCGAAACTCCTCGTGACGTGTCACGCAGGAAAAGAGGTGCGTTTATTTTTCTGTCCGATTAAATTGTGACCAACTTGTTTTGAGATCCAATCCCTTTACTTTCGATTTATTTTATTTTACTTCCTGAATTCTCTTGGTTAAAAAAAAACTGAATTACGCAATTGATGCTTCGAAAATTCTTCTTATTTCTTGTAAATTTTAATTTTTGTGAACCTGAAGTTGCTCTGGTGTTATGAAAAAAATGAAAATGTACCTTCGGTGAAATGATCAATTTTTGTATTAATGTCTTGCATCTCCCAATCCGACATTTTAAAAATTGGAGGATTTGCGTTTCTTGAATTATGATGCCTGAATCAGGAAATGTCAGACGCCAGTGTAGAATTATCAAAATTAATTATTGATGGAATAGCGTTTCTCGGATTTTCTTTCGTTCGGTTAGGTCCAAAATCTGCAATTTCTTTTTAATATTTGTAAGGTTAGATCGGGTTAACGTTAGTGGGGTACCTTTTTTTGCCATTATTGGTATACACGACGCCTGCGTGGAGTTCCACGAAGCATGGTCACAATTGGAAGAGCTACAGGGCTTCCAGTATTTTTTATTCAGTCGGAATGAAGAATTGACGAATGAATGCTGTATTATCGTATGTACATGAAAGAAATCCCTCTTTTTTAAATTTTCAGGGAGAAGATTTATTAATATTGTGGGATGTTCGTGAGCCGTCGAATCCATTGGCAATCATGAGAAGTGTCGCTACGGTAACGTGTATAGGTGTAGGGCCTACATTACATGGAGTTATCGTAGTTGCTGGGACATCAACGGGTGCACTGTGCTTGTGGGACACACAGGAACCAATAATGCTACACGAGGCATTGTCGATTGACAAGGATGATGGAGGAAAATTCGGATTTGGTGTTCGAGGCCCTAGTTACGTTACGTGTAAGTATTTTCTTGTCGAAAGAGTAAAAAGTCTTAACTGTTCAGTTAATGGTTGCGGGGGTTTTTTTCTATCTGTCTTTCAGTGTCGACGAAATCCAAGTCGGAAAATTCGAAACCAGGGTCGAAAGTCTGTTGTTTGAAGATCCTTTCCCAAGGAGAGAATGTAGAAAAGCGAAGTGGATTTCAGGTGAGGCCATTTAAAAAATTGAAGAGAATGTCAGACACGTTAGATCGATTTTGAGAATTTGCCCTTTTTTCAGTCGAGTAGCGTCGATTAAAAATTGACGTTTTCAAACTTTTAAATTCATGTTTGAAGAGAGGAAATAAATTATCGTGAAATGTTTATTACCTTATTTTCAGTTTTGCGCATATATCTTGACTTTTATGTGCCAAGAATCGACCAGGTTTGAGGCACTGTGAGAAAATTACCAAGCTCTCTATTCTCTTTCAATTAAAAGTTCATAGCTTTCCTTGATCGGTGGAATTTCGGTATACTGTATACAAGTACCGCGGTTGAATCGTTTAAAAATTCAGTAACCTTTTTTTTAAATTATCAACAGGAAAAGTAATCTCAAATTTTTCGGAATCTTCTAAAATGGATATCTCAGATAAGTGTTCTTTCTACAGATGATTTCGATGACGAGTGAGGGTGTGGTAGATTTCTGGTTGACAAATTGTCTGCAGTCGAATCCGGAAATTATGCAGTTGGAAGCTGACCCAGGATTAGCCTTTTGGTCAAAGACGGCTTTAATCAGAATGAGCAACACCATTGACGTCGGCCAGTCTGTTTTCAGGTTCAAACTCTACCATTCGTTTTCATGTCTGCTGTGTATTTTTTAAGAAAAGATCTGGAGATGAAACCACGTTTGCCGTTTTTGTAGTTCGCAAACTTCGGAATCCGGGAATTCATGGTGTTCCAAAAAAATCGTAACTTATTTGTGATGGACAGAAAGTCAAATAACAATCATGAAGCACCACTCTATATAAGACGTATCCTGAAAATAATCCCCAGTCTATCTTCAGAAATATAAACTTGAATGTGACTCATATAAGTAAAAATTAAATTCCGGCAGTGCTGACATATTGGAGCTTTTAATTTCCTTTGACTCTATTTTTTATTCAACTTCCTAGAATGCATGTTCTTTGTTTTTGTTTTCCTTCCATACATCGATTATACATTTTTCTGTCAACCCTGTAGATAGTGTAGAACATCTGTTAGGCTTGTCTAATGTCCGTAAAAGGATTTTAATTTTGTGAAAAATCGGTGAAAAGAATGGAATTTGTTCACGTTTTATTTACACAGCGAAGCAGCATCAGTGGGAGACGATTTAGTTCTGCCGGAAGCTTTCAAATGCCAGGATTTTGCTGTGGAAGGGAGGGACGCGAGTCAGATTTATATCTGCACTGATTCAGATCTTGGGGTTGCTCACGTGGCCCGAAGTGGTGGTAAAGCATTCCCACGATCATATCGGCCAGATGACGGTATGTTATCAATTTAACTTTCGGGAAATTTTTCGATCAACGGGTTAGTCTGCAATGTAGTTTCGGTTAATTAATAGACATGATCCGTTCCAGAAGCGTCATTAAAATGTATGAAACGAATGATGCGAAGTTACTTGGAACAGTGAATATATGCAAGGAAATTAATTCATAAATATTGTGCATTAGTTAAATACATTTTTTGTGAAAACTACGTATAGGTTACAGTACAGTATACAGTATTTAAAATTTTAGCAAAATATTCACAACCAAGGAAATAATTCCCCACAAAACTGGGAAGTCAAAAAAAGTCTATTTTCCCTTGAAAATGAACAGTCAAATTTCCCGAAACAGTTTTAATGTTTTAAATTATGATCACTTCTCTTGTAGTCAATTATCTGCAGCCGGGTCCACTATACAAAGCTGAGAGCGTAGAAGCCCGTGCCAATTGCGGAAAAAAAGCTTCTTGCGCGAGTCATTTATCATCTGACCACCCGTGGTACCACTGTATTGTATTGAATATGTTCTTCAATTTCAGGGCGTTTAACCGAGGCCTGTTGCGTGGCTTCGTTTCCTTTCGGTCACCAGTTTTTATTGGTGAGTTGATGATAAATTCCATCCGGTTTATTTTACTGAATCATTACGAATGATCAAATGAAATCGATTCTCAATTGAGGTTGGTACTAATGACGGAGCTGTAAAACTCTTCGCTGGGGGAAGTGACAAACCAATAACGCATTGGACCGTTGCTGAATACGTTCCAATCGTGAAGGTTCAATGGGCGCCCTTCAGACCACTTGTATTTTTCGCCCTGGATGAGACTGGAGTGTAAGTATATCTTGATTCAGTTGACAAATTCATTAATGACCCTGGAATTTATTGAAATACGCAGATTACATGCGTGGGATTTGAACCAGGGGGATTTATCTCCAATTTACGTTGTGAGTCTAAAATCGGCGAGGATCGTCGATTTCATGATTGGTAACGTTGTGAAGGATTCCAGCACAAAATTGCCGGCTTACTTCGTGAGTTCGTCTGTCTTTTTCTTCAACTTTCAGTTCTCCTCTATTCAACGTTGCTTTCTGTTATGGTAAATATTGCTTGATACAACTCACTGAAGAACATGATATTCGACTTGATTGATTTTAACCAATATCTGGTCAAAATTAATTCACGCGACATCTACAAACTCAGAGAAAAATGTTGACATGTTCTGATCGTTACAAACCTTGAACTCGAAATGAAAGAAAATAGATTGTCGAAAAGCAGTGTATTATGCGTTAAAAAATATTCAGACGTTTATTCTCCAGGCGTTGGCATTGTCCGATGGCCAGACTTTGGCTGGAGAATTGCACGAAACACTGTTGCCGATTCGAAATGTTTCGACAGAAGAGGAACTTGAGAAATTTTTGCACTACGTGTCTATTCTGTGATCGTGGATTGCGATGAATTACCTTCGTCCACAAAAAAAAAACAAATATGTATGGAACACCGTCCATATTATTTTGAATCTAGTCGTGTTTGGTGAGGAAACAAATGTATGCAAATGTGGATCTCGTGGAAACTGATCTGAAACGTATTGCGGGTGTGATGAATTGATGCCGAGGGTTTCGTATTCAGCATCAATGCTTGAAAGCTGCACAATTAATCCGTCCAAAGTTTCCCTGTGAGTGAGAGAAGATGAAACAAGCTCGTCGATTTTTGGGCGAAGACCACGTGCTTGCATTTATTCGAACAAGTTTGGATGTATTGAAGAGTGCTGAGGTTTGCTCCTAGGATTCGCATATTTGAATCCCGATTTTCTTCTTCATGAAAATTAAATGTTTAAATTTCTATTTGTTTGATGAGCCTCAAGCTCCAGTTTCTCGCTTTAAAATAGTATTCAGCGCGTCACGATTTAAGAATAACTAAAATTCAGCATCATCTGACTAATAGATGTCGAATGATATGAATTTTTGTGATAAAATTTTTCTGAAGAGTCACGAAGTAAACTGAACTAAGAATTCTGTCTCAAGTTTATTTACATCTTGGATCCGGCTGTGTGAATATGATCTTGATCATTGTTGAAGGAGAAAAAATTGGTGTTTTGGTTCTGTATGGAATTTTATTTTTTCAATTACTTGAATTTTGTTGATGAATTCTTCCTGTATTAGATAATATTTTTCAAATTTTTATGAAATACTGTACTTCCCATGCATTTCGATTCCTCTGTTGCATACCTTCCACTCCAGCTTGAAAAGAGGCTCAAAAATGTAACCTTCCGTTCCATGGATTTTTTGGACATTAAAAAAAAAATTTCGAAGACGTCCATGGAAATACATCTTCTAATGACCCGAAGAACAAGAATATTTATATTAATTCATTTCTCCGATGGCGGACTTTCAATGGAATCCGAGAAGAAGAACCTCTGCACTCTTGAGATCATCGCTGAATCATTCTTGCTGTTTGAAGATTCCGCTTTCTTTTCCTTTCTCTCCCAAACTATTCCAAGAATGAATGTAGTATTTTTGCATCCCGATTTGGGGATTGGTGGAGCGGAGCGATTAGTCGTAGATGCTGCTCTAGCGTTGAAAAGCAAGGGGCATTTGGTGCGGTTCGTGACGAACCATCACGACCGATCGCATTGTTTTCCGGAAACTCGGGATGGAACGGTTGGCGTCACTGTGGTTGGTGAATGGTTCCCGAGAAGTGTTCTAGGTAAATGCCAGGCATTGTGTGCTTACCTGAGGATGATGTTGGCTGCTTTCTACCTTGTGTGGTTCTCTGGAATCAAGTAAGTTCCATATTTAATCAAGTATGAAACGATTTTTTGCTGTTTTTGCTATAATTGGCTAAGTAGAATTTGGTGCGTATATTTTGCGTTAATGGCGTCCTAGATTTCGCAGATGAAATTAAAGATACGCTCTGGTCATCACGAAATTCAAATAATGATCGATTCTTAATTTCAACTGAATGAATATGTACAGTACTTCAATTTCAGTTCCAGGGTATGAAAGTGAAGTCCTGATTTCTATGGCTATCTTCGAGAAGATGAAGGTGCTACATAAAAGCATGAGCAGAATCGACAGGCTTCTCTGAATCTGTATCCATTTTATATGCTATAATGAGTGTGCGTCATAAATTTGCAGGACACATTTTTCAGGCTTGCAAAATGGCGGGGGTCTCATAATACTGGGGAACTTCTAAGTCGAATTTCAAGGGACCAGCAACAAATTTGACACAGGGTGGGTTTGAGTTTGGAAAACGAGCATTTGTGTTGGGAAAAGAAAGATAGAATTACTGGAAATTGTAATTGGTAATATTCCAGACCTTGAATTGCGTCTTAAATGAGTTGGCAGGATGCTAAAGTCTGAGGCAAGGGTTAATTTGCCCAATTAGTATTTCACTTTGTTTCAAAACAGATCGTTACATTTTTTTTATTGCTGCTCTTTTTTGCGTTTAAATAGAATAAGAGCTGAAAGGCCTCCAGAAAGTTGTATTAATTGAAGTTTGAGGAGGAAAGCCATTACGTTATTTGGGATGTTTTAATGCATTGTTTCAAAGGAAATTCAGATGGGAACTTGAAAGAATTCAACTCATGAAGTTTCGCGTTATCGAGATTCCACTGTAGATGGCGCTTATATTCTGGCCTTAGCAGGAATTTTTCTGTGCCAATAATTGAATTGAATTGAACAGGAAGCTTTATTTTTTCAATTTTTAGCGTTAACAAGGTTGATAACGCTGTTCCCGCATCCAAACCCCCTGCCCTCCCCACCCGCATACTTCCAAATACATTCTTCACATCAGAATCGAAAAATAGAAAAACAATTACATTGAGATTTAAAAAAAGAAAATGCATCCCAAAAAGTGCAATTGCACAACTGATATAAATACGTTCTCTTCTCTGTTCACAAAAACAAAATATCAATAATACAAACTGCAGCATGAAGCAATTAATAAACCCAAATTAAAGCAAAAGGTGTTCAACCTTCTCCCAGATAAGGTTTAGTTGATTAAAAAGAATCTTTGATGATAAATCATATAAGTTTAACAGATTATATTGGACCTTGAAGACTTTGGAGAGAGTCTTTTCATTGAATTTTAAGAGTCCCAAATCTTTTTGAAGCTCATTTCTGTAGCTGTGCAAATAATAAAGGAGTGAGTAAACTGAATATTTTGTAGGTGCGACGTGATTTTTGTGGACCAAATTTCCGTGTGCATCCCGATCCTGCGAATGGGGACCCGGGCAAAAATCGTTTTCTACTGTCATTTTCCGGACCAACTTTTATCTGCTGGACGTGAAAACTTGATCAAGTCTTTGTACAGGGCTCCGTTGGACTTCCTTGAAGAAGTGACGACTGGGATGGCTCACAGGATATTGGTCAATAGCCAGTTCACGGGTAAAATACTACCCCATGACTCTTATTATTCTTATCAGCGATTGATCACCTTTAAGCTAAAGCAACATCGCTCCCAAAAACTCGTTTGCAAGTTTGCTTAGAGCTTTTTTGGCCTCCAAAACACAGGCAGCTAATTGTGCCTGTTCAAACTACTTCGCCACTCTAACAACCTTCTACAAGACCGCTTTCCTCTGCACGTAATAAAGGGCTGACTGCTCGAGCCTCCGAAAGCAATGAAAAACAGGGAGTTAGCCAAACTTTCCTTCTTCTTGTAGCTAGACCGTAAGTTTCGAAAAACACTCAACCGCACTCACAAAAAGTAAATGCACGATGAAAAATCGTGCATTTACGTTTTATTCAAATTCTCATGCGAATTAGGTGTGATGTGTTCTAGAATCCGGAGAGTCAACGCATTTCATTTCCTACTGCTTCCAGTTGACCGAGAAACAAAAATTAAGAACTTTCATGCTCATTTTATTCAACAATTAGAAATTTCGTATACTTTTGTGAATTTCCGGATGGAAAAGTTCCGGAAACTGCGGACATCACTTGAAATTTCCGATTGACTATTTTCTCCTCTTCCTCAATTTTCACTGCTTCGTGTATTTCATCACTTTTTTACAAAATGGATAATGCAGAATTGGGTATTCTTTCACTTAGCTGAAATGCGAATTTTTTTATATACTTTTTCTTTCCCTTGAAGTTTTACGTGTTAAACGGAAGAAATTTTCATTTCCATGTTGTAGCTATAAAATTTCAGGTTGTGGGAAGCTGTAAAGGGTGTCAACAATAATATTTAGTGCAGAAAAATCGTGCATTTACGTTTTATTCAAATTCTCATGCGAATTAGGTGTGATGTGTTCTAGCGCCTCTGAACAAGCAATGATGCTGTGTTATCTTTAAATGGATCCGGGCATAACTTGCTGGTTTTAGAATGAAAGGATTAGAAACGAACATTTCTCATAAATTACCTGCTGGATTTTCTTTTAGGACACCTTCTTTCTGAGAATTACAGTCCTAGAAAGACTTCTTGGAATTACGGATTTGACCCTTAATCTAAGAAATATGAACTTGAGTGAAAATTGGAAAAAATATACCTGACCGTATCAACGTTTTGCGTCCAAAAACAGCGTAATTAAGATGATCCACTGACCTTATTTCATTATTACTTTATTTCAGAGTAAAAAAAAAAATGAAAAACGGCAAAGACGACAGTACTTAAGTAATGACACCTACCTTACTTTAAAAACTCTATTTAGACTTCGACCGCTTCTTGCAAGTAGATTAGTCCTATTTAATATTACTCAGAGATGTGGATAATTTTCAGCCGCATTAGAAGCCCTGGTTCCCGGGGAATGGGACCACTTGAAGCTTGTCATAGCTGGAGGATACGATTCTAGGGTAGAAGAAAATGTATCTCACTACAAGGAACTCGTGGAACTGAGCAAGAAACTTGGCATTGAAGACAAGATGCTCTTTCTGCAGTCGCCGTCAGAGCTGACAAAAATTGCACTCATTCGCACATGCACTGCCCTGATTTATACTCCGGAAAATGAACACTTTGGCATTGTTCCCTTGGAAGCCATGTACCTAGGCGCACCTGTGGTGGCAATGGACAGTGGCGGTCCTAAGGAAACCGTTGTTGATGGGGTCACAGGTTTTTTGACCCCTCCCGGGGACGCTGGTGCTGTGGCCAAGGCCATGTCTGGCCTGCTGACCAACAATGATCATCATCGTATGGGTGCAATGGGCAGGGAGTGGGTGAAAGACAAGTTCTCGTTCAAAAACTTCTCGGATGCACTAAATAGCCTTGTAGCCACTGACGAGTAGAAAGATTAGTTATGTTTCTGTGATTTGCGGAATTTTGAATCAGTCTTCATACTGCTGTGTTTTGAGCAGCTCGTTGCCTGAGAGGGAAATGAATATTTATTGCGAGGATGGAAGTTTTGTTCGCTTTGAATTGCTTTATTCCGGGTGCAGGTGAAAACCAATGCCCCATAAACTTCAGTGAATCAGAAGAAGTAAGAGTGATGATAAACTTCGTCTTGTTTTACAAACTTCTATGTGTGTATTCAAGTGTAAAATTTTTTTGAAGAACATTTTTTGGAAGAGCAGTACGTTATTATAGGAAAGTTGAGTTTATCTAATTTCCATGAATTTGGGCTGCAGTATTAATGATTACAATAAAATCTCATTACAACGAATCTTATTACTGTACAATAAATCTTTTTACAACAAATCTTGTTACAATGAATCTTTTTACAACAAATCTTGTTGCAATAAATCTTTTTACAACAAATCTTGTTATAAAAAACTTTTGCTGACAACAAATTATTTCTGAGTCCTGGCAGTTATCCTTGAGGTGCAGCTTAATATAATCTCTTTTCAAAAAATTATTTTCTACAGACTCCCTGTTCATAGCAAATTTTTGTCCCATATTTTGTAATTTTTGGTTTTCAATTGATATTTTCCTGAGACTCATCCCTTTCTGATCCTTGGGTAGAATAAATATATCATATTCTTGAATTGGAGGATTATTTCCATAGTCCTAATGCGAAAATGTGTTTTGGAATTACTTTGTGGCCCATACTTAATTCTTATTGAAGTGGATCTCCTTACACCTGTCGAAAGCCTTGAAAAATTGACGCTTTTCACCTGTTCCTCTGATGTGTTTGTTTTGATAACCTGCCATTTTGTTTTGACAGGATACTCATGCATAAGTGTTCAGTGATGAAGGTAGCATGGGCTCATGGTTTGACCCTTGCCATTTTCTGACGATCTTGAGTTGAACAGATATTTTTGTACAATAAAATCTGCTATGCCTATTAAATTTTTCATCGACTGTGGGGAAGGATAACAAATATTCGGGTGGGATACTTTCAGAGTTGTTTTCAGGAAATGTGTATCCCATGCCCGAAAAGAATCTGTGGTAAGTCCTCTCAAGTATGGCGGCGTTACAATTGCGCGCATCGCTGTGGGGGATGCTTCGCTTAAGGTGAAGTTCGTGTTCGTCAGACGTTGTCGCAGGAATGGGGGAAGACGCGGAATCTGTAGGTGAGGTCATGTGAAGTGAGCGTGTCGGCTTTCGGGAACCCGCTCGGGACTCATTATACACGTTTGTCCTAGATCATGAAGCGGAGCATGTGGACGGACTCTCAAGGCTGTCCTTTAACGAAGAACAATTCTTCCATCTTCCTTCGCAAGGCAATGTGTACGGGTTTGCCAGAATTGCCGGGGCGATCGGAGAGAATGAAAAATTCCTAATGATTTCCTCTGCTATGAGAAAAGTATTCCTTGTGGATTCCCATCGCAAGCGCAGAGGAGTTAGAATTTCTTCAATGCGTGAAATCCAATTCACATACATCCCAGCGAACGCCGAGATTGTCGCAGTCGACGCCTTGAATCGGTCCTATTCTGTCAATGACTTCGTTGTTGCCCTTACTTTGGTGCGTAAAAACAATGGTAGTGCTTCTGTCCGCTCAGGAAATGTTGGTGAGGACGGCACTGCTATGCAACACTTGAATATATATTCAACCTGGGAACCAAACTCATCAAGTACTCTAGAAACAGTTTCCCAGAGCTGTCATTCGATCCCTCTCCAATTCACGCCTTTGATGCTACGCCATGCTAAGGCTTACGCGCCCTCGACATCTGGAGGACGTCGTTCGCGAAACACTGTTCCTGTGCAGGAGGAGCTTGGTTGGTTGTTGTCCGGTTCTGATTGTAAAGTACATTTCTATTTGGAAGACCGTGCGCAATCCTTGTTTTTCGAGCCGGCGTCGAACAAACTATTCCCGGAGTTCAACAAATTCCCCTCCCCGGTGTTGTGGTTTGATTTAGTTTATCTTGGAAATTGCTCCAAGCGATTAACTGCGATCGGATGCGAGTGTGGATTTGTAGCAGTTAGTCTGGTTGATACATGGATGTCAACGATTACGGGGTCGTGGAGGGTACAGCACGATGGTCCTGTTACTCACGTTGCCCTCTACCAAAATTGCTCGCCAGATTTCAACCTCCCCTTCAACATGGAGGTTTTCAAGAATGGTTCGAATGAGATATTTGTGGATCCTGTCCTGAGCATGGATGAAATAGATTTCAATTTACTGGTTGCCAACTCGCTGCAATCCAGTTGCTCGTATAGAAATGTCCTGGCATGTGGACTTTCTGATGAATACATTCTTCCCCAAAGTCAAGAGTATGATTGTGTAACGTGCGCCTGTGTCGCTGATTTTGATATGGATGGGTTCAATGAGATTGCGTTAGGAACTTACGGTCAGAAATTGCTCATCTATCGATGGAAACCTGGAATACCACTTGACGAGGTTGAGGTATCTTCAAAAGTGGATGTTGAAAATCCGGAACATCCGATGTTGATCCGCCACAGTTCAAGACCTGAGTTTGACCTGATCTTTCAGAAAACGTTTGCTTATCCTGTCCTTGCGTTGGATTACGCCGACTTCACGGGAGATGGCGTCAGAGAGTTATTTGTATCTACCACTCGAGGAGTAGCGGTTATTCAGCACGATCTTAATGATGTGCTGAATCTACTTGAAACACGAATGAAGCCGCTTTTGAAGTGATCTTCTCCTTTTCAAAGCACGAAATTTCTTCATTAGTTTTCATATGACAATTTTCTTCCTCCAGGTACGCGCGAGAAAAAATATTATGTCGCACAAAGTGCTCATCACTGGCGCTTCGGGATTGCTAGGTCGCGCAATTTTCGACGAATTTAATGAACACCCGGAAAAATGGAATGTAATCGGCACTGGTTTCACCAGGTATTGTACAATTTTTCTATTACTGTTGCACATTTTCAAAGACATAAATTTTGCCTCTTCTTTTAGGATTGCCCCACCGTTGGTCAAAGTCGACCTCACGAATGTCGACGAAATTCGAGAGTGTGTGCTGAAGTATCAGCCCCATGTTATTATTCATTGTGCTGCGCAAAGATCTCCGGATAAAGTCAATGAAGATTATGCTTCTGCGGAGCGCCTGAATGTTGAAGTTAGTCGCATTCTTGCAGAACTGACCAGTTAGTATTCATTGTGTTTATATTGCCCCGTGGACAGCAGTGAAATACACGTATACCTTTTTTTTTTTGCAGAAGAGATCCACGCTCATTTGATATACATAAGTACGGATTATGTATTCGATGGAAATTCCCCACCGTACAAGGAAACTGACAATGCGTGTCCAGTGAATAAATACGGGCTCACTAAACTTCGTGGAGAACAGGCCATTATTCTTGCTAATCCAGGTAATACTTCAGGTGCATCAAAGTTCCTGTGAGATGCGGGTTGAATTGAAAGAAGGATAATTGTTACAAACAAAACCAAACTAGATTCCTTGTTCAGAAAAGTCGTTGTTGATAACATTTTTCAAGAGAGAGTCTACGTGTTTTGTGGAACTCCTTGGTTTCCCTGAGCTTCTCTGGCTGCCTTGTTTGAGAACAGCCTGCTGAAGAAGCGAAAATCTGCTTTGACAAGCAACTGTTCGTAACACACTCAGAAACATGATAATCGGTGTTTTTGAATTTTGAGAATAGTTTTCATATGTTCTGGCTCTTGTTTCTTTGTATTTTCTTCGCTTGCCAATTGTCTGTTCGGAAAAAATCTATATTTTATTGTGTAAAGTTTATGTTTTCGCCTTGGTTTTTTCTTTAAATGTTGCTATTATCCATGTGAAAAACTGCATAATTGTAAGGAAAAATCTATAGTACAGTTCTACAGAATTCTCCAGTAATAGTTTCTGTTTTGATGTAAATAGTTCACGAAGTCCCTTCTGATATTTCGACACCAGGATAGTCCTTGAAGCCCTAGAACTACGTAATATCCTGTCTTTTAACGTTGACAAGTTACACACTCGAAACCTTTTTTCACTGATTCAAATCACTCCTCTCTTCGAAGATTCTGTTATTTTGCGCATTCCCGTATTGTACGGCGACGTGAAAGAGTTGGAGGAAAGCGCTATAACTTGCTTGGCCAAAGCTGTGTTGAACCCGTCTCCTGCGAAAATCAGCGACTACGAAATTCGTTGTCCAGCCTACACACGTGATATTGCGAAGATTCTAGAGGGATTGAGCTCTCGTCTTCTGAATCCCGGAAATGTAAGTATTTTCGAGCACTGATCGAAGAAAAATTTAATTTCGAAGACTCCCCGCGGATTCCCCTAAATGTGTGTGTTTCTTATGTTATAAGGGAGGTGCGGAAGTTCCTGTTGTTAAAGGAATATACCAGTGGTCGGGAAAGGAAGCGTTCACCAAGTATCAACTGGCTGTGTTGATGGGGAAAATTCTAAAAAAGAACACTGATCACATAGAACCTTGCCATGACGTTTCATCAGCTACCCCTCGCCCGAAAGACGTTCGCATGGATACCAGTCGTCTCGACAGCTTGGGGCTGATGTTCCATACCCCTGTAGCTGAGGGCATCGCTACTGTGCTTCACCAGTACATCTGCTGATCAGTGTTCTTTTGAATTCACTCAAGATGTTCATATTTTCGGGAGTCGTTTCCTCATCCGGGATGAACTTTTCCCGGATCAGTTCAAGATGTTGGATTGCTTCGGACATGTAATGGTTTTATGGCTGCTGGCTTGAAGAAAGAACTCCTCCTGTAGTATTTACGGAAGTGGCCTTCACACCGAAATTTTGCCGGGGAAGAGATTTTTTAAATCGCAGGGCACGTGAAAGCAGGTTAGGAGTGTTCAAGTTTCATCTTTTTTTCGGTTGGCAGGTCACCTTTCTTTATAGAAAATTTCACGTGAGGGCTTCCTGTGAATCTATCTTTTTCCTAATTAAACCTGCGGTGATTAATTGATTAAAAGGAATAATTTATTAAAATTGTATGGGTGTATTATCTACGAGCTCCATAATAAATCTGCATCGTCTCAAAGAGGCCTTTTAATGCGTCAGGTATAGTCTTTTTTTTTCCAAAGAATAAAGTTTTCTCTGTTAGAAACCACCGTTCATGTGAACTTCGAATCGAGAAATCCTCGTCCTCAACTTTCTGGTTTCATGAACGATTTCATTTTTCGCTGGTATGTGCTCTTCTCCAATGATACGAGAATGATTCACGGGCTACCTTTGAACACGTTGCCGGTGATTCGTTTGCCGATGATTAGTTCCATCTAGTCATCATCCTGTTAAGTTTTCCCGTTCTTGATTTCGAAAAATGAATAAAAGCAGGAATTCGTTTACAGACTGCCTTCTTCGATGATCTGATATTTGCTCCATTATCTGAATTCTAAATAATCCTGCTCTGCGTTCAGCATTTCCGACCTCGTGGAAAATGGCACCGACACGTATTGTGAATTTGGGGTAAGTGACGGACACCACATGTCTTATGCAATGTGGTGTCCGTCATCCTATTTCATTATGGAGGAAAGAAACGGTGATGCATTTGGCCTGACCCTTTTCAACTATAAATGTGCCTTGAACTTACGTTAGCCCGCCTGTCGGAAATTGAGGTTTTTAATTAAATAACTGACTATGCTGGTACATCGAAAAGTCCATTGTTTGGTTCGTGCTCTAATGTTAAGGATAATTTATCCGTATCCAAGACTACAAATTTTGACCTTGAAAGCCATTTCCAATGTAAGTTGGCTCAGTTCAGGTAATGAAAGGGGCAGTGGTGTCGTGAAGTACTCAAGTTTACCATGCTGAAATTTTAGGACCATGATTGTCCTTAAAGCCCTCTCAGTAAATCTTGTATGCCTTCAGAAAAACTTTGTTAAATGTGTTCATGTACAATATTTACAGAAATCTAACTACAGTTTCAGATAAAGGACCTTCTAAAAGCGAAGCAATTTCTATCATAATTATTTGAACTTGGAAATGAGACTGACAGGTCTTCTTAATTTTGTAGTTTTTTCAAGGATTGCTGCTTGAAATTTTGCTGTTAGTTTCTTTTACACTTCATATGCAGGTATTGTAAAATAATTTCCAAGGGGGTTTAAGTGAGCCCAGTTTTTTATGGGCTTGATGCCCTACTTTTCCAAACCATTCCAACCTTGTAATTAATGAGTAGAAGACATAAAGACCCCTTCCCTAAAGGTCTTATAACGGGAGGTAACTAACTTAAACTTGAACCCAAGGTGTCTTAGAAAAATGAGTTGCAATCAAGAAGCTCCCTTAAGTCATTTTTGAGAAGGATTGATTATAATGGCAATTACCCTGCTTGAAATCTGTTCTGGGCACAAAATAGGAATGTGTCATTTATATTGGGAGAAGCAAATTCTATAGGACTTGAAACCCTCTTCCAAATAAATTCCCAAGGCAATCCTCGACTAGAAGGATATAGGGCAACTAGTTATTTCTCATATGTTGAAATAAAAACTTTCAGAGTCCTGAAGAAACTGAGGAGTTTTCTTATTTCTCACAGCATAAGCAATCACAAGTTCTGATAGATATCTCTCAACTCGATCACTCAAAGGCTGATGCATAGCTGAAGAACTCACCCATTCCACTTCAAATCATGAAAAATCTAAACTCATCTTCACCAAAGAAGTGTAAAAATACAACTGTAGCAAGATTGAAGGACTCAACTGCTATTATTTTATAAGGACACCTTTTTCAATTGTCTTCCTTGAAAAAATTTAGATTCATAGTTCATGACAAATCCAATATGTTCATGGAAGTACAGTATATAGTTTGCCAAAGATTAAAAATTTGCAACCACGCCAAAATATTGAAGGCAGAAATGGTTGTTATACAAAGCAAGTGAAGTTCAAAATTCGACATAATGATCTCGAACTACGGGATGAAAAGGTTTGGTAAGGTTGGAACATTAATTACTCATCTTCTGTATTTCTGGGGAAGGGATTTCCAGAATATTGCCCTCCATTGATTGAATTTGAACTTGGGTTCCACAGAATCCAAAATGAGTTGCAATCATGAAGCTCCCTTAAGTCATTTTTGAGAAGGATTGATTATAATGGCAATTACCCTGCTTGAAATCTGTTCTGGGCACAAAATAGGAATGTGTCATTTATATTGGGAGAAGCAGATTCTATAGGACTTGAAACCCTCTTCCAAATAAATTCCCAAGGCAATCCTCGACTAGAAGGATATAGGGCAACTAGTTATTTCTCATATGTTGAAATAAAAACTTATCAGAGTCCTGAAGAAACGGAGGAGTTTTCTTATTTCTCACAGCATAAGCAATCACAAGTTCTGATAGATATCTCTCAACTCGATCACTCAAAGGCTGATGCATAGCTGAAGAACTCACACATTCCACTTCAAATCATGAAAAATATAAACTCATCTTCACCAAAGAAGTGTAAAAATACAACTGTAGCAAGATTGAAGGACTCAACTGCTATTATTTTATAAGGACACCTTTTTCAATTGTCTTCCTTGAAAAAATTTAGATTCATAGTTTATGACAAATTCAATATGTTCATGGAAGTACAGTATATAGTTTGCCAAAGATTAAAAATTTGCAACCACGCCAAAATATTGAAGGCAGAAATGGTTGTTATACAAAGCAAGTGAAGTTCAAAATTCGACATAATGATCATGAATTTGCAAGGCGAATGGCACGGACATTTCAGGCACCATATTGCAAAAGTCGTGAGCTGCAATGTGGAATGTGTAACCAACTCTTAGTAGTTTCTAGGAAAAATTCTCCACTCTTTAAATTTTGAAATTGCTTTCATTTGTGTACCAATTCTTCTTTGGCTAAGTTTTACTTTTATGGAAGTGAAAAGGACAAGTTGGAAAAGTTTCCTATGTAACAAGTGGTTGGGTATATGCTATTGATGGAGAAACATTTACTGTACTGTTAAACAAAACTTGACACATTTTTCGAGGTGACTCACCCCAGATTCGCGGGATGCTGGTGCGCAGGACTTTCGAAAACACTGCTATCTTTATGGGAAGAACAATGCCTGAAATTAGTTTTAATACTGAGCCGAAGTTACACAGTATAGTCATGTTACAGTATTGTACATTTGTACTGCATGTATATAACAGATGGAATAACTGTGCTCCATCCCAAAGTTTGTATGCTGTACTTCACAGCAGTATTTTGTGAAGTTGTGCTGCTATACTCAACTCAGGAAGTGCAGTAAGATACAGATACAGCGCTGTACATGGGCAGAGCCGCCGAGATTGCTAAGCACCCCATGTACACCAGCAATGGCTGATGCTGACGCACAGCTGAGTCGCAATTTAATAGGATAGCACCATTTTCCCCGAGATTAGGACTTATCCTTAGGAAGAAGGATTCTTGCAACCGGATTGCTCTGGCGATATTCCGCGTGGGAGATCCTTCTATAGTTTTAAACAGATAAATTAACCTTGAACTTGTCCAGCTTGAAAGAAACGGACTGGAAGTGTTATCAGCGGACACCCCTCAATCATTAATGAAATGAAAATGCACATAATGGGCAGTGATATTCCCGACGTAAAGTAACGACATCTACTTTAGACTAACTCATCCGATCCTCGCGTCCAATTACCCCAGCGGCAGTGTCAATGAGACGGCGAGCACCTGAAGGCGTGCAACCGGAAAATCAGAAGAGCAGGGGAACAGTCGACTCCGCTGCTCGACTTTGGAACGTCGAGAAGCAGAAGCGAAGCTTGATTCAATTCAACTGAAGGATTCGTAAACGCCTTGATACTGTATTGCGTATGTGTCGATCAACGAGACTTTGAAGTCCTTCGCGGTAAGCATTTCTTATTGTTCATTGATTATAAGATTCAATTCGTATGGAGAAGTACGATTTGGTTAAAATGTAGCAAACATTGCTGAAACCTGCTATTCTCAATTTTATTTATTGTTCATCTCCAATTCTAATCCATTGAAACTCTTTTCAATAACTTCCTTATTCGGAGGTTGTAGTTTTGCTAGGTGCAGGCATTTTGTTCATGGAATAGGAATCGCAAGGACGTTCCCAATGTTTGTTGTTGCTTGTGGCAGTACTGTATATTATTAGTGTGTGTTTGTCAATTTTTTGTCAAATGAGACCTCTCTTCTGGTCGAATTTGAGGGTAGAACAATCTGGTTTTTTGACATTTCAATTCAAGGCATTTGGTTTTTATGTGGTATAGGTTTGTAAATGGAAATGTGTGTTGCTAAATTATTAGTGCTGATCATTATTCATATATGTCCTATCTGCAGAATGGTGCCTAATCCCTTGTGGATAAAAATAAAGTAATCCTTATTTGTTCTGCTGAATCCTGTGATACTCAAATTTAATATCAAAATTAAGGCAGTACAATTTTACTGAGGGAGTCTTGACATGAAACGTTTCGAGTTTGATATCCTTGTGCTGGTGCGCAGGACTTTCGAAAACACTGCTATCTTTATGGGAAGAACAATGCCTGAAATTAGTTTTAATACTGAGCCGAAGTTACACAGTATAGTCATGTTACAGTATTGTACATTTGTACTGCATATATATAACAGATGGAATAACTGTGCTCCATCCCAAAGTTTGTATGCTGTACTTCACAGCAGTATTTTGTGAAGTTGTGCTGCTATACTCAACTCAGGAAGTGCAGTAAGATACAGAGACAGCGCTGTACATGGGCAGAGCCGCCGAGATTGCTAAGTACCCCATGTACACCAGCAATGGCTGATGCTGACGCACAGCTGAGTCGCAATTAAATTGGATAGCACCATTTTCCCCAAGATTAGGACTTATCCTTAGGAAGCAGAGGATTCTTGCAACCGGATTGCTCTGGCGATATTCCGCGTGGGAGATCCTTCTATAGTTTTAAACAGATAAATGAACCTTGAACTTGTCCAGCTTGAAAGAAACGGACTGGAAGTTTTATCAGCGGACACCCCTCAATCATTAATGAAATGAAAATGCACATAATGGGCAGTGATATTCCCGACGTAAAGTAACGACATCTACTTTAGACTAACTCATCCGATCCTCGCGTCCAATTACCCCAGCGGCAGTGTCGATGAGACGGCGAGCACCTGAAGGCGTGCAACCGGAAAATCAGAAGAGCAGGGGAACAGTCGACTCCGCTGCTCGACTTTGGAACGTCGAGAAGCAGAGGCGAAGCTTGATTCAATTCAACTGAAGGATTCGTAAACGCCTTGATACTGTATTGCGTATGTGTCGATCAACGAGACTTTGAAGTCCTTCGCGGTAAGCATTTCTTATTGTTCATTGATTACAAGATTCAATTCGTATGGAGAAGTACGATTTGGTTAAAATGTAGCAAACATTGCTGATAGGTTTGTAAATGGAAATGTGTGTTGCTAAATTATTAGTGCTGATCATTATTCATATATGTCCTATCTGCAGAATGGTGCCTAATCCCTTGTGAATAAAAATAAAGTAATCCTTATTTGTTCTGCTGAATCCTGTGATACTCAAATTTAATATCAAAATTAAGGCAGTACAATTTTACTGAGGGAGTCTTGACATGAAACGTTTCGAGTTTGATATCCTTGAATTGCATTGCTGGACTGTAATTGGCCACGAATCGAGTGGAAATTTTACTCAGGGGGATTTAAGTGGGCTACATTCAGCATTTCTTGCAAATTTACGGCATTTTCATCGTTCGGGATGCAATTCATTGTTGTATATGTCATGCATCATGCGGTTGTTCCGTGAGTTTTTTTTTCATGTATGTGATTCAGAGCATTGGTTGAACAAGGACACAGGGTGCCACTTCGTAGAGTGAATACTGTGTTAACAGTGATTCTCATCTTCTGTGAATATTTGTGTACTAAAAAGACGATTGTTACTATTAAATCCATGAAGTCCACTTCTCAAAATAAATTGCATATCCGTAACGATGACCCTTTACAGTACCGAACTGTACAGCTTTCAGCAAATCATGGATTTCTTTTGCATCATCCTGAGTTCAGATAAAAATACCATGCTTTTGAATCATTCACGTCACAATTGGATGATTTAAAAATAAATTCTTATTGTTACTTATGCGTGGTGCCCACATGGGGGGCTTGTCAGTACGATGGATTCAGTTGGAACGTACAACGCTGTAACTAAGCTTACTACTGGTGATGAGCACTGAATCAGCTTCTGAAGTTTTTTCTTGCTGGAGAGAACTATACTCGTGACGTCGAACTTGTGCAGAATTTTTGATCGTGGAATTGAAGCCTTTAGGATGCTGAAATATTTTCCTCTTGAGCTACAATTGTCTGCCCCGGGCGCAGCTCCCAGTTCCTGCTGTCGATGTACCAGAAATTCAAGGTTTTTACCACGCTCGGACGAAAAGAAGAACCTGTTGGAACAGAAGGAGCATCGCGTTGGCTGATTTATTTTGGAACTCATTCCAGTGTGCTGTGTATACTTGCTTTGTTGTGTACGTATAAAAATGTCTGGTGAAAATGGAACGCATTGCATTTTCTGCACATTGCCCAGCGTGTTTCCTTCGTGTGTGCAAACTGTAACACTGGTGAGGGTGTGATTTTCCATCTTGGGTGTGAAGAGCTTGCAGATTATTGCCTTCTGTGAGGGCTTGATTGCGGAGGGTTTGTCTGGTGGGGTAAGGCATGCGTGCAGTGCTGGTGTGATGTTTCACGAGGTTCGACAGAGGACCAGAACATCCAAGGACCGGCATCGCGTAGATGACGGGAGTGCGGATCAGGATGACAGGACCAGGAGGTTGGCATTGCCGAATGGTTTTATAAATGGGACAAATGAAAAGAAAAATAGATAAACAGCTGAATTAATAATTTTCACAGGACGCTGATCCGGCTAGCTGGCAAAGAAGAGGAGCAGCTTTTGAGTGGACCCGCTGCTTTAGCGTGTGTCTTGTTTTATGTGGGCATGCTGGTGCTGTGTCTTGTCCAGGATGCCCGCTTGCCCGACGCTCGAACAATAGCTGATGCAGCAACTACGACAAGCCCAAACTCGATGCCTGAATTTGTGGAAGAACGGGCCAGGATGGTGTTGAAGGAGTTGACGTCGCTGGGGCCAAGGCCAACTGGCAGTTATGAGAATGAGGTGCTGGCTGTGGAAGTGGTGAAGCAGCACGTGGCACTGGTGAATCGCACGCTGGACCCGCGGGTCCACCGACTCGAGATGGACGTGCAGGTTGTGTCAGGATCCTTCTCGCTGGAGATGTTGGGCTCGTGGTTTGCTAGCGAGTACAAGCATGTGCAGAATGTGGTGGTACGTCTTAGTCCAGCAACAATAATGTCGCCGGATGGTGACGGAGGCAACGACGCGAAGAAACACAGTAATGACAAGAACGCACTCCTGCTCAATTGTCATTTGGACAGCGTGCCTTTCAGTCCCGGTGCGAGTGACGATGCAGCCAGCTGCGCCGTCATGCTCCAAGTGTTGGATGCCGTGACTCGACAAGCCATCCCGTTGCTTCGTCCCATCGTTTTTCTTTGGAATGGTGCCGAAGAGAACCTACTGCAGGCTTCGCATGGGTTCATAACTCAACACCCGTGGGCCCGGGGCCTAGCTGCCTTCGTCAACCTAGAGGCATGTGGGGCAGGTGGGCGGGAAGTGGTGTTTCAGGCTGGACCCGATTGTCCTTGGCTGGTTGAGGCCTACAGCAAGTCTGTTCCGTATCCCGCAGGCTCCATCGTGGGCCAGGACGTGTTCGATTCGGGTCTCGTGCCCGGAGACACTGACTTCCGAATCTTCCGTGACTTCGGTGGTCTCTCGGGTCTCGACATGGCCTTCATCGTGAATGGCTATGTGTACCACACCCCACGTGACACCGAGGACCGCATCCCACCTGGCTCCCTGCAGCGTGCTGGTGACAATGTTTTGGCTCTTGTGCGACACCTAACCATGACCAATAGTGATGGTGACTCCAATGGTAACAACAGTGTGAACCGTGACTCTGAAGAACAACAACGACGACAAGAAAGCGGCGGCAAGGTCATCTTTTTTGACTTGTTGGGCATCGTGATGATCACGTACCGAACGAAATTCACCGGAGCTGTACTTGTAGGACTAGCACTGGCAACAACGGCTGTATGCACATGGCTCAGACACCGGCCACGGTCTCGGGCTGGTGTCCGAGCCCGAATAACCGCTGCAGCCATGGCATTCTGCGTGTTGCCTGTTTCGTGGCTGTGTGCCCTGGCTGCCAATGCCTGCGTTGCCGCACTGACGCACTGGTGTGGCAAAACCATGTCCTACTATGGACACATGGGTTGGGTCTTCCCGTTGTTCCTGCCTGTCCCATTGGCTGTTGTGTCTCTGGTCCAGGCTAAACTCATGCAGCTCGCAATGCAAATGCTCTCCTTACACAGGCATGACAATAACGGACGGGGAAAACAACAACCATTGCTAAACAGACAGAAGGACGGAGCCTGTGGTTCCATGTTTACGCGACAAGAGGTGGATGAGGAAGAAGAGAAGCTGTACAACAAAGAAGAAGGGCTGGAGGAATGGGGGTCGTGGCCGATGAGAACTGGAGGCATTGCTGTTCTTGTTTTTGACGCATTGGTGGATGCAACGCGACTGTGGCTTGTCCTTGCCCTCGGGCTACTTTCCCTGACTGGCCGTGGTTCCGTCTTCCTGCCCACATTGGCACTTCTGTTGCCTGCAGTTGGCGAGCTGCTGGCCATGGGGCTCCGATTGCGAAAATTCCGTGAGTCTTGCTTCATTTCTCCTGTGCATGAATATTTAAACCTTCTGTGCTGGCAAATGGTCCTTTTCCATCCCAAGATGAATGCAGAATTTTCTTGAGTGGGCCCAAATTAAATTTGTCTCCAAGATGTTGAAACCCCTGCATTCAAGGTAGTGAAGGGGGAAGTTGGATTTTTATCTGGGAATAGAGAATTACTATGATTTTCCAAAGTTGGACTTTTTATGTTGTGACCTCTAAACTTGTATGCTAGCTTTTAAGCTTGAAATTAATCCTTGAATGAGGTGATGTCAAAATCGAAGAGATAAAAACTCAGCCTTGAAGATTTTTTTTCCCCTGAGCAAAAACGAAACAAACAAAAATGACGGGGTTTTTCCAGACTTTGCCCTGCACACCACAGTTATTCTAATCATTCTAATTTGTTTTCCTTTCTCACAAAGAACAGTAAAAGAAATCCGAATTCTCCCGGGGAATAATGCTGCCTTTTCAAAGTCGTGTGCAGCACCCATATGCTTCAGAAATTTTCTACAGGAGTGGGTATCTTTCTAAAATCTCATTTCTGTCACGGTAGCAAATGCCTCAACCCTTTGGGAGTGAAAAAACTCTAAATCATCGCCAATTCAGGCAAAAAATGTTTACCTACTTTGTTCATAGTGTCACTTCTCCTCTGTTGATCCAACTTTAAAAAACTGACCATATTTGCTCTGATAATTTTTCCAGTCTAAATGACGCAGTTCCAAAAATGGCCAGGTCTCAGAAAACCTTGAAGCAAATTTTAGCCAGTCTTGAGGATAGTAGCCAAGTCAAAGAATGTCGGGGAGGGGGATAGAAAGAATTCCCAGGATTCTCTTGATCCAAATAATCCTTCACATCCATGTCTTCAGAGCGAAATGTACCATTTCCCATAAGCATGCATTCCTGTGCCTCAAAGCATTCCTATCTTATTTTCCACGAAAAAATTGTGATCAAAAGTTGCTTCCCTTTGTCCCACATTCATATCTGTTATAAGTAAGCGCCTGTCTTTAATGAAAGTCAGTTTCTATTAAATGCTTGAAGAAAAACTTGATCGGTTGAATAATTTCCACAATCGTTTATTGGAGCATATATGGTAATTCCTATGCTGTCCCTTGATCTCGATGAAATTAATCTTCGAAAAAGGTGAAAAACCTTGATTTAAATTTAGTAGGCAATCTCTGCGATTTGAGTACAGTACATTGTGACCCCAGAGTAGCAGATGCCCTGACATTTGGACATTTTGACCTGAGGACACTTGCAACTCAAAAAATCTGCCACAACATCCAGAAAATGTCTCAAGATGAAAATTTCTAGAAAAAAGGAACTTATATTTATGATTTTTCTCACAATCTTGACTTCTCTTGAAAAAATTCAGGTACAGTTTTCATATTGGAAAGCTTCAAAATAATTATTATAAATTTTCCCATAATTCTTGATCCAAAAAAGCAATTTTCGTGATTCTTGTGGACTTTTTCATCTGCACAGTATAGCAAGAAGTCTCCCTTTTTTTTTTTTTAGCTCATTCCCATGTCAAAATGACAGACTTTCGTTTGGTTACTTGCACATTTATTTTCTGTGTATTAATGGAAGTTGAGGAATTATTCAAGTTTTTGAGACAGGAGGTTCGCATAACAGTATTACAGCAAAATCAACGTGCGAGCTACTTTACATGGGCGTGGAAAATGTAAAGTGAACACCTGGACAAAAACATAATAAAATTTGGAGTCAGGATACTTGAAAAAAAGGGAATAATAGATTTTTTCATTATTCTGGACTGTGTATGAAAATCGTTTTCCTTTTTTCTGTGTTGCTTTTTAAACCATGGAAATAATTTACAGCTGGGTCTTGACTTAAAAACATCATACAAAAAATTGTGTTTCTTTCAACACCCCACTTCATTTGCCAATGGCATTCCCAAGAAATCCTGGACATTTCATAGAGATTCAAAACAGTCAGTTTAGGGATTTTTGGGGTCTGGAGTCGAATATAAATTCACCATAACTTTTAGAAAACTTGTTCAGTGGACTTTTCAAGTGATTGTCTGACAAGAAGCAAAATAAAATTCCCTGACAAGATGATATTTAAAGGGAATGAAAAATATTTTGATATTCTTGATCATGTTGAAAATCATTTTCCTTGTTAAAAAAAAATACTGTATGGGAGTGGGCAGGATATTCAATTCCATAATGATTCACAACTCTCATAGCAGGAACTTTTGGGCCTGGAGTAAAGCAGAAATTCCCTGTACAGTACCGTTCAAAAAACGTTCATGGTGAGCTATTTGAATAATGGAAATTCCACTGGTGAAAATGACATTAATAAATTGAGGCACCACAATCCTGTTGAATAGTTTATCATTAAAGAAACATTGTTGTCTTTTGACTGCTTTCCAATCTGCAAAAGTCATCAATATCATTCATCAGACATTCATCAATTTTCTGATGTTTCTGCTATCAGTCACACCTATTCTTCACAATACTGTAGAAAATAATTTTGTACCATAATCAATTAGTACGATTTGTTTGAAAAAAAGAGTTCCCGAGAAAAATTTCATCAGTTGAACTCTTTTTCAGCAAGCAGGGTGACATAAAATATTTATCAATCGAGTAAAAAAACTGAGCTCATCAAGGTGACCTTCAGTTGTACAATATTTGGTGCTCACTTGACCTGCAACTTCCGACAAGAGCTCAACTTATACCCGCTTCTGTCACTCTTTGCCACTCTTCTTTTATTTTCGGGTTCAATGGGTTTGTGTTCAGGGATTCAAACTGCGGGCCAAAATTGAAGATGAATTCTGGAATGTGGGAGAAAAAGAAAATGAGACCTTGCAGGTCTGGTCCTTTTTGTAAGGTATGAACTTCAATCCCAAAAAAAGTACTGTGTAGTACAGTACATGAATGACCATTAATAATTGTAGTAAATTTTCACAAAAATGTGTGGGTATGAATTGTTCTAAGTTTGACGTTTCACAAAAGGTTGAAACATTGAATCATTCTGTTGTACTGTACTGTATTTCTTGCTGACATTATCTCTCCTAGTAAATTTTCATGTCTTTGCAATACAAACTGTATACTGATCTAGACCCCACTTTCTTTCAAATACATAAAGCTGAAGGGAAGCAGTATTTTTAGTAAAAATGTTCATCACCTTGAAAAATCCACATCTGCAAAGCATTTCTTGCCAAATCCACAGCTGCCTATCATTTCTTTCTAAATCCAACAAAATCTTCAATTTGCAGAACATTTATCTCATATTGGCCAGATTTCATTGCTCTAATGAATGCTCATGAATTATTCATGAAGGTGCATGCAAATTGTGCAGGCAATGTTTCTTGGGCGACAAAACACAGATAAGAGGGACCATGATTTATACTGTACACTGAAAAGGAATGGTACACACAAATACTTCCTCAAATTGTGGAAAAGCCTGAACAAAAAATGATAGCTCATCTCAAAAAATACTGCCCATTTTGTTCCAGAAACTTTCCAATCCAAACTTGGCTAAAAAAAAATTAAAAATTAAAATACAAGAATGGCTCTGGTTGATACATAATTATGACATTACAATATACATTCCCAGCAGTCAACAAATTTCTGCAACAGTGCTGTACCACACTGCTCCTATAAAAGTTTTGTGAAGTGGATCAACAAAATTGTTATTAAAATGATGTGCATGCAAAAAACCTTCCCATGCCGGGAATTGAACCCGGGCCTTCTGGGTGAAAGCCAGATATCCTAGCCACTAGACCACATGGGAGGACATGGAGGGGATAGATATAAAATCTGATTTTTAAAACAAATTCTTTCTAGATACTTCATCAAAACTAATACTTTTCCACTGGACTATGTTTTCATCATAAAAGAAAACAATTCCAGCAAGATTTGTCAGAAGTGTGATATGCAGTATCTTCTGCCAAGAAACAAACACAAAGTTACAAAACAAAAGAGTGTTCCCATGCCGGGAATTGAACCCGGGCCTTCTGGGTGAAAGCCAGATATCCTAGCCACTAGACCACATGGGATGCTTAGGATTACTTATCACAAATTGAACACCAACAATGTTCTGTATCACCCACAGTATTTGTAATAATCCCAATACAAAATCCCTCACTCATTGGAGGGAAATTCACAAATAAATCTTTAAAATCCACAATGAACATCACATGGAAGCAGTAATGCTTTGCACTTTTCAAAAAGTAAAGAAACTGTTCCAAAGTTATGTATCAACATCACAACCCTGCTAGAATGGATACTTCATCCATCTTATCTTGTTTGGTTTCAAAATAAATACTTATCAAACACTGAATACTACTGCACTTTAAAATTAGGAAAAGACTGGATTAGGTTAATGAAAGCAATGATGGGTATTACTCATGTAACCATTTAAACAGCCCAAACCTTGGTAACGTTCACAAATCCGAGTTTAATAATAATTTCATTATACCCACAATAGACAGGTCAGCTCAATTTACATTTTTAAAATTGTAACAATGAAGATAAGTAAATTAGGACACAAAAATTATGACTCAACATTCATGGAAATTTTTCCACAAATCAATCTGAAGAAATACCAAGAAAAAAGCTGCTTCTTTCCATACGGCAGGATTTCCTGAGTCCAATTTTAAATGGTTCAATCAAGATGGAGTAATTACTAAATTGATCAAAACTACTGATTTATTTAATAAGAACAGTCAACAAATCTTCTTCTGAGCAGATTTAATTAAAGTTACAGTACAGATAATCAAGACACATCAATCACAAGTTTTCAGAAAATTTTCAAAATTCCAGCATATTTCAACAACACATGCAGTGAATATAGGGTCATAAGTCATAGCCCAACAAGTCATCAAATAGAGCACATCAATAGCACTGGCAACACTTCCATGAACTTCCACTTAAAAAAAGCAATTAATTTTCACACCAACAACTTCATTGCACTAATGCTGCTTCACACTAATTAGGGCAGAGGAACATTTGCCAAACGCTAGCCCCTCCCACAAACCACCTTCCAGGAAGTACTCCATGATTCAAAAGGAAATCAGTTAATGAAGCCATGGTTCCCCTGGTGATTATGCTGAATTTTTTATGCTCTGCAGGAACAAGCAGCCATGTGTATCCATAACCCAATGGGGCAGAAAAGGGGGAAGAAGTTGGTGTGTGGCAGTGTAGGAGAGCTAATTGTGATCACATACACCCATCATGCAAGGATGGTAGAGCCAACCTTGCTTGGTGGAAAATAATTTACAGGAACAAATATCCCTTATGATGTTCTGAATGAATACCCAAATTTAGTACCAACAAAAATGTTTCTAACTTTTGACAGTAGAAGCACTGTCACAAATCAGACACAATTGATATGACATCATAGAGATTTACGTATTTCATATTAAAATTTGTGAATGTAATTGAATTTGTAGACCTCCCTTGATTTAGTGCCATCCTTGTTTAGTGCCACAAAATCTTATGGGACAAACTGTGACACTAAATTGGTGATTGACTGTATTTCACTATGCTTGACAGCACCCTTGAATAAGACAAGCACTTCAGTTCGGCTGAAAGTTTGGGGAAATTCCCATTCCTGCATAAGGTGCAAACCTCACATTTCCCCTCTTCTGAGTTACTAAGATTAAATATTTTTAAATTGGTAATTGTAATGAAATTTCACCAGGAAAACAGCTTTGTAAAAAATGGTTGCGCACAAACTCTTTAAAAATGTTGGATATTGGGCAGGGACCTGAAAAATAACCTTGTTCTGATCAATTATTTGGTGCTACAAGATTATACAGTACTGTATACTGGATATAGATGTACAGTATTTTTTATTTTTTTGCTTCACAACCCTTGAAGGGACTTTTTTATATATTTTCAAATGCTTTGCTTTCCTTGATCCTAAGCCTCCCTGAAACAATATTTGGACATTCCAAGCCTGTAGGTTTGTTTTTTGCATTTCTTGGAACACTGGAACAGCAAAACTGTCCAATAGGCATTGTTTGCATCACGGGAGAACCAAGTGAAAATGTTCCAATTGAATTACAGTACAGTATTTTTTATTCAATTGGATCTAAAAATGTGCAAAATTGAATTTCCTCACCACCTCAAATAAAAAAAAAAAAGGTTGTGGGCGTTTGATTTTTGTGCGAATGTGCAGCCTTCACATTTAATGAGACAATGAACAAATCTGTAGTTTAAAGCAGCCCTTTTCCTGAAAATTATGAAAGGGAATTTTAGTACATCTCCTGGAGTTTGAGGATCAAATAAAGAAGCAAAATTTTTCAAAAGCAAACCAGGATGATGAATGTTGATGCCACCATCCGTTTCCCTGCTACTTGACCTCACCAGACTGGACGTGGCTTTGTGTGTACCTGAGCAGTCAAACCGTGCACCTACTTGCCCTGATGACAATTGCCATGCAAGGCGCGCAAGTGTTTGTGCCAGTGACTGGTCGCACCGGTGGAGGCGTGAATGCAGACCTGGCCCTGGGCTGCCTCAACGGCATCTGCTTCCTACTCATCACCCTCTTCCTCATGCCGCTGCTGCAGGTGATGGGCAGTCAGCAACGCCGACGGCTCCAGTGGGCGTGTGTGGCCGTGACGGGCCTGGTTGTGGTTGCCCTGATGGCCACCAATGTGGGCTTCCCGTATCGCGCGAGTGAGGACAGCCCTCGACTGCAGCGCTTTCTAGTGGCGGTATAATAATGAAACATTTCCACTGTTACCTTTTTCCTTGTTCTTTATTTTATTATTTTGTTATTGTGCGTGATACAATAAAAACATAGTGAATAGAAGCCAGCTTCTTATAGTAGGAATATTTTTGACCAAATTAATCCTTCCCACGATTTAGCCCTTCCTCCATTCCTGTGTCTGAAGCACCAAACTTAGAAAACCTTTCTGTTCAGTATTTTATGAAGCATTCCTGTCTCAGTTTCTACGATCAATTGTAGATCCAAGTTTTTTCACCTAATTCATCCTCCTGTTATTCAATTTTTTTCTTCTCTTGTTACACAGCAACAACTGCTGGACATAATACTGTAATACTGTAGCCGGTCTGTATTAAAGGCCGAGGGGGGGGGATTGAAAATTGCAAATAAACGCAAGGGCATTTGTTGGACCATGCTGTAAATGAGTACTCAAGTATCACGCGCATCTTTTTTTGCAGCAATTGAGAAAAGAAAAAAGGGTTTGGAGGGTACTTGGGGATAAATTTTAAAGGAAAAATCCCCGAAACCAGTGCCCCTCATGGGCATGTGCATACATGTAAGCAACAACAAAAAGTGAAGAGGTAATTTGTGTCACCAGGTCTCCTTGTCCACCAGAAATAATGGTTCAAGCAATGAGAATTTTAGGAATGTATCAGTGGAGATGCAACAGAAAGTATAAGAAGTTGAAGATATTCATATAATTGAAGAAGCTGCCATATATTGCAAGCCCATTTAAACTGTTTCAGCAGAAAGTAAAACACAGGAAAGACAAAATGTAAACATGGAAAAATTGATCCACATTCAAAAAATATTTTAAAAATCAAAATTTTAAGCAACAAAAAACTGGGTGTAGGTCTTACACAGGTTTAGATTTTTTAATTCCTCTTTTAAAAAAACGTGGGTGTCTTATTTACTTTAGGGTGCCTGGTACTTGAGTAAATACAGTAATTTGTATCCAGTGAAATTTCATCATGACAAACTTTTTGGGACTCCAGAAGAAGTTCATCACATTAAATAGTTTGTTATAGGAAGATATTTGAAGTTGATGACTGGAGACATTTTCAACATCAGACCTGTTGGTATATTCAAATAGATTTTGCTTTTCTAGCATTCTCAGATTTTTTAAATATTGTTTAAAAGCTGAGTGATTTTCTGAAGAAAAAATTACATCAGTTGCACCAATCTCTTCATTCTGGGAGGATGATGTTTGTGGAATCACTTGGAAGCATGTTTGTCATTGATTACAGCTTCCACTCGTGCTACAAGAACCAGTCAGTCACATTTGGGATCAGAAATGTCAGACTGTCCCTGCATTAACCAGGAAATTTTTAACTGGAGATCTATTAAACATTCCACAAAACTGTTCATCATACTGGATGTGGGAAGTTTTTTATAACAAAATTGTTTCAACATTTACTTTATGGGCTTTCTGTTGGAGCTTGAGAACAAGTTTTTTATTCTGAAAATTTTGTTGTGACAGTATTTGTTGTAACAAGATTTCTCTGTAAAATTTACTCCAGTGATATTGTTCAAGCTAGCCAATCAATCAAGGTTTTTTTTTGATTAACTGTGGGGATGAGATAATTTTAATTTGAAATGAACGGCAGTTAAACTTATTTTGGCTTCAGCAAGAACAGAAAAGTCCAAAAAGTATTCAAGCAATCAATTCCTATCCTGCCATAAGTGACAGAATGTTCTAACCGTGGTGTAGGCTTTAAAAATTGCAACACACTTAGTGGGAAAATTATTATTGTTACCAGAAGAATAATAGACATGATTTCTCCATAAAATGAAACAAATTTGACAGCTTGAACACTATGGATTGTGGTATTTTGGCATACGAATAATTCAAATTCCTCAATTTATTTTGTTGTTGTCGAAACACGCAGCACACTTGGCGTCGGTTCCATGGGCCAGATGGACGGGTGTTGCGCGAAGACGCTGGGATGTGGGTCACGCACCTGGACGCGCACGCAGGGACAACGTTGGCCCGACATTTGCTGGAGTTGCCTCATCCTCTCAATGGTGCTGCTGATGCTGCTGCAGAGTCAGAGCACAGGCAAGGAGACAATGATGATGTTCAGCACTTTGGGCTGGACGACTGTGAGGAGCGAATGTGGTGTCACGCACCTGTTTACTACCCCGCTGTCCGACTCCTGTCGTGAGTTGTGAATGCCTTGTTTATTTTTTTTTTTACAGCCGACCTACGAGTATTACAGTCGATTTTCAAGGGACCAGCAAAAAAAATTGGTTTACGGAGGTTTTGTGCTACAATTGTATGTGTTGGGGAAGGGGGGTAAGAAATACTGGAAATTTGTGATCAGTGATATTTCAGTCCTTGAATATTGCTTCGTAATTATTAAATGAGTTGACAGGATGCTGAAGTTTGAGGCAAGGGTCCGTTTGCCAAATGAGTCTTTTGCTTTCCATTCTTTGTGTGTCCCCACAACTGGTGCACACTGGGGTCACAACTGGTGTACATGGGCTACTCTGGGGTTACAAGCACGCACCTCTGTCAATGAAATTTTTATACCATTCCAGGGCTACATTTGGTGCACAAATGTGACATAACAGGAGTATCACAAAAATGCACCAACTGTAACCTTGGTGTAACTTATTTATTACAAATGTGACCCTGAGTAACCCAGGTGTGAACACACAATTGGTGCACATTAGGGATATACGTGTGCAACAGAAAAACTTTGGTACACTTCAGGTGCACAGCAGGATCAATGTGTAGAAATACAGACACATCCCCAGTGTGCACCAATTTCCCCACTCACGTTCATTTCAAAACAGGTCAAGTTACATTTTATTGTTTTTCTCTTTCCTGTGTCAATAAAATAATAGCAAGAAAAGCTCTCCAGAAAATTCATGTTTTTTAGGTTTGAGGAGGAGAGCCTTTGGGTTAGGGAGGTTTTTAATGCATTGTTTCTAAGGGAATTCAGACAGGAACTTGGAACAATTTGACATAAGGAGGTTTGAGTTGTCAAAGTGTTCAACTATATAAATATTGTATTTTTCCTTCTTTTTTTGGGACAGGGCTGCGTCTTGGGTTCCAGCTCCCAAGCCAGCAGTTGTTAGGTCCACACCTGTGCTTGTGTGGAGTGCGAGTCAAGTGGAGCGAAATGTCTACAATGTGTCTCTCAGAATCCAAGGTGAGTTCATATTTAAATACAGTGCATCATACAGTGGAACCTCTGTAAGTCAAACTTCAAGAGACCAGTGAAAAGAAAATCGAGTTGTTGAGGTTTTGAGTTAGAGAAACGAGCATTTTTTGTTTGTGAATAGTAAGAAAATTGTAATTGGTGATATTCTAGGCCTTAAATGAATTACCGAAATGCTCAACTTGGAGGAAAAGTTTCGTGTGCCCAAATATTCCGCCAATTCCTTGTTAAACACATCAAGTTACCTTTGTATTGCTTTTCTCTTTTCCTGTGTCAATAATTGCCAAAAGCTCTCCAGAAAATTTGGGTTATGGAGGTTTGAGGGGGGGGGGAAGGCTTTGAGTTGGTGAGGTTCTTATAATACGTTGTAAATTCAGACAACGATTTGAAAAAAAAATCGAGTTACCGAGGTTCCACTGTATTCATTTGCAATGAATGGTCAGTGTGTTTTTGAGAATGACGGGAGAGAGAAACGTTCACAGGGCCGGATCACATGACTCTCATCGTGTCCCCGAATTTTGGCTGGCAAATGGACAGCTGGTCCTTGGCAGGCCCCGTGCACGATTCGCAGCTGGCCTATTCTGGACGTCGCACTTACTTTCTCTACTTTTCTTACGGTCTGCAGCCGGATCTTTGGACGCCTTGGTTTCTGCTCAAGGTATGCGCATGCCAATTTTTTGTACTGATAGTTGGTACGGTAATTTTTTTTTTTTTCAATTGTGAAACGCAGAAGGACGCTTCCGATCCAGGAGCAACAAAAGGAGATGTGGACGAGCTTCTTGAGTTGGGACTCACGGGCCACTCAATCCACGGCAATGACGCGCAGGATGATTACCTGTCTGCGTTTCTGGCCCGGTTCCCAGCCTGGACTTACCCTGCAGGCTGGACATGTACCTACGACAATTACCGCATTTCTCGTTCAAACAGCTAAAATCTCACTTCGCCAAGAAGTTATGGGCTAGCGGTTGAGACGACTTTTTCCTCGGCTTCTTTGGTGCATTTGAATAGGGCATTGCATGGGAAATGCAGACTCTTTTGGTGTGTCTCACTGTTGTCTATTCTCAGTTTCAGCGATTATTCTTGTGATTCAGCTACTCATGGTCTGAAGAACTTTCTGTTCATAAAGTCAGCAAGAAAATATCTTTACTGAAAAATATTTTATTTTTTGCTGTAGTCCTTGTAATCTTTTTCAGAACCAAAGAGCATAAGTTTCTTTGGATGAATCCAAAGTAAATGTTCATTCCCTCGTTTTCCCTGAATTTACCTCAATATTTATGTAATGTGTTGTATTTCAGTGACATTGTTCGAACTAACAATTTAATCCTGGTGAATATTTTTTTTAGGCATAATTTTTTTTTAATTAGGGCAGCATGTCCACTGTGGAAATAAGATAATGTAATCTCAGTGTGAATGATCACCAGTTCAACTGATTGTTGCTTCAGCAAGAACATAAGGAGTCTGAAGAAGTATTTAAGGTTAAGGAATCAATTAGAGTATTATTTTGCCATCAAGCAGTGGCATAATGTTCCCACTGTGGTATAAGCACTAAAAATGCAACACTCTCGGTGTGATTGTTATTAAGACCTGAATGGGATTGGAAATAATTTTTTGGGTTCATTTCTACACCTTTAATTGAAGAAAATCAAATTTGACTGCTCAGCATCATCATCCTTGTGGATGAGAATAAGGTTTCCCTATATATATACTGTATATATGTATGAGATGTGACCATTCCAAACCATTTCCGGATTGATTGTTGATGTCCTGTGTAATGTCTTGAAGTGTGACGACTACACATTAGTAACGCATTGCTATACATATGTTGATAATACAGTACTGTATTATAATTGAGTAAAATTGGGAAAACTGAAGGACTAAGGTTACATGTACAAGTGCTGCATACATCATTCTCCAGCAGCTCAAACAAAACATTGGAGGAAAAGATTCGTGGGCCCGAATAATGTTCCGTCACTTTCTTTTGGAACACATCAAGTTACCTTTTTATTGCTTTTCTCTTTACCTGTGTCAATAGCCAAAAGGTCTCGTGTACCTACAACAATTACCGCATTTCTTGTTTGAACAGCTAAAGTCTCTCTTCGCCGAGAAGTTATGTGATGGCGTTTGACTTTTTCCTCTTCTTTGGTTGGGGCTTCACGAACAGAAACATCTGTATTCTAAATGTGAAAAATATTGTACAGGTATAGGGATATTAGATAGGTAAGTAGCAGCAGGAATTTGATCTGTGTCTACTAATTTGCTATTGCCAATTGAAGTAAGGCAGAATCAAAGTAGCGCCAAATCATTCGGGAAGCCATGTACTCTTAACGTTACTATCGTTACTGCGACATCTACATGCGAAACGATTACTGGCGAAACTCTAGATCGTGTTCAAACGAGCCAATGGGACGCGATCAGGTGATCGCGGGAGTGTAGTGACCGGACGTTGGTCAGCGCAACGGATGCCAGGATTGTCATTGCCCTTTAAGCTTAGTAAGGGATCCCTACCAGGACCCTTAGAGCGACATCTAGCGGTACCTCAACTAACCGTCCACGTCATCCACCCAGTTGTCACCTGAGAGAAGATAGTGATCACGATTGGAGGAGATGCGGCGGAGACCGAATAGAGACACTTCACTTGAGTTCTGACTTCTGACCTGGAAAGAGCTATTTTATTTGTGACTGTGATTGTGTTGTGTTTTCGTGTTGTCTGTAATTTCGGAGAAGGACATTAATAAATCCTCCGATTACTGAGAGACACTTCACTTGAGTTCTGACTTCTGACCTGGAAAGAGCTATTTTATTTGTGACTGTGATTGTGTTGTGTTTTCGTGTTGTCTGTAATTTCGGAGAAGGACATTAATAAATCCTCCGATTACCGCTGCGCTGGACTCTTTTATCAAATCTTACTGCTTTGAAGTTGTTGTAATCGAAATTTTTGGTGAATTACTGCGTAATGTGATACGTCGAAGTTTTCTGGACCCTATATCTTTCTTCGCTGAATAGCGAACCCAAACTTCCATATTGAGTTCCCCTCCTTTGTGCCAATGGGTGCAACGCTGTGTGATGAGGATCTGTTGTGGATTCTGAGCTCTCCGTCGCTCCTCTCCATCGTGCTACTGATCTAGAGATATGAGGTCTAGGGCTGTAGGAGAATAATTAGTAAAACACTATTGCGCTAGATGTCGCTCTGTAAGTCCTGGCAATGCCTTACTATTCCGTCTGCACTGGATAAGCTCGCCTCTCCTCCGAATGTGATAGTGATCTCCTTCCTGGCTAAGCCTGGGTGGGATGATACTTCGGGTGTAGGCACTTCCGATTAAAATAGGTAGGTGTCGCTCTTAAGGGTCCCAATAGGGATCCCTTACTGCTTTGAAGTTGTTGTAATCGAAATTTTTGGTGAATTACTGCGCAATGCGATACGTCGAAGTTTTCTGGACCCTATATCTTTCTTCGCTGAATAGCGAACCCAAACTTCCATATTGAGTTCCCCTCCTTTGTGCCAATGGGTGCAACGCTGTGTGATGAGGATCTGTTGTGGATTCGCGATTGATCTGAAATCTTGGTGTTCTAAACTTATTTTATTGGTTCCCTCGTAAAAATTCGCGTTTTCCCAGGTGTCATAGTCTCTTTTTATTTGTTCCATGTGATCACCGTTTTCATTCACAGCTGACAGTGACCATGGAGAAAATCGAACCGGTGCCAGATTTTGAGTGGATATTCAGCGATTCTGATTTATGTTCTTTGCGTGCTGAGGATGAAGGGGTGCTTAGTGATTTTGACGAAAGCCTGATGGAACGATGGCATAAATCCTTGTCGAAGAATGTTCTCAGGTTTCGCCCGCCTGGTTCTCATGCTTGGAAGAATCTCGGTTCGCAATATGGTTTTTATGTAATGCTCAATCCGGGGCGAATGATGAATCGTCGCACGCCAAAAATATTTCAGACTACTAAAGATCCTCTCGATCCAAACGAATTCAACTTCAACAAGATAAAATCGGATGAAGTATTGATGACGTTAGTTTACCGCAAAGCAGAAAAAGCGACCATCCTCGTGAACTTGAGTCCGTTCGTTATAAGTAGCTCCTTATTGGTTCCTTCGCTACCGAAACTTCTCCCGCAAGTTTTGAATGAGGAAGCGATAGACGCTGCGCTCACTGTCCTGCATCTCAGTCGAGCACCGTAAGCATAACTGTTTTTGGGAGTTGTTAATCAATGATGTACTTCTCAAGGGATCGATATTCTCAGAAATCTTCGCATAGCGTACAATTCAATGTGCGCTTACGCTTCTGTGAATCACCTTCATTTTCACATGTTTTACGATGACATGCCTTCCTACCTGGGGAATGTTGTTCTTAAACGATTAACGAATGATTGCTACGTCTTGGAGGAATATCCTGCTCCGGCCTTCGTTTTCATTTCTGAAGGAACACAAATCCAATCCACGGTCCAGTAAGCTTCGTGTGGCATTTTATTGAGTATTAGCAGGGTCTGTTCACTGTTTTGTTTGTGTTAGATACATCATGGTATTGGTCAGATGGCTTCTCGAAAATGATATTGCTCACAATGTTTTCATCACGCGAGGGTCAAATCCGAATGGGAGCGACGAACTTGTTGGTCGTTGTTACGTGTGGGCGAGGGAATCTTACTTCGGTATGCATTTGGGAGTATAATTTACAAAGCAAATAATTTTGATTGTTTTGAACCCTAGGAAGTAAAGAAGGAGCGAGATTTTTTCCGGCTGTGCTTGAACTCGCTGGACGAATTATTGTTTATGAGGAAAGCGTTTTTCAGTCGATCACCGAAGAAGAAATAGCAGCGAGGCTCGCAGAAGTTGTGTCACCCATCTTTGGAAGGATACGTGATCATATTGCGTCCGTATTTGAGAAATTACAAGTGTCTTCACAGCGTTGAATCTACCGTGATGAGGTGTGGTGTCCTCGTAATCACTGCGTTGAGTGTACTTTGTTAGCATATTGAGTGAAGTGACATCAATTTTCGATTTTTGTGATTCTATTTTACGGAAAGAAAAATATGGGATCTGCGTCCTGGTTTTGGTTCCTTCTTAGTGAATTACAATACTGTGTTCTTTTCAGTGAAGTTGGGATTCTAGTTCTGTGAATTGTGACGAAAATGCCGAAAGTTCGGACGAAAACGAGGAAGCCGCCTCCAGAAGGGTGGGAGTTGATCGAACCAACACTTGAAGAAATCGAGCAAAAAATGAGAGAAGGTAAAGAATATATTTCCTGGTTGCGAATCGTCAGTTAACTGTGGATCTTGAAAAATTGTTTCAATTTTAGCCGAAACTGAACCTCACGAGGGGAAGCGCCGAGTGGAAAGCCTGTGGCCCATCTTTAAAATCCATCATCAGAAGTCACGTTATATTTATGATCTCTTTTACAAACGCAAGGCCATCAACAGAGGTACGTCATCCATTGTATCAATTTAAACAGATCATCAACAATACCATTTGGCAATTCTTCATGCTTTACTTCCGGGTACCGTGATATCATCAGTGCTCATTGTAACGTTTTAAGAGTTGTCATTTTTTTTTGACCAATGGTGGACAAGGAATGCAACATTTTGGGCGGCAGATGAACTATATCTTTAGTTTCTGTTTTTTTGACAAATATCGACAACTGCGTTTTCATTTTTCGGAATACTGTACCTGTAATCGGTTAGGGTTTCATGGAATTCTTCTCAGTCAGGGGATTTCCAGGAAAGTATTTTAATGCTTGATTTTTTTTTTAGAATTGTACGAATATTGCCTCCGTGAAGGGATAGCAGACAAGAACCTCATTGCAAAATGGAAGAAACAGGGCTATGAAAATCTGTGCTGTCTCCGATGCATCCAAGCTCGAGATACAAATTTCGGAACCAATTGCATATGTCGTGTTCCAAAAGCGAAACTCGAGGAGGTTTGTGTCCAGATTTCTTCATTCATTCTATGAAACAAAAATTTTTTGTTTTTGCGGAAAAGAAAAGAAATCGCGGTTTCAATGATGGTTTCCTTTTCCAGGGACGAATTGTGGAATGCATACACTGCGGATGTCGTGGTTGCTCTGGCTGAAGCGAATCGTTTCTGGTCTGTCGTTTTCATTATCGTGTCCATTATTTGATTTTGAAAGTGATTTTTTGTGAAATAAAAGAATTTCCAGCTTACGTGAAACTTTTATTTTGGAACCGACTCGTCTTTCTAATTATGTCTCATCATGGATGTAAGTGTTTCCTCATTCCTTTTTTCTCTTCATGCAGATTCTCGTGAAGTGTCGATATGAAGCTGAACCAAGCGTCGGACTTGGATCGGCAACGAGTGTATTACAAGAAATATCAGAATCTTCGTCGGCGAATGCGGTTAACGATTTTGGAAAATGCTGCGCTTGCAGCAACTCTGGACGAGTTTTCACAAAAGGTAAAAGAAATGTCTGAAGAGAACGAAAAATTGAAAGAAAAAGTGGCTGCTCGCGAGGAAAGCAGAACAGCATCCTGATCGCAATGATTTATTCTTCAAGCAATAGGATTCGACGATAATTTTTGGTGAGGTTTTATCCAGAAAATTAAATAGTGTATAAATGTGACCTTCGTTTTTCTTCGCAGGTTATGTTTTTGATGTGATGAAGGAAATTCTCAGTGAAATTGAATCGTTTTATCGTGTTCGATTCAAGTGATGGAAAAGAGCCAATATTTTCTTTATCCTACTCGCAGATTTTCCCCCGATTTTGTTGTTACTGGGCTTTTAAGTGAATTTGTGCCATTAAAATATGACGGGGAGTGAAGAAGAACGCATGGAGGTGGACGAAGATGAGCACCAAACCGACAACGACGGGGTAGTAAAGAAATCAAAGAAGAAGAAAAAGAAGAAGGATAAGAAGCATCGCCATAAAGACAAGGTTTTCCGCGTAAATTCCTCGTTAATCGAATATCATTTGATACAATTTTGTTCTGTAGGACCGGAAGAATAAGGATGAAGTGCCAAATTCTTCGACGGCGTCGCGAGATGCGAAGCTACTGAATGCGGTTGCTTCAAAGCTTTTGTCGATGTTTGAGTTGAAAGACGAGCGCAAATTTTTTGCTTGGCCGGTGACTGACCAAATCGCGCCTGGCTATTCAGCCATCATTGCAAGACCAATGGATTTTGCAACTATGCGCGGCAAAATTCGGTCGGGAAAGTATACTTCTTTAAAAAATTTCAAGGTTAGTGTTGTTCAAATTTTTTCAATTATTTTATTTTAATTTAATAAAATTGAATTTTATGTAGTTGTTGCCAGCATTTTTTTCAAGGTTGCATGAATGTCTTTTTTTCGAGCAAGTTAATCGAAAATAGTCGAGTGGTTTAATTTTGTCTCTCGTCATTTCTTGTCCATATTTTGAAACAAGTTTAACTTCTCATTTTGGCTGACATCGATGACGAGAGGGGGAAAAATCAATGCACTGGTTTAGCTCTGTTCAATCGATGCATGATTTCAAAAATTGCGTTAGCTATCTTATTTAAAATTAATTGTAAGCTTCTGTGAATCCTATACATTTTTCCTCAATTTTTCCTGAAATTCCCCACGTTCCGACTGGAAAAATAACCCCAGAGAGCTAATATCTTTCATTTTCCACAAGTTGGATGATATATATTTTGAGGAATGACTAATACTGAAGTCAGCTTTTTCTAATCGAGTTTTAAAAATTAATCTCGCATTGTTCTCTGGCTTTGCAGGAGGATTTCGAACTGGTCTGTACAAATGCGCAAACCTATAATCAGCCTTCAACTGTGTATTACAAAGCTGCCAAGAGACTTCAGCATTACGGGAAGAAGGCTATGCATTCATCGCGGATTCTTGACTTGAAATCCGAATGTCCCGAGTTTGAGGATCTTACGTATGACGACTTGGCGCGCGATTTTCAACCGTCTGTGGAACCGGCAGCTGCTGCCGACAACAAGGAGTAAGTTTAGATTTATTCGATTATATATTAGATATGTAAGGTCATTCGGGATGAAAATTATTTTCGTTGTGCGTATATTGTTTGAACATATATGCTTATTGTTTTAAATTTGTATTTCAAAGTCTTTGGCCTACAATAGTGTAATTACAGTTCTCTTAAATCTAAAAAAAAACCCAATTTGTTCGTTTAATGCAAGTCGACTGCCTTCAACGATACTCAGGTCACCGACAGATGATTCCTAATACAAAAATACTGATCTATAAGAGTTCGTATGTTGATGAATAAGGCAGACGTGAAATTAGTTCTCCGAAAACCTGCATTATGAATCGTATCAGTGAAGTGAAAGTTGTGATTTTGATGAAAAAAAGAAAATGATAGCTTTCGCTAAATTATCACTCGATTTATCGAAAATCGGTTTATCGAAGTTGTGTTGTTGCCAGGCCATGATTTTCAAGATGGAAGGTTATTGCAGCATTGATCTTGACGCCATTTTTGATGATCTACGCATAATCGTCCTTTTTAAGCCAGAATTATTTTTTTTCTATTGCGTTTCGGGAAAGATGGCAATGATATTTCATCGTTTTCGTGGAACAGGAAATCTAACGACGAAGACACAGATCCTGAGAAGATTTTGGAAACTGCTACAAGTGCGTTGAAAGGTGTCCATGCAAAATTGGCCATGAGGAAAGCTGACTCGTCGGTAAGTGCGAAATCATTTTTGTCATTTTCTCTATGAAAATAGGTTTAGCGTATGAATCCATGTTAAATTTTAATTTTATTCTGCAGACAGTTATTACTGGTGTTCGAGGTTCCATATTCTTCTTTTCCCGATGAGAAATACAGTACTTCAACAATGTTTTGACCGTTCAAGTTTCTATTACTGTACAGTATTTTTGAATGCTTAACTGTAGTCGGGCTTAATGTGGTTTATGACTTGTTCTAAAGGTGTAATCTCTCTGCAACGAACTTCAGGGAACCAGACAAATATTTGCTGTGGAGAACCTCTTCAATATGGGTGGAGACCGCTGTGGGACCCAAAAATCGTTACAAAGAGAAAGTTGTTTTAAGCGGAATCTTTGTTTAGAGAATTTACTTGTTCTACATTTTGTCTATTCATAATTTTCGAAAGAGAGATCGTTTAGGATTGATAATCGTAATCTTTTGACTTTGATCATGAGTTAATTTTGAGAATTTTCAATAGTCAGGTGTGTCACCTTTTCCTTCCAAGTAAGTGTAAGCATATAAAGGGTACCTCGCAGAATATATATACCTGTGTACAGTACATTTTTTAAAATCTTTATATGAATATACCGTCTATAAATACTTATGTTGAAAATAAATTGTTTCCTCTGTTTTAGCTCGGATTCTTGCGGCAGCGTCCTGATGGCACGACAACGCTCAACATAATTGTTCCTCCTATGAAAACGGTGGACACGAAAGAAAAGATCGTCACTCTGGGCACGTCTGTCGGCAAGCTCACACACGGCACGGGATCCATCCAAGGTTTCAAAGAAGACCGACGTAATGTCGCCAAAATCGGGAAACCCATGTCCTACGGACCCTACAATACCCACGCGCCGCTTTACGACACGACATTTGCATCAGTGAATGCCGAAGAAGCCAATTTGCTTTTGTCTGCGTGCGGATCCGAGCTCGGTGTGAGCTATGCTGAAAGCTTGCGCAGGTTTTGCGCTGATTCGGAGTATTGCTTGAATTTGGCCAACGACGTGATTGATGCTATCACTGGAGGAGCTTACTCGGATGCGAGGGTGGTCATCGGGATTCGGGAAGATGGGTTGACGAAGGTGGACCAGAAAATTCGATCGAGTGTTTCCCCTCAGGGGTCTGCCGAGACACCGCAAATTGGTTCGAAGATGGATTTTGAATCGTTGAAAAGCTTGGAAAATGACGGCATTGACGTTTCTTTTTTGGACGAAATGGGTGAGTTCTTGTTTTTCTGACGATTTAACTTGTGTTCGTACGGGATACAATTTTGTTCTAGGGTCGCGTACTGTACTCCGAATTTTATATGAATTAGCAAAATTTGAAGTACGGGTCAGAATGTAATCGAATGTCATTGTACAAAATTATTCTACGTCCATTGCTGTGCATCGAAAAAAAAAAACTGCAGCGACGAAATAAAAAGGCTGACAAAACTCCTGAACTAACCTGCGCACTTCTAATAATTGTCAACAAGCGCAGCCACCGATTTTCTTGCTTATGAAAGTCAATAAAAAATTTAGAATGCAATGCTATTGCAAATATTTTGATCGACCCGACAGTGAATTACTGTAATAACTTTTCTGTGCTGTTTATAGGGTGCAGAACGTTCTTTCATCAAGAAACGATGGGTACAAAGAAAAATGGGAGAAAAGCTTATCCGCAGAATTGATATTTTTATCACGCGAAATATCCTGCTAAATTCTGTGTGGACCACTTAGCGCGAAATTATGATTTTTTACTTCAGTTTTTCGATGTTAAGTTTGAGGCACAGATCACATTCATTCCAACTGTTGAATGAAAAAAAGTTCGATTTCAGCCGTCGAGGGATTACTGTTCGCTGATATTATTGAATAAATCAAGTTAAATGTTTTAAAATCATTATTGTCCTCCAAATTGATGTTTTCAAAAGAATTCTTGGGGGGGGGGGGGGGGGACGATCAATTTCACTCTCGAGTCACTAATATAGATGATCGCTCCTTATGTCAGCGTCCAAGCGTTTTCTGGAAACCTTTGAGACATAGTAAGGTATGGCTTTAAATTTTATCTAATGCTCTCGACGTGTTCGCGCGTGTGCGCTTTTATTTCTTATCTAACGCTGAAGGTGAAAGAAAAACTGCTGTGAGATAATTTTTCGAGGTGCTCATCCCGAGGTGAAAGCCCGTTGCACGGGTCCATCATCCGCGATTTGTCGAAAATCTTTTCCTTCGCGCTCTTTTCTTAATCGCCTTTTTTCATTTCGTCGTGCGTGTAGAATTCGTGTATGAATTCATTTTGCCTTGCAGAAAAAGAAGACAATTTGCGAGCGGATATGTCCAAAAAGTTGATGTCTGCTGGAAAGTTGTTGGAAGATCTGAAAGAATCGCAGGATAAACGATTGTCCTTGCCACCGCCGCAACACTTGCTAAATTGTCCTCCCCCATCCCAGGACGAAATCTTGTTGGGTAAGCTCTTCCCTTGCAATTAAACAATTATTTTAAAACAAGATTTTCTTGTTTCTTTCTTTTTCTGTCGATGCTTCCATTGAAGGTTTTCATGATGGAAAATTCTTTGAAAATCTTGAGCCGATCTTCTCCACTTTTTGTTTTGTTCCACAAATTCCTTTATGATTTTTTTCCATTTTTTCATCTTCGTGCGATTGATTAATTCTGCGAGGAAAGCACAAATGCTTTTGAGAAAAACGATCTACGTATTTATATTTTCTGGTTTTCAGCTCGTAACGTTGTGACGTCATTGACGGACATTTCGAAACAAGTTCCACCGGCTTGTGTTGCTCCTGTGACTGGTCTCAGAAAAGCGATGGGGATTGTTCCTTCCGCTCATTAAATCACAGTTGTAGATTTTTAATTTTATTTGATGTAATGTTGTTCGTTGGTCTTCGGTTGCCCGCTCGTTCACCTGCCGAGGACATTTCGGTGCAGTGAATGTTTCGAATCGGTACTCTTCTGGAGGTACATTGACTGCTGGCTATTTTCCGCGCATCTCGTGCGTTTTTTTTTCTTTTTTTGTCGAACGGAGTGCTTGTGTATTTTCTATTTGAATGCATCGCATTTTTTCTGTTTTTATTCAATCCGGTATAATTTATTGGGCGACTTTTTTGATTAATTCGTGCATTGCTTTCATACTAATGGTTTTCTCTTCATATTTTGTGCAGAAGTGAAAGCATGGTAGTGCACAGTGTTTTCATAGTGTCCAAATCTGGCGGTTTGATTTACAGTCATGAGCATAATGTGCCGAAGGTGGAAACAGAACGGCTGTACACGTTTCCGCTTCCGTTCCAACTTGAAGAGCGAAACAAACGAGTTATCGTAGCTTTTGGAGAACAGGGAGGCGTAAAAGGTGAGTCAACTGTTTTACTTCACATTCGAAGACATTTCGATTTTTTCTCTTTTGGTCGATGTTCTTTCATTTCACGTTCCCTGTCCTCATTTTAAATTCGTGATGAAATATTTTGTGCATAAATTATTGTTATTTCTAGGCTTGATGTTGATCGTGCTCGACTGTACAGTATTTGAAATTAAAACTTCATCTGTCTGAAAGATCATTTTAATGCATAGTATACTTTCTACTTTTTTTTTCAGTTGGTCACTGCGTGTCAGCCATAAATAAGGTCCCGGTCAATGGACACCTCACGGGAGATAATAAACCCTTGTTGGATTTTATGAGAAACGAACAAAACTATCCTTTGACTATCAAATTCGCCAAAACGCCGGTATCCACCAACGAAAAGATATTTCTGGCGTCCATGTTTTACAGCTTGTATGCGATTGCGTGTCAGTTGAGTCCAGAGCAGAAAAGCTCTGGAATAAAGACGCTGGAATGCGATACCTTCTTGTTACAGTGTTTACAAACTGTCACAGGTGAGTTTTCCAATTTTTATTCGATGAAAAAAATTTGAATCCACGAAAATTTTAATTTTGCTAATTTTTTTGCAGGTGTGAAGTTTGTGGTTGTCTCTGACACGAAGCAGAATGGAGGAGAGTCTCTTTTGAGGAGAATGCATGAATTGTATTCGGACTTCGCTATGAAAAATCCTTTTTATTCCCTCGAAATGCCTGTTGTATGCGAATTGTTCGATGAACATTTAGTCAAGGGTATCGAACTGGTAGAACGAACTGGAACCGCTTTCGCTTGATCTTTTTTTTAATCTGTCTCCTCAAGCTGGTAACCCTCTTCATTGCTGTGATAAATTGATTTTAAGTTGTTCCCTGTTCTGCGAAAATATTGAAGGAATCCGAGGCCGTTTTGATTGTTGGACTGAAGGGCTAAACTTTCCTGGGCTTCGTTCAAATTAAACTATTCCCGGTTTGACGGAAGATTCGAACTCACCTCCAAAGTTTCCTTTCTTCCGAACAGGTTGAAAATGTTTCCGATTTCACTCGGGACGTTCATCCTTTGTTATGTATCTATCGTGTTCGTGATAGCGTTTTTCGGTATTATAGGCTTCGACACCGGTTTGAGACAACTATACATCAAAGGTCTGCTCAAGGTTTTCGAGGTACGTCAATTTCAAACAAAGAATGTATACGAATTCAATCATTATTCCTAATCATTTTTCTTGACGAGCTGAATTTTATTAATCGTTCTGTAGTATGGTCGGGTAAAAATCCAAAGAGCAGCTTTGCAACGAAAAGTGAGCCATCAAGAGGACGACGAAGACAGTGGTGTGGAGCACGATGGAAATTCTAATGACGGCCACCAGATTATTCATAGAGAAACGCTTGTTCTCGCACCTGGCATTCAACAGAATCGGAGCCTTGCAAATATCAACGGAGAGGTAAGAGTTCTGAAGAATTTTCTCTGGAATTCATTGTTTTTCTCAGTTAGTTCAATTTCCAACTCTCCGAAGATGTGGGAGGAGTTCTAGTTCGCACTGTTTTCTGATCCAAACTTATCCTAGTGCTTGAACATATTGTACGAGAAGTTAAATGTAAATTAATTGTCGCGTCTCACTTGGAATCTTTTCCATTATGAGGATGTTTCCCTTACAGTATTGAGTTGCTTTTTAACGATTTTCAAGTGTCGGATAACGTACACAAAAACAGTAAGATTTCTGGATGAAGTGAGGATTGGGGGGCCAACGAAAATGTTGGTTCGGATATTCAATCGTCATTCAAGGAATGATCTATAAAGAACCTAAAGCCTAACCGAACTGTTTAACCAAAGCCAACATTTCATGGATTACAAAAATGAAATTAGACGTGAAATCCATACGAAATTCAAATGATGTAGCAGCGACACCTACCTGGTTAAATGAAATGTGAAGGATCATGTAAAAGAAAGTGACCTTTTCCATACGGCGCAATGAGTTACTTCAAGATACAAAAATTTCCGAAAGGCTTCGAACTGTTTTCGAATTTCTGTGAGAAGCAATTGAAAGTAGCTGTTGAAGTACCTTTATATTTTTATGAGATGTGATTTTAAACCTCAAGGAAACCACACTGCATAGTTGTTTTTCGTCGCACGTTTCAACACACTGTACCGTACAGTATTTGTGACGTGCAGTTTTACACGATTAACATTCGTGGCATTGAGTTGATCATCGTACTTCCTTCGCATATTTAAGTCCTCGGATCCAAAGCGGCCTGGTAAATTGAAATATTGTTCGTTTTCCATACAGGCTCCAAAGGAATTGAATTTTTCCTTGCTGCATTCTCTGGATTTCGTCAAGGCGGGCGTTGAAGCAATTATTCAGGACGAAGTTACTCAACGCTTTGATGCGGAAGAACTTCAGGTGCGTGGGGACAAACGTCACCGAGAGAAAATGAATGAAAATCACTTGTGTTTTTCTTCATTTAGTCATGGAATCTTTTGACCCGGACGAATCAGAATTACGAGTTCATCAGTGTGAGACTCACGCTCATATGGGTGCTCGGATTTCTTCTGCGTTACATAATTTTGTTCCCTTTCCGAGTGATGCTGACAGCTACCGGAGTGAGTTTTTAATCTTTTCCAAATTTAGTTTCAAGATGCCATGAAAAGCTTTTGAAAAATAGATTTTCGACTAGCGTCTTGGACTCGAGGCTTTTTTTGGCTCACCATTACATAGGTGTCGCTTATTACATTTTATTAATTTTGGTTTGGCTTGAATATGTTGTCCACTTTTGAATATTCTACAATCGAGAAAAAATACAACTTGAATTGTCAACACAATGGCGAAAAGTTCAGAACTGCTTCAGATTCCGAAATGCGAGGGCGTGTCTAGTGAATGATTAAAATTGGTTCATTGCTGCATAATTGGATACATTAGAAGATCATGCTTTGAATCGTTCTTGAATTATTTGGTGAACATCCTTTGACTTCATGGGGCATACAGAGCCATTTAAAAATTCCCGTCCTTTTTCCGCACTGGTAATGACAATACTATACTAACTGGGATTTCTCGACGCTTTTCGCAAAATTATTTGTTCTCTTTTGGTCTGTGTGTGCGGGCTCAGAATCTGAACTACATTGCTTTCAACAGGTTGCCTGGTTATGCGCGACAACTATGATCATTGGTAACGTTCAAGATCAGAAGCTGAAGAAGCGTCTATATGAGTTCGTTTCCCGTGCCACTTTTAGGATATTTGGGCGAGCCCTTTCTTGTAAGTCTTCTTTATTTTCTAAAAATGTCTGAAGGGTTTAACTTATTTTTATTATGAAGCCATTATCAAGTATCACGATGTGGAGAATCGTCCGAAAGGCGGTATTTGCGTAGCAAATCACACATCGCCTATTGATGTCGTCATGCTCCACTGTGACAACGTTTACTCGCTGGTGAGTGTTGTTTTTTTTTTTTCGGAGAAATGCATTTTTAATATCAGTACAGTACTGTATTTTAATTCGCTTCGATCGTATGTTCGTGATTTCAGGTTGGTCAGCGTCATGGAGGCTTTTTGGGAGTCCTTCAAACCGCGTTGATCCGTGCCTCGTCTCATTTATGGTTCGAGCGTTCGGAATTGAAAGACAGGAAAATAGTTGCCGACCGAATGAAGGAGCACGTGGCCGATGAACACAAACCACCGATCCTCATTTTTCCTGAAGGAACTTGCATCAACAATACGTCCGTGATGCAGTTCAAGAAGGGATCTTTCGATATCGGGGCCAAAATCTGGCCTGTCGCCATCAAGGTTGGTTTGGTCGCTACTAAAATTCATGACTTTGTGGAATCCGCTCTCGGTTGTTCCTTGCTCGATTTCTCGACTTCAAAAGCGAAAGTTAAAATCAAAATGTGTGCCGTTTTTTGCAGAAAATAATCTTCATGGTTTTCAATCTTTGAACTTGAAATCGTGCAATGTTTTTTCCATTAAGTTCGTTAATCTATTCGATGAAAAGAAACACCGGAAAGGGTTTTTGACTTATTTTTTCTTTGTTTTTTCCCCCCACCCTGAAGTATGACCCAAGGTTTGGAGATGCCTTTTGGAATAGCAGTCGGGACAATTATTTACAATACCTGTCTCATATGTTGTCGAGTTGGGCAACAGTCGTGGACATTTGGTATTTACCGCCAATGGAGCGGGAAGACGGCGAGAGTGCTGTCGATTTCGCCAATCGAGTAAAATCCGAAATCGCCAGAAAAGGCGGTCTGGTTGATCTCGTTTGGTGAGCTCAAATCTGCTGATTTCTTGTTACTGCCAAACTTGTTATTTAAAAAACCGTGTGTTTGGATCTGAAAGGAACCACTTTATCCCCAAGTATGTCTGATGATTGTACTACCAGACGAGCGATTTGATAGATTTTTAGCTTTTGAAATTTAAAAATATGAAAAATCCTCGATTGCTTGAAACTGATGAGTTCTTGGCGTCTTCGCCAGTTTATAGTCCTAGTCATAAATGTTGACCCTTTTCTCCTTTCCGCCTTTCAACAATGTTTTGTTGAACAATGTTTTGATGACTCTGTGGTTTCTCATGTACGCGTTACTAGATAAACATTGCATTGTATTTGAGTTTAATTTTGAATTTCGTTCTGTCTGAATCACGCTATCCTTTATAGTAAAATACAGTATAAATTAATTGTGGATCTGACCAGGTTGGGTTGAGTTAAAGTGAGTTATCATCGGCCAGGTTTGGGATTGTTGCAATGCTCGTTTCATAAATCAAGTTAGGACATTGATAGGAAAAGGAACCTTCGATTATTCCATTCGGGATGAGTTGAAAATAATGTACTGTAGTACCGTTTCAAGAATTGTACTGTACATATTTTGTGGCAAAACTCGAAGGTTGGGATGTTGATGAGCCGTGTTTGAGCTGACCAGACGATTTGTTCTATTTCAGGGATGGACAGCTTAAAAGAATGCATGCAAAAGAAGAATGGAAAGCCCAGCAACAAGAGTTGTTTGCAAGCCGGTTCAAGACCGACTAGCCGTTAGAGCTTCATTTTTTTCGCGCAAGAAGAAATTCCCTGCAAAAATGTCTTTCTCGTCCCTCAATTTCCCTGGCGGTGCAATTTACGACTAGGAAGCAACAAAATATGTCTCGGGAATTATCCGTGATGGGTTTTCTCGGGGCGAGTAGCATGAAGACGTAACCGAAAGGGTTAATTCAAAGGCATTTATGTACATAATGAGGTGAACGTATTTATTTCGCGTGATTTGTTTTTCGAAGTTTTGCGTTGATTATCCTAGGGCTGGGAACGGTTTTAATGGGGATGTTTTACCCGGAAAGTCTATTTTTCTATTTCGAAGTTATCTTCCAGGAGGAAAACGTTTTTCCGTTGTTTTGCGGGAAACTTTTTCTATGACTAATTTGGAAGGTGTCAAGGATGTTCTGTGATATGCTCTTGCCCCGGTTCGCGGCCCCTTGTTTTGTTGTGCTGCCAAAATTACTTTAGTCCTCCCATTAGTCGCAAAGAAACGGTATTGGTGAATCGTTTCGTTCGTTCGGAACTGTGAAAATTCTTGTCGATAAACCGTAGATCGTTGATTAGACTTTTCTTAGCTCGTTTTGCCAAATTTGGCAGATGTAGCGGTCCGTTCAACGAAGTAATAAACCAGATATACTTAGTTTTGGTTTGTGTGCAAGTGGGTCCATGGTCTCAAGATTTCGTGGGTTTAGATATTATTTTCATTTGTTTCTCTTTTGGGGGTATCTCTTGAGATCTTCTGCTTTTGCCCGTGTGTCGGTGTATTTAATACCCTTGGAGCTCGGATGCTTACACGATCCATCTGCGTGTCAGTCGTCATTTTGATGTTGATTTCGATCCGGGTTTCTTAGGGGCAAAATGAATTTATTTTTCGGTAGACTTCCACGAAACTCTGTTGGTGACTTCTGTCGAAATCTGGATCGTCTGTTCGAAAGCGAGATCACTTTTATGAAGTAGTTCAATGAGATTTTAGCGATTATTTTTTGAACATCCTGATTTTTTTAGACCAGTGAAATCCATCAAGGAAATATACGTATCTTGGAAATTCACTTGATTCACAGTTGCGTCTCACGGAGATAATTTCATTTTTCTGCAGAAAGTGAAATATGGCTGGAAAGTGAATTGTGCAATTATAACGAGAAGGACAGATTCAGAAGTCCCAGGGCACCCGAAGTCGCTGTCGGTGAGTTTGTTTTTCAAGTTCTTCTTCCTGTATTCTATGAATTACGGTAAGCGAACGAGCATTTATTCGCTCATAATTTTACTCATTTATTCATCATGTTACCGTGCTGCGTGAATGTATGATCCCATTTACTGTGACTTCAATCCTCCAGCTATTTGAAGACTGAAAGAAAATGAGTTTGATGACGAAGTGAGACGAACCTTCACTTCCCCCCTAATTACGCCAAAAATAATACTCTTGGAGATAGAGAAAAAAGTGGCTTACTTCGTGTATTGCGTCTTCTCCTAAAACACTGCATTGCGATGACAAACTGCGAAGGAGAGCTTGCTTGAATTTGAAGTTGAATCGAACTTCTGACTTTTGAGCGATACTTCGGCAATTCGTTGCGCTGAAAAAGGAAATACTTCGAAAAATTTGATTTTTTTTTGCGAATTTCGGTCCTCATCGTCTCAACGATGCAACAGGTAAAAATGAGTACAAAATTGCCTCTTATAGTCCAGTAAAAACGAAGAACGCTAAAAATTGTGAATTTCAATGTATCTGTCGTTATCGTATTTACGCAGAATGGTATTGCTGAATTCGTACGAATCGGGGATATCGTCGATTTAAAAATAATAGACCATGTTTCCGCATTGAAAAAAAAAATTTACATCTTTTGCGAGAATTCAATTGCTCTCGTTATTTGTTGATTCATTCGTTCACTTGAATGAGGCCGTTCAATAGTGCGAATTGAGGACTTCATCGATTCTAAGGTAGATCGGGATTTTTCATTCGCTAGATTTATCGAAAGTGCATCGTTTATTTGAGTGAAAGTTATGATGGAATTGAAAATACAGTATACTGTATATAATTTATAATTTGAAACAATATTTGACTGTGTATTCGGGGTGTTTTTTGTGCAATTCCAGGTTTTTTTTTCATCATCGTGTAAATTGAATGGCGTTGAACGAAGACCCATCGGCGTCTCCCCGGAGCGGCGGTCGCGTCCGCAAGAAATCCAAGCGCTATGACGACTACATCGCGACGGACGCCGTGCTAGACCTGCCCGCCGTCCCGCTCTACGCCGTCGCCAAGCGTCCGAAAAAGGAAATCGTGGAAAAGCCGGTCTTGTCCCGCACTAAGCTCCTCACCGATTTCGTCCCGAGGTCCTCATCGCTGTCCACATCCTCTGCCAATGCTGCCCGAAATTACCCTTCCCGACTCAAGAAAGACTCCAAGGTGCGGAACAAACCCGGGCCGAAGCCGAAGGTGTTGTCTGAGAAGAGTTCGTCGGTGACGACGATAGATGCCGCGTGTCACTTGAATTTGCTCGGCGAATCCCTGTCGTTGATGGGACAGGAGTTGACGGAGCACCAAGGCCCGATTGCAGTCTCAGGATCCGTGTCTGTGTTGTTGGACGCTTTGTTGTGCTCGATCGGGCCGTTGTTGTGTTTGACGCAGGAGTTGCCCGTGATGCGGGGTGCGATTCCCAGCGATAGGATGCAGAGGATATTGGAAGATACTCACGACTTCATGCCTGGGATTTAATTGCCAAATTCTCTCGAATATAAAATGCAAGTTTTTTTTTATTGTCAAAAAAATAATGAAGAAAAAGGATAATTTATTGCGTGAATACAAGACACACATTATGTTGCTTTCGGAATCCAGAGAGTTAGTTGATTCTATTGAGGCTTCAATAACTGGCGTTATCCACTTTAGAACAAAAGACAAAACTTTCCCTTTCATTTAAAATAGTTTGAACAGCTCTTCTGATTCAATTTTAAGGCCAGTTTTCAGTTCAGGGATTCAATTGAAGGCGCCGTGAAATATTGGACGTTGTTTTTTTTTTTTGAGTACCCTTTTTCAATTTTAAAAACTCATCCAGAATCCAAGGAGTCCGTTGATTCTGCTCATGCTTCAATTTCCAGAATAATCCACTCGGAAGTCGGAACACAAGATTCAACTTTTCCTTTCAATTTTCATTTCAGAGATTGAATTGAAGACATTTAATATTGTATTCTATTGATCTTTTTGTTTTTTAAATAAATAGAAGCACTTCTTCTTTCAATTTTAGAAGCGCAAAAACTAGGGGGTTGCTTATGTTTGCATCTTTATGCCATTTGCGTAAATATGCTTCTATATGAAGAAACTCTTCCTGTTTGCGCCCACAAAACAATAGAGCCCTTCTTTTCTTCTATTATTTTTTAATTGAAGTTAAAGGTAATCCGCTTTTAGCATTTCTAGATGCATGAATCATTGCCTGAAGTGGAAGAGCAAGGGTCGTGTGACATCTTTTTTTCTCTCCTGGCGAAAACCTACATTTATTCGAAAATTTTAGATTTCCTGGAAAGTCCGAACACCAGGAAACTAAATGGCCTACGAATAGAATCTTAATCTTGTCCATGAAATCTTTCGGGACGTGATTATATCCGCATAAAAATATTTAATTTCGCTACAGAGTGTGCGTCTTGTATTCACAAAAAATGCGGTAACTTTTGTATTATGTAAGATACAAGACTGTGGCGTAATGATCTGGTCAGGTCCGACTTGGTTTGGTTTTTTTGTTTGTTTTGGAGGCGAGAATTGAGAAAAAGTTCTCAAAATTGATCTTTCCCGCTTAATTTTTTTCCGTGTACAGTATTGAAGATATGGAAACGTCATTTGTCTTCAAATTTAAAGCTATGATTCAGCCGTTTCAGCATGCATAAATGAATAAGCTCTTGAATTCTACTGGGGATTAGATAAAAAGTGTTTTTTTATGGCGGTTTCCTCGATTTTTCCGTGCGGAAGAATTCTANTTGAAGATATGGAAACGTCATTTGTCTTCAAATTTAAAGCTATGATTCAGCCGTTTCAGCATGCATAAATGAATAAGCTCTTGAATTCTACTGGGGATTAGATAAAAAGTGTTTTTTTATGGCGGTTTCCTCGATTTTTCCGTGCGGAAGAATTCTATTCTTTTGCGCAGTTCGGAGATGATGAATGGGTAATTGATGATAACAGTAATTATGATTTGGTTGTTACTAAGCTTTAAGCTGGGTTTCCTTGAAGTAAGGCCAAATTTCCACGTGTTATGGATGGTTCGTTCGCCGTACTTCGTCTTTTGATGTTCTTCCTGAACGTCATTTATTTGTTAACTTTTTATTTTTCAATAATGCGAAGGAAGTGAATACAGTATTATATTCATTCTGTGGAAATAATGATTTGAGCTTGACTCGTCGAAAAGTTGTCGATGGGCCAAGCAATGTTTTTATGGAGATATTTTCGTATCTGCAGTTACGATTTTCGCGCGTTGCTTCTTTGTCTTTTCGAGCGAAAAAAAAGGCGATCATTTGCTAACTTCTTATTTTCGTCGGAGTTTTTAAAGGTTGTCTTACGAATCTAAGCCCCAACTGAACTTAGAAAGCATAGGAACAAAAAATATTTCTGAAATGGGTGAAATTTTTCTTCCTGATGCGTGTCAAAAGCTTTGTGCAAATATTTCAGTTCAAGGTTTCTACCGAAAGCAAATTTATGGTAGTATTTAAATAGAGACAAATTAATTGATGTATCTAATAAATGTATGAATGAACAGTTGGGGCTTTGTATTCGAATTTTAAATGCCGCGTTTTCCCAAAGTAAGGCCTAATTTATCTTTTTTCTCATAAAGTCGAATGCCTAAAATTTCGGACCTATTTCAAGAAGATCATGTTATAAATTCATCTCTCCATTAATTTGAACGTATAAATTCTTATGCAAACTCGTTTTTCTCTTCACTTTTTTTTTAACACCCAAATTCAAAAATTTCTTCATTTTTTCACTTCTCTATTCAAAGATCAGTCTAAGGCTTTAAAAAATCTTACATAATACATGTCCAGCAATTGGGGCGTAGGACGTCTAGTAATTCAGTGATCCTCCAGAAAGATCCAAGTATTTCTGGTTTAAAAGTAAACTTCGGCATTAAATGGCAAGTTCCTCCAGCAGAGAATGTATGAAAATGACTTCCATCGAAGGCCTCAATACATGTTTCCATATAATGTGTACAATAATAAAAATGTGTAAATATTTGAAATAAGATTCATTGTGCGAAACATTAATTGATCGAATTGAAAAGGAATATTTTTTAAAACTCTGACAATGTCCCTTAATAAGGAAGCAAAATGTCCAAATTCGTTTTCAGATTTGGAAAAAAATTGCAGGTCATTTGTTGTAACTGACCCCAAACGTTAGCCTATTTATTTTGTTTTTTTGGGGAAACGCGGTAATTTCGTTGAGCAATGCAGTTTATATCCAAGATTCGGTTACTGTATTTCCAAACTCTCGTTTCCCCCATTTCTAAGATGATGGATAAACCGCAGATTCTAGTCCAAGCGTCGGAAGACGTTTCCTACACCATTTTCGACGTGGACTGGTACCCAGGGTCGGCGAAACTGGTGTCGGTGGGGTGCCAGCCTCGTGGCACCGGCGTGGTGCAAGTGTTTGAAATAACTGATGGGAAAATGGTCGAGTGTGGATCCGCGAGTCTCCCGAACGCGTCCAAGTGTTGCACTTTTGGCGCCTCCGCCATGACGGATCGCAAATTGATCGTCGGCGACATGAAGGGCCAAATCTCCGTCGTGGACTTGGAGAAATTGCAGAGCGTGGAGACGGTCGGGGCGCATGATGACGCCGTGAATTGCATTGATGGGTTTGGAGGACTCGGCGCCGAAGGCAAAGGTGATCTTGAAGCGGTTGTTGTGAAGTGGTGGCATTTGATTTGGCTTGTTTAGCAAATTATAGTGTGAGACAATATGCAGTCGAACCCCCTTGAGTCTTAACTGTGAGGGACCAGCGAAGATAATTCGAGATAGGGAGACAAGCATTTTTGTCGGGGAAAAGAAAGAAGAATTACAGGAAATTTTAAAACTATCAAACCTCTTCATGTCGCACTTGAAGAGGCTAAGGAAAAAAATCGTTATAGGAAGGTTTCGATTTAAGGACGCTTTTAATGCATTATTTATGCGGAAATTCGGACTGGGTCTTAAAAATAAATTTGACTTCGGGAGGTTCGACTTATCAAAGTTCAACTGTGATATTCTGGGCCTCAAATTGCTTCTTGAATGAATTGACAGGATGTGGGAGTTGAAAGCATTGGTTTATTCGCAAAATTAATTTTTCACTTTTTTTTTTTCAAAATGCACTGCGAGGGTTCTAACAAAAGTTTTCGCAATAGAAATTCAAATGGCGTATAATCGAGCTGAAAAAAAATTATTCTTTAGGGAAAACATGTTCTTTGGCACAAAAACAATCAACTCTGTTTGACAATTTTTTTTAATGCTTTGCAAAATTCACCCTGGCAGAGTTTTCAAAAGATGAGGCGCCGTTCCTGCAGTTTTTTGTTGTTGTAGCCGAATGCATCTTTTGAGTGGAGAGAAAAACTCTGCCAGAGTGAATTGTGCAAAACATTAAAAAAAATTGTCAAACAGGGCTGATTTTTTGTGCGTCAAAAAATATGTTTTCCCTAAAGATTAAATTTTTTTTCAGCTCGATTATACGCCATTTTCATTTCTATTCCGAGAACTTTTGCTAGAACCCTCGTATTTTAATTTCTTTCGCTTGTCTCTTTCCTGGGTCAATGATAGACCAAGAAGATTCCAAAAAATTCAAGTTCAGTAGGTTTGAGGGGGCAAGCCTTTAAGGTGGAAAGGTTTTAGTCTTTTTAATGCATTGTTTCTAAGAGCATTTAGCAAGGAACTCGAGAAAAATTCGACCGAGGATGTTTGAGTTACCAAGATCAAGATTCAACTGTGAGTGTGTGTAATGCAGAGGTTCTCATCCAGTAACCGTTGAACCCTTGGGGATCTGTTCGCAGTAACCAATCAGAGAGACTCCACAACTGCTTCAGCGAAAGAAAGAAAAATCTTAATGACGAGAAACAAGAAGGAACGACGCGAAACAAGAAGGAACGACGCAGTGGAATTCATTCACGTTTTTTTTTTTTGCACGGAAGAAAACCGAGAAGCAGGCGCAATTTGGAGAATTGAGTTCAAAAAATAAGTCAGAACTCCACTGCAAATATTTTTCAATTACGTAATTGATTCACTAATTGAACATTTTAAAGACCCCTGGCAAATTTTGCCAAAACTGGCTTTATTATGGAAATTTATCCCAAGCAGCGTTGATTGATCAAAATCCCCTGTGGATTTTTGATAAAATTTCTTTAAAGTTTATTATTTTGATGGACACGTGGAATTTGAAGTGGGTGTTGATGAGCGAGATACGAGATGAACCGGAACACGTCAATCGGACCTGTTGTAGAACCAAATGAAAGCCTCGAAGGTCTCGGTATCTTTGTTGGATACTTCCAGATTTCAGAAAATACTGGTGACAATGTCGCATCAGTATTTATCAGTTTTTTAAGTATTCTTTCTGTATTTTACGAGTGTATTTTCTGTATATTGGAAGATACACTTTATAGACGAAATTTTCCATCCTTCTAAATTCTCAAACCCGAAATTCTTTTAACCTGTGAAGAGAAAAGAAAAGGTCAGCGCTAGTGGGGAAATAGTTCCCCGGTCGGTTCGCGCACCGGCCAATTACTGTGTTTTAATTCTACTCCTAATTAACAAATTGACAAGGTTTATTTCAGCAAATTCAACCAACAGTTTACAGGTGTAAGGCTTGTAAAAATCCAACAACTATATTTAAAACCTTACACGTAGTCATAAATAGTCAAAAAATTCATAAGAAAGACATAAAATGCTCACATAAAAGACATATAACCTTCTATGTGAAATATCTGCTTTAAAAGGTAGGAAGATTTAAGAGTTTGGGCTTTAAGAAAGGGTTTGAGATGAAGCATTTGTACTTGCACCCGTGAGTGTAAGAATTTTCGGATATTCATAAAAAGTTGAATAAGTATTTCGGGTAAAAATTCGTTATGCAGCTTATGATCGATTGTTGGAAGTTTTGATTGAAATTTGTTACGCAAATTAAATGTGTGCTTCAAGTGGCACTAAAGCCAACTTAACTCCTGAAATATAAATACCCCTCATGATTCTTCTGAAACGGGATTTAAAAAAAATTATATCTTGATTTCCTACCGGTTTCTGTCGAGTGTTCGAGAAGAAATACCGTATTGATTATTTTCCTGTGAAACCACTTCGTTTCTTTCGGCTCTCGAATTGAATCAACTTTGCAAAATGAAGGTTTAATTAGTCAATTGGTTCCCTGGCAGTTGATTCTCATTGCTTGGAATTATCTCCAGGAGAAAATGAGGTGTCGAGATGAATTCAACGGTTTTTTAAATTAAACTGGAGATTTAATCCGAAGAAGGTTTCCAATTACCTGCAAAAGCGGGATACATACCGGTCCTTCCCCTATAAAAACGGACGGGATTTCCCCTGGAAATACCATTCGATCATCTGAACTTCCAAAGAGTAGCCAGATCTATCAAAAAGTCAAGTGAAAAAAGTGCGATATACTTTTGGAGTCGCATTTGGCAGAATAGATCAGAGCCATGAAGCTGTTGGCGCTTACTTTGCTGTTCTGCATTCTTCTTCCAAACGATTGCGCCGTTCTTCAAAGGAAAGCGGCTTGGGCACCTATGGAAACTGGTGAGGATTCTATAACTTTTGAGAAGAAACCGAGGTTCTTTTCACGCATATGCCCCCATCTTGATTTTTGGATTGCCTACCAGGTGTCGTCTGATTTCCCCATATTAATTTCCCTAGAAAAAGTAGTAGAAGTCTGACTTCTACTCTACTGATCAGACTTCTACCTGAAATCGAACTAATAAAATGCAGGTGGACTCTCAACAACGATCTCATCTGCAACAATATTATCTGTACAGTGAAATCTCGTTGTAACGAACTCCCAGGGACCTGATAAAAATTCGTTATATCAAGATTTATGGTTTTTAACACATTTTATTCTGAAATTTTCTGGAAAATTTGTAAAAAATACCGTGAATTCCTTCCAAAAAAGGTAACTCAAGATATGTCGTAATTACTGAGTATTTCTGATGAAACAAAGTTACAATTTTTCAAATGAATGAACTTTCCTCTCATCAAACCTTCCGTTCTACTAAAGTCTTGAAAAATAAAATGTAGTCTACCAATTACACGTTGTAGAAAAACTTAACTTCCCTTTTGAATCAATTTATTCATACCTGTCTGCTCTTTCAAACGGAGGAACATCTTTTCCAGCATACTGTTTATTTGAAAGAAAGGCATATGTGGAACAGAATAATTTCCAAGACCTATTTTGTATTTTGCATAAACTTTTGCTTTTTTAGATGACATTGGAATAATGCACCTTTTCTATTTTCTTTTCTCATTTTTCTGACTATCATCTAAATATCCCCCCGGCCTATGCACTGAATCAGGGCAAACGTTTGTTATAATAAGATGACAACCTAAAATTAGTTTGTTAAAATGAGATTTTCATAACACGGCGCATATGGACTGCTGGACCAATAAAAAATTAGTTATAACAATATTCATTCTACTGTATGACCTATTATTATTTGATCTCTTGAATTTGTTATGGTCTCTTGAACTTCTGTATTAAATTCAGGTAAATCTTCAGGCGACACCTATGTAACTAGTAAAAATCGAAAAGTAAAGAATGCTCAGCATGAAAAGCTTCAGGCGACACCTATATCATCAAAAAAAATCATTAAGAATGCTTAGCGTGAAAAGTTGTGAAGAACCGAAGACGAATCTGCCTGTGTTTCTCACTTCAACGCAATTTATTAATACAACTTTTTCTACCCACGAAGAAGAACAAGAACAGGTCAGGTTGAAGCGAGCGACGCCGTTTTGCGTCGATCCCGAAGGAAGGCCCTTGGGATCTGGCGGCGAAGGCGGGAAAGGTGGCGGTGGCGACAAGGATGACGACGAAGACGACGACATGGGCAGCATGATGGATGCCATGATGGGCGGTGCTGGTGGACTAGGGGACATGCTTGCTGCTGGCGGAATCCCGGTCGAAAGCGTGGTCAACGTGAAGTTGCCTCCGAAAATGATGCCCATGGACATGCAAATGATGCCAATGGACATGCAAATGATGCCGATGGACATGAAGATGATGCCGGCCGGCATGGGCGGGATGATGATGCCAAGTGACATGGGCATGTCTATGGCAATGAAGGGCATGACTCCCGCTATGGCAATGAACATGATGTCAATGACTTCAAAGAAAGTGAAGACGACAAAGGGGGCCCCAAAGACAACAACGGCGGCACCCATGTCGATGGAAATGGAAATGGGAACGGAAATGGGAATGGAAATGGGAACGGAAATGGGAACGGAAATGGGAATGGAAATGGGAACGGAAATGGGAACGGAAATGGGAATGGAAATGGGAACGGAAATGGGAATGGGAGATGGAGACATGGGAATGGGAATGGGAGATGGAGACATGGGAATGGGAATGGGAATGGGAATGGGAGATGGAGACATGGGAATGGGAATGGGAATGGGAATGGTAGATGGAGACATGGGAATGGGAATGGGAATGGTAGATGGAGACATGGGAATGGGAATGGTAGATGGAGACATGGGAATGGGAGACATGGGAATGGGAGACATGGGAATGGGAGACATGGGAATGGGAGACATGGGAATGGGAGACATGGGAATGGGAGACATGGTGGTACAACCCATGGCAAGGGTAGTTGAAAACGCACCAGCGCTAAGATTAGGGAACTTTGATATGGTGCCAGTCGCCCCCCTCGACAACTTCGAGCCGGTCATGGAGTGTAACTTACCCCCCGAGCAAATCATCATGTTCTAAGGCGTCGGAGAATAAGAAGAACGAACCCCGGCTTTTCCAGATCCATCGACCCAAGGATCACGATTATTGTTTGCGATTCCGTAGAATCACTGGGATCTGCGAAGTCTTTGAAATGCACGAAAATCGATATGTCGGGCGTTTTATTGCTATTATTTTTTCCTCTCAAGACGATGCATCAAATCTCGTTTTATCAGAGTACGATGCAATTGAATTTCTAGGGACCAGCACACGGAATTTGAGTTAGGGAAGCAAGCATTTTTCTTGTGGGAAAGATGGAAAAATTGCAGGAAATTGTAAATGGTAATATTCTGGACCTTGAATCGCTTTTTGACAGGGTGGTCAACTTGGCAGGAAGGGTTCATCAGCTATATTAAATTAGTCTTTCGCTTCCTTTAAAAAAAAAAACATGGCTACTTTTCTAATTGGTTTCTAATTCCTGTGTCGAGGAAACAATCGCCAGAAGGCCTCAGTAAATACAAGTTACGGAGGTTTGAGAAGAAACTGTAGGGCAATGAGCCCACGAAGAATTTGAATGAAGAGAAGAATACAATAAATGAGTAAAAATGCACAATCCGCCGGGGAACACGGCAGGGAGCCCTTCGGTAAGGACTCCGAAGAGTAAAGAATTGTATATTTCGTTTTTAAGAAAGAAATCACAAATACGAGAAAATAATGTGGGACAGGTAAAATACAAAAATCGGGAATTTCGAACAGTCAGCCAAATTGACACACAACAAATTTTCTCTAGCAAGACTGAACGCTTCGAGAGTTCCAAACATAATGCGAAATAATTCATTTCAAAAAGAGACAAGATTTTTGATTACGCAATTTGCGGCAGCGGGAGCTTCCAAGGCACTTCCCACTGCCGCATTCCAACAGTTCGGGTTTTTTAATTTATAATAATTGCGCGTTACTGGTTTCATGGGACATGCCCTCTGTGCCCCACAGAAACGCCTTCGAGTTATGAAGGTTTGTAAACTTCTTAATGTATTGTTAGTGAGAGAATTCAGATGAGGACGTGAAAAGAAAAATCGATTGAGGCAGATTCGAGTTATCAAGGTTCAACTGTATAATATTATAAGCTAATTCATGACGAATTACTCTTCATAGTTTTCATTCGGGTTATGCATCGAGTAATTCTTCAGCCAGTTCATTTGCATAGTTTCCAAGTCAACTTTAAAACTATCCTTTATTCCTTCACTTAGGTTTCAGGTCTCTGCTCTTGAAATTTTTAATTCGAGGAAACTCGTTGATCAATCAGAAGGGCTTAACTTAGTGTCTTTTTTTTTTGAGTGTCTCGAAAACAGTAACCCCTCGATATTTTTTCTGCTGGTTGCAGAAATCATGTTTTTCTTTTCAGTCTGAAAGTCGCTTCGCATTCAAGCATCCTTCGAATTAAGAATTATGTTTTTGGAAATGTGCATTTTCTGGCGAGGAGGGTTTGAATCATTGAATTTGAAAGAATTTTGAGTGTTACCCATTTTGATGCTGTTTGTGACTTATCCGTAAAATTTTGACGTGATGCGAGTTATAATCCCAAAAATGTTCACTGGATTCCTTTTTTATTGAAAGGTAGAACAGAAGAGGATCAGAGGGAAAATGATATACTGTATTTACGCAACACGAAACGTGAAAAAAATCGCTACAATCCGAAGAGATCAAAACATCATTTTAAAAATTATGTTTGCATGGGATTATTGATGTTTTGGTCTTAAAAAAACGAGTTCACCTTTTAGCTTTTCATTGACAATCACATTCTTGAAAAAAGTTGCATGCTTTATCATTTCCACTCTTGTTGCACCCAAAACTATTTTAGAATTCGTGCCAATTTTTTGTGGCTTAAGGAGCTAAAGTGTATTGATAATATGTTCAATATTTGATCGTGGATTTGAAGGACGCGTTCAACAATATTTGGCCAGATTTCAACTATAAATTGGCATGAGCTATTTAGTATTGTCTATGAAATGTTAGATCCATTGAAAAAAAAAACACATGTACACTATTTTAGAAATGTTCAAATCTATGGCAGTGGGTCCCTTCGTAGAGAATGACATTGTTAAGCAAAATATGAATTGAAAATTTGCAAATAGAGGGATCACAGTAACAAATTTTCAGTATTACTGGTTTTTATAGGCCGAAAATTCATGGATTTTGACAATCGCTGTACATTTTTGTCTTGTCCAATTTTTCTTTTGTTCGCCTGGAAAAGATCGTGAATTTTTTCTGCAACTTTGGAACCATTCTCATCACAAAATAAAACTGGGGTTGATTAATTTTTATTTGCAGGTATTCACTGTAATTAATTTGACCTTGGATGAAAGTTTGAGGTCATTTTCACATTTGCGTCTGTCTTGTTGGTGATTCTATTGCAGTTTAGGAAAAAATTGCTTTACTTTTTATTTATTCAGTGTTTTGCATATGCATTTTTAGGTCCACCGGAAGTGGCCACCAGCAGCAGAGACGGCGCCGTGAAACTCTGGGACACCCGCGTCCTCAGCGACGGCCCAGTCGCCGTGTTTACTCCAGAAGACTCGGCGGCCAAACGGGACAGCTGGGTCGTGTGTTTCGGTGACGCACATTCTCCGTCAGACCGATGCCTCCTTGCTGGTTTCGACAACGGCGACGTGAAGCTCTTTGACCTCCGAACTCAATCCGTCCGCTTTGAGGCGGCGGAACCGAATGGGATCGTGGGCGCCGAATTCGATAGACCGGACATCCAAGCCAACAAGTTTGTGACGACGACGCTCGAGGGTTGCGTGACTGTGTACGATGCACGCACTTTGCATCCGAAGCACGGGTACGAAGTCGGGGGGGAGGGTTTCTGGAAAGTTTGCACTGTCGCCTAGTTCAGGACCTTTTCAGCATATTTCTGGGTTCTTGCCATTTTCAAGACAGGGCAGCGTAACGTCGTGTGGATATATTGCGAGAGGCTTCAAGTTACATTTTAATGCAGTTCACGGCTTTTCAGCTTTAGAGAAGCATCTGAAAAAGATAAGTGTTCAACGGTAGTGACTTAAAAAAGGCAAATTTTTTAAAAATAATGTACTGTACTGTATAATGTGTTCAAATTAAAGTTTTAAATTGAATTGAACCCAAATTGAATTAATTTTCGACTGCTTCGATTGAAAATAATTCTTTGTTGAAATTTTTCTGCGAGGATAAATTATTTCGAGCACCTGAACTTGTGAAAATGTTGAAACTTTTTTTTATATTTGTATGCACGCTCATGACGCACAGCCTCTTTTATCCGCTTGATTTTGATTTTAAAAAGGTGCATGTGCTACTCGAGTAAACACGATATTTCAAAATTTTGAAATTCTCTGCGTACTCTCAAGTCAACAAGCTCGATTTTGGCAAGGAGATGAGACTTAAATTTTTTTAGCGGTCCCATGAGACTGATGGTTCAGCTTTGTGCGAGCTAATAAATGTGCACGCGAGAAGCCAATGAATCGTGCCAAATTATTTGTGCGAGCACGGGTTATTTACTGCTCTTTTTTTTTGCTGTTGATGTTCAAAATGTAGGTACGCGATTGTGAAGAAGAAGATTGCCGAGTCGGCGACAGTGTGGCAAGCGAGGCATTCGCCGTTTGACCGAGACGTTTTCGCAGCGTGCGCCGGCGACGGAAGTGTTTCCTTGTGGAAGTACGAGTATCCGGATCAGCGGGTGAAGAAGGATGAGGATGATGGAATGGAATGCGGGGTTGCTGGGGATATCCGGAAGCTGCAAAGCGTGAAGATATCTACCCAGCCCGTGAACGCCTTCCGGTGGAATCGGGACCTCAGAGGCTTGGCTGTTTGCGCCTCGTTTGACCAGGCTTTGCGGGTCCTGATTGTTACCAAGCTTTCCACGGTCTAAAGTCAAGCTCGAAGCAAATGAGTTTTTTTGCTTTTCTTATAATTTTTTGAAAAAAATTTTCGTCAACGTGTTAAAAAAAACCGTAAAAAGCCAGTGTAAAAGCTAGCAGGCTACTCATTAAAACTAAGGGCCCTCCGGCCCGTCCACAGCAGACTTAGCGAGTGGGATGACTATACGTCGCCACCTAAGTACAACTAATCAGAAATTAATGAAACTGAACTAACTACTGTATCCCACAGCGAACTAAGCTAACCCAGCTTTAATATGATTGAAACTCGACTCAAGCAAGCCAGCTAATGAAGCGTGAACTGAACTCAAGTAGTAAATGAGCCTTAAAGTGGAACCGAAAATATTCAGGCGACACCTATGTCATGGCGAAGAAATTTGGAGCTTAAGAAATCAGGTGTTGAGAGTGAGAAGTGAGAAAGGTCAAAATGTTTTACATTTCTTAGAGTATTTCTCCTGGTCATTACGGGCATTTCCTGAATATGACCGAGACTTGAATGATCACGGAAGTCTTGGTGTAGTTACTTCGGAATTGAAAATCAGATTCTCGTCAAAATCAAGTTGACTAGGTTTTGTATCTTCGATTGAAGCTTAGAAATTAGATTACCAAGTTGAATTGATCGCTCATAAGTTAATCCGTCCTGAATAAAGCTTTTTCTATTGATGATGTTGTGTTCATTTTTTACTTACTCGATTATTTTCCAAATTAAATTTTCAGTTTTTAAAATTGAACTTGCTTTTTTGGATTTGAGTTTTGATTTTTTCAAGTAAAGTTAATTTTGACGTGGTCAGCTTATCATCCTGAATTGCTCGCAGCAATTTGAAGAAGGGTGATCGATTTCCTTGGCAAATGGATGCTGGAACAGAAGTAAACTTTCTTTAACAAAAGTGGATTTTTAAATTCAAAATTGAAAAAAATTCTTGATTTTTTAATCGCATGTGGAGTGCAATGTCCAGGATTAGCTCTCAGATCGAATTGGTGATGCAAAATCGGCTGCAAATTTTGAGCCTGCTTCTAGTCTTGCATTTTTGTGAAATAATATCTACGATATCAAATGGAAATTGAAAGGATGCCTGCTTTTATTCTTGGATTCACGCTGAAGTTCAAGATGAGCCTGTTAAAAAGCTCCTTACTAATAGTCTCTAAGCCACACGATTCTCCTAATATGAATGCAGTGTCTCTTCTTAGATTATACACCAGTTCTAGAATGACCTTAGAATGACAATTAAAAATCAGTTGTAAATACAGGTCAGACCTTCATTGGTAACCCAGGAAACCTTCCTCAGAAACCATTAAACATGCTAGAGTTTCAAATAGCATTTCTTCAGCACGTGGTGGATTTTTTGTCCTTTAACTGCAACGTGTTGGACGTGAAACCTGCCATAGGCCTCATCAACCCAGTGTTCATGTCATTGGATTTTCCGATTTTGTGCGTGCAACCTTTGGTGTTCTCGTATTCTCCGTTGATGTTCTCTCTGGCTCCGAGTCTGATAAGTGTTTGTCCCGTCGTGTTCTCTTATGCCCCCGTGTGGTACTCTGTGATTCCCGAGTGCTTCGTGTTCTCGCCCATCATCTTTTCCATTACCCCGGAAAAGCACATCAGGTGAGGAATATTTCTCGTGAGTTTTTGTTTTTCTCGCATTGAAAGATTTAACGCAACTACGGTGTAAGTACGGTATTTATATTTTACGTGCCGGATTTTTGCAGAAAACAATGCTTGTGACGACGAAGGCTTAATTTAAAACTTTTGCTACTCTCGCGTTGATAATGGGCGATTGTAATTAACTAATGTTACCGTATTTACTTGAGTATGGACGCAATGTTAAAAATCTGCAATCCACATTTTTGGAATTAGAAATCGAGTTGAAAACGTGTTATCGATGACTTTTTCAGCAGACTTCTTGTATTACTGTTGAAAAATCAGGGTTTTTCAGTCAAACATTTTTTTTAATTGTATGCCCAAGTAAGACGCGCAACACATTGAACTGCATTATTCAAAAATGAGAGCACCGAAAATTGATTTGGGCATGTATTGATCTTGAATACAGTAATTTACAATTTACTGATGAGTAAATTTAAATTGGAACTTTCAAATCTCAGCCCCCAAAATGTAGTTGAATTTTTCAAGGTGTGCATTATCGGCAACACTTTTGAGCCGCTATCATTATTCCCTTTTTACCCGTAACTTCAAATTTTTTATTTAAAAAAAAAGGAAAATCACATCGAGACAAATGAAAATGTTTGTTCATTGAAACTTTTCCCTTTCAGGTATTTTTCTTGGTGTTCGTATTCACCACAGGTGTGTTGCGCTTGTCCTCCGAGAATAGTTGATGCCCTCTGCTTCCTAGATGTCGTATGTTTCATCTTGCAAATGCTCCACTTGACGTCCGTATACGCTGATATTTCATCTGAAGACTTAAAAGATTTTATACGAACGAATTTACCTGGTACTCCGCGTTGAATAAAAAAAAAAGTCTTTATTCTTCGCCTTCCCGAATAAAAATCTTACTTTTCTCAAGCTCGAATCAGTTCGTTAATTACACTGATGATGCGTATGATAAGTGCTTCCGGGTGATTCGCCAAGTGTATAAGTTTGTCTAAAGTTGAATGGTTTCTTCAAAAAATTGTGTTGCTTGGGAATTATGTTATCTTATGTTTATTCCTGGTGGGAAAAAGTTTTAGTTTGCCCGGGAAGAAATGATTTGCAGATTTTGCGTTGGTCAATTGCAGTAACTGGTCGAAGAAACATTGAACGGAAGTCAACCTTGAGCGCGAAAAGTCGTTTTCTTTTTTTTTTGCAGTCGTAACCTAAGCCAGTTTTCGTTTTTTCTTTGCGCAATATGAAAAGTTCAGTTTGGGTTTTCAGCGTTTTGCTGATGGTTTTCAAGTTTTCAGATAGCTTTTTAATCCCTGCTGAATTTTCAGAGGAAGCCGATGTGCAAGGGAAGCGTTGGAACCATCATTTCTCAAGTTCGTTTTTTCGTGCGTCTTCCGGAAATATTTTCGTTTTGTTTGAATAATGGTTTTTCTGAACGTCGGAATCGCGAATTGTCCTGTTTCACATTCACATTTTTGATCCCGTAGTTTATTCTTGTTTTAGTACATAGACGTCGCCCTTTATTAGTACACATTTTTCCATGCATGGTTCAATTTAGCATAAGCTGTATTTGTATTAGATTAAGTTCATGTAGATTGTGTTTTGTCATGTTGAAGTGGAGAAAAACTATCCCTGAAATTTAATTTTTTTTTGCAAGATGCCAGAAAAACCGTGAAACGATCTTTCACTGGAGGTTACTTCGATGCCGTTAATCTGGAACAAAAAAGGAAAGGAGCTGCTTTCCGTGAAGAATTCGAACCCCCGTCTGTGCCCGTGGATGCCAGACAGGCAAATGAGGCTGCCAGCGTGGATAATTTCCCAGTGGGACCAGTTTCTGTCAAAATCCACTTGAACATCGAAATGCCATCCAATGATTCCGTTGTGAAGGAACGTTTGAAACCGGCTAAATTTGGGAGTAAGTTTTTCCCACCTTTTCGTGTGTTGGATGTCTTGAATTTGAATTCATTGTCGGCCCGCTATTTTTTTTTTTTATCTATTTCTTCATTGTACATGCTCATTAATTGCGGGTTCTGGTGTTTCCATTCCTCTCTTTCCTTACTGGTTTGGTACTATCGAAGTGTTGTTTTTTAAAAACAGTTTTTTTTTCGGATTTGAATTTTTTGAGGTCTATGCATCCACAAATACAGGCTGAAATTTAAAGTTCCGAACTCGATTGTCAACCAGAAATGGTGCATGGACGACGCTTGAGATTTTTTATTTTATTTGAAACGTATTGAACCGGACAGGAAATCGTAAAAGATTAACACATTTTGACACCACTTATTCTTAAAAGGTCCACGTCCGCGAAATCGGGTGGGTGGAAAATTCGAAGACATGGGGAAGACGTGCGATCATCTGTTGAATTTTTCATCATGATCTATTCATCTGAATTTTCCTACTTCACATAGAAATAATATACTTCTGTGGAAAAAAGTTGATTAATCTCGGGATTCAAGGCACACCGTGTATTATGTTTTCCACCTCTTCTCGCATATTTTTTCAGGCAGAACAAGGGCATGGGACAAGCATAACATTTTTGCCTCGTCCCCAACGGGGAAGCCAAATCAGAAAATCGCGAAAAGACCAATAGAATCCCGAGATCCGTGGTCAAAAATCCTGCACAGGGAACCCTTTGGCCATCATGCTGAAGTTGCAAGAAAAAGCGAGGCAATTGGATACCCTAGCCGGAGATCCCCTGTTACGAAACCATCACAATCTCGTACAGCTTTTCAGATTATTTCACGAATGAATGATTTGGTGTCACTTGTTGGCGGAATACCCGAGATGAGTTCGCTTTCGAACCGGACAGATGAAAAAGTCACCTCGTTGCAGGATCCGGGTTTCGATGATTCTCGTTCGAAGTCGGTTCTGAAAATGCTCAGATCGCCGAAAATTGAGACAGCTAAACCGACTAGGGAAGCAGAAACCCCTTCAGACTTTTCGAATTTTGAATGCAGGCTCGAAGCCAAAGTCAACATGATAACATTTGCTTGGCCCGAGGTTCCTTCAATAGTGTTGAACACGAAGAATTCACCGTCTACTTTGGAGCCAACTTTGAGTGCGATGCCGACGTGTGAGTTTCAGTTTTTGAATTATTCCTTGGGTTTCCATTGTCAAAGCCTGAAAATGTGGGACGAAGGATTAACATTTTTTATGTGTTATTCTTTCTCAATTTCTTGGATTACTGAAAGGCGAACTGTTGAACGACAAACGGCCAGTTTTCATGAATTAAAATATTGTCCGCAGTAAAATCTAAAACTTTGAACAAATCTCATTTAAAAAATAAATTTTAAATCTGGAAGTGTTGAAAAAGTGGCACAATTTAAAGCTAGAAAATTTGTTCAATCTGTAAATTTTTTCGAAATAAGTTGGCTGGACTGTATTCGAATAACAGCTGAGTATTCTTCCCTGAGAGAATTTTTTGGCAGATAAAAATGCCATGCTGTCATATGGAGCAAAATTAAATTCCGAGACCGGATTCTTTTTCCAACAATATTCCAAAAAATTGTATTTCTCATCGGAGAAAATATTAATACATTAGATCTGACAGCCCTTTCTTGTTTTTCAATAAGAGGAGTGCTTTGAAAGTAAGAATATCTGAATGAGCAAAGATTTAATTATTTCACTATTCATGATTAAATGATGGTAAATTACTTTCAATTCCATTTCAGGTCGCGGTTTTTTCGTGTCCTGTATATACTGTACCAAGAAATTAATTTTTTTTAAACAAAGAAAATCCTTGAAAATTTTATTCTGAAAAATTTTGAATTTTGACAATGCAGTATATATTTTTGTAGATGCTCCTCGTTAATCTTCGAAGTGAAGATGTGATCCGGAAAGCTGTTTTTGTTTTTATGTTCGGTTAAGTTCAAAATTTAGTGATACCACGTTTCTGACGTAAGTTCAATGTATTTTTGATGCCAGAAGTGCCTTTTTTCAGCTACTGAGACGAATTTCGTGACAATTCCAAAACTGACAACGATCAAGACATCAACAAGTTTAAAGCCGATGGAATTTCCTATTCCTCCGCAATTTAATGTCCCATCTGCTGTTCTTCATCCTCTGAGTCCTTTGACCTCAATCCAAGAAGCGCCACCCAGTAAGGATTGCAGTGGACTGGGTAACGCTAAGGCACTGGACAACTGGAGATGATCGTCTTTACCAAAACGAGTTGCCCTTCTCTATTAAGCGTGGTAAAGTTCGCGCCTCGGACCCTACTTACGTTTGAGACGCATAGCGAGGCTTCAGCTCCTTCGGAATTATATCGATGCTGTTACGTCGTCAGATTATTTCTTGAAACGGGTCCGTGACGACGTTGCTTTGCAACGTGCGGCGACTACAATCAGTTTTGTGATGCAACGTCAACCTCGGAAAAAATTTTACTCAAGTTCCGATTGAATAATGCGCCTTCGAACCCCGGTCTGTTCCTGTTGAAAAAATGGGACCCTTCAGTCTAGAATTGTTGCTGAGATTTTGAATAAAGTGAGGTTCTGGTGAAAATCTATTCAAAAAAAGATGTGATGTGTTACCCCGGTTAATGACATATTTTTTTCTTGAGGGCTGCTGATGATTTGTGTCTCGGAGTGCAGCCACTCGTCTGGGAAATCAATAATAAAAACGCGAAGTGTGGCTGTCCGGGTTCGTTTTTAAGGGGATGAAGACATTGTTTTTTGTACCCTCAAGAGAACCCATGTTAATCCAGCAACGTCAGCAAGATGGAAAACAAACTACCGTACAGAACTGAAGTTTTGACCGTGTTTGACCCTTTCAATGATGACCCAGCTCTTCACTGAACCCTACCGAGCCCTCAAGTTGACCTTAGCCAATTACACCCGGCCTTTTATCTTGCGTTAACCAACACCTGGCCTACACACCTAATAATGCCATAACAGTTGTCCCTTTTATTTCTCAATGACATAACGTGACAGACCTGATTTTTGTTTATTATTCGTGAATTATTTTTTGGGTTTAATTTACTCATCTGGTTGTGTAAAATTATTTTACTGTGTTGAATGCATTTTGAGCAGTGATTCGTGTTCTGAAACAGTTTGGAAGTATTGACCGTGGGGAGTAGAATAGTACATAACTTCGAACAACTTCAGCTATTGAAAGTAGCTGTGAAAAAAAATAACTGCTTTAAATTCCTGGCGAAGGATCAAATTCCTTGCACAAAAAGGGGATTGAAAGGTACAGTACTTCAGTGGGATTAATTTTTCGCTCGTCTATGAAAAATGTTCCAGTTTTGTGTCATTTTAGGCGTGAATCTGCATTTTTTTTGCAGTTGTACGACGTTAATGAATGCAGACATCTATTATCTTTTTTTTTTAATCCCATGTTCTCCATAGAATTGATTTTTGTGACTCTTCGTCGTGCCAAAAAAAAAATCATTGTTTATGCTGGAACTTCGTGAATCTGTGGGAGAGGTTGTGAGTTCGGTGTTCGCGGGCGTGAAAAACTTGCATCTCAGCGTTGGGCAAAATTCGGAAAAGCCGCTTTTACCCGTGATTGTTCGCCGATTGGAAGAATTTCCGAATTACGGAATCATGGATCCTTTGATTAAGCCTCGTGCAGAAAGTCACAGCAAGGTCAAGACCGGGTCTGGTGGTGAAAACAGTACGAGGTTTGCAGTTTTTGTGCTCCTGTGTCTTTTCTTGGGATCCGTCACCACGTTGTTCTACATTCTGACCATGTTTCCTGAATTGGAAGAGTGAGTAAATTTATTCTCATTTGTTAATACGCATTAAGAGGAGTAAGTGTCGAAAAAAAAACAGGTTGAGGAATAAAAAAAGAAAAATGGTAAAACGTTGAGAAAATCCTATTTTGTTTGGTATTTATTCCATTTTTAGAAATTCTTTGTCCACAGAATATTTTGTCGTGACTTACCTAACCGTACTGTACCCATCCGAATTTTTTATGACACTGCCAAACAATTTTGGACTTACTGTATTTATTTCAAGCTTTACATTCAGCCTTTCCAGAACTAATTTTAATAAATTTATTTTCTTATCGAGGTACTTTTCTTGGTCCAGCCCGTGTGTATAAAAATCTGATTTCCGCAGGAAACTCATTTTAAGTTACATATTTGTTTTGTGTCCACGAATGCGCCTGTGAATGTAATGATGCTATATTTTACGGATTGAAATTAATGCCTGATGGTTCATTCATTTTGCTATGCTTTTCAGACAGGAAAAGCCACACATGAAGTTGCCGAGGGACATCGAAGATGCAAAGAATTTAGGACGAGTTCTTTCCCGGTACAACGAGAAGTACTTCGGATCGGTGTTGTCTGGAGTTTTCGTCACCTACATATTGTATCCTTTTGCATTGATTTGATTTTTTTCCTACTTTAAAAGTGACCTGAACTGCTAAGAATTAAGGTTTTCTTTCCTTTACTCGAAGATAAATCCTTGATTCTTTTTGCTGCGTCAGTTTGCAAACATTTGCCATCCCCGGTTCGATATTCTTATCGATAATGTCGGGATTCCTCTTCCCGTTCCCACTTGCACTGGCTTTGGTGTGTTTGTGTTCTGCGATTGGGGCATCCATGTGTTATCAGTTGTCCATCATTGTTGGACGGCCTTTGATGAAGAGGTACTTTCCGGAACGAGTCAAGGAATGGGCTCTGAAGGTAAGGCAGAATGCAGGATGAAATTTTCCCTGCGAGAGTTTTGGTTCTTTACAATTTAATGCCGATGTTCCTGATAAATTATATTCCTGATAAATTATAGTAAACTATTATATTTTTAGGGAATTATTTTTCCAGATGAAATATATTTCTTTACAAATTTTATTTCGTGATACTTGAATGCATAATATTACTTCTTATTTAATTCCAATGCATAATTTTTTTCCTTTTTTTGTAGGTTTTGCCTACAACTTTGAGTTCATTGCGTTGGGATAGCTTATTCTTGATTCGGTTAATTGCATTTTGGTGATATTCACGATTGAGGAGACGCTTGCATTATACTGTACTATATTTCAACATGGAAAATTGTTGGTAGAGGAACTTCTTTCTGAAAATACCGTAATGTACTAAGCTGCTAACGTTTGGTTTCATGTAGAATTTCCGCAGTCAAATTATCAAAATAATTCAATGTAGCAAATGTCGTTTATTTTATTTTATCGTTTTAAGAATTTTGAGGGTCTTGGAGAATTCGTTTTAACGAGATATGATGAGGTTGGGTTTCCGAGAGGAAGACTGAAATGTATTGTTAGAAAATGCTTTATTTGCATTTTGAAATTAATTTTTTCTCGTTAGGTGGAGCGACACAAGGATAACTTGCTGTTCTACATGCTCTTCCTGCGGATAACTCCGTTGGTGCCAAACTGGTTTATCAACCTTTCTGCCCCGATCGTTGGAGTCTCGTTGTCGCCATTTTTCTGGGGAACATTTTTGGGTAATTGTTATTGTTACATTATCCGGTTTTTGAATCCTAGATGTCAATTCCGGTATTTTCAAAAGGTTTTCTTTTGCTCATTGCTGTGGTAACTTTTTAACTCTCTTGACGTAATTACAGATTTTTGAAGTGGCGGAATCACAGCGATATTTGAAGAACTTATCGCAAGTTACATTAAATGAAGAGCTCAGTACTTCTACGACGATTTCTCGTTTTCTTAAATATTTCATTAATTCCATTACCGCGGAAAAAAAGAATTCATCTCAGAAACAGTTAAAAAAAATATATTTGCAATGCTTGATAGGCGAGATTGTGTGAAAGTCTTGCGAAATCCAGAGCTCGACCTGTTCTACGCTGAATCAGAAAGCCTTTTCAAAAATTTTAATCGTTTTTGACAAAAGATACACGTGGATTTTCTCTGCAACGGAATTCAAGGGACCAAAGAATTCTTTATACAGAGGAAATCGTTATAGAGCCTGTCCGCCTTATAAGATTTTATTTATGTTGCCCTGTACTCAAATAAGGTATGAACGAATGTCCTAATTTATTTATGTTTGTGGCACCTGTTCCAAAACTTGACAAATTCAGAAATGAGCTAACAGCAGCGATGAATTCTTCTCGTTGCATGATGTAGGTGTCGCTCCTCCTTCCTTCGTCGCAATCCAAGCCGGAACAACGTTACACAAGCTCACGTCAACGAGTGAAGCTGTTTCTTGGAATTCAATGTTACTCTTGGGAGTATTCGCGGGGCTCTCGCTTCTCCCGATAGTTTTCAAACGAAAGCTGAGGGAAAAATTTGATTAGTAGTCATTTGTCGCGTTGATGTTCATACGTAATAATTCGAACTTTTTTTGGATGGGCAGACATTTTGAAGAGTCGTTCCGCGGGGATTAAGTCAGTTGTTCATTCTGCGTGCGTATCGTTGGGTTTGAAGCATTCGTTAATTTCTGTCTGCCTGCTGACTTATTCGGTGAACGAAGGGATTGAGGAAAATGCAGAGATTAACCTGCGAAAATGTAGGAAAGATCTGTTGAGTGGATTTCGAATTTAGTTTGCAAGGATGCGATCAAAGTATATAATTCATTTATTTAGACTTTTTTTGAAAATTATTGAGAAAGAATTGCCAGCTGGCGGAAGGCGGGAAGAATGTAGCAATACCATTCTGACTTTAATCCACGCGTTGCTAGCTTTTATTCAGGGTGGACCAAAGGGAAGTGAACTAGTTTCCAAGGATTGTTATCTCGTGAATGGTTTTAGCTGCCATTTTCAAAAATATTCGATTAACGTTCATTCCATTGTTACTTCAATGATGTATGATGTGTATTGGCATGACCATAATTCCCTTCAAGAAAACTATCCATGATGGTACGATGTTTTCTCGCGTTTGTGTCTCGATTTCGCTTTTTTCTGGGTTCCGGAAGTTCCAATTCTGTTTGAAATGAATGTAAAAAAAAAATATTTCAAGTTTCAGCTGTGTATGGGATGAGTTTTTCGAAATCTGCATTTCGTGACATTTTGCCTTCGAAGGAAACTATTGATGGAGAGGGTAAAGGTCGCTTTGAGCAATTGTTTATCCTTCTGAGTTGTTGATTCATTGCGGAAATTAAACTTTTGGCTTGTTTACTGAATAACTGGCGGAATTAAGACACAAATCAACGACAGACGACGTGGATAATTTTCAAGAAGGAAAATGGTGATTTCAGTGCTGCAAGTACTAGATGATTCTTTATGAGGTCATTCGATGAAGTTTGATATGACATGCTTCGCGGTGGTGTCTAGAGCAACCGCTCGGGATAAATAATTGTCGGAAAAATCGCTGTTCATTTATTTTATTTTTTGCACCCTGTACTTCCTTGAAAAAGTAGCATGTGGTAAGAACTGTTGAAATCTCGCTAATCCCATGGAAATTCTGTCAAGAATCTTCTGTGAATTTCAGTGCATAATTCCGTGCGAATCGTTTTCCGAGTATGACCGGAGATGTGCGGAATATCCGGTCGCATTATTACCGGAAAGTCGGTTTCAACATCGTTGATGAGAAGAAGACCTTGGAGTCTTTGCTCAAGGAAAGTTGCATTGATCTCGAAAACTTGAAACAATATTGTGCCAGATTTTTGCTGACTGCAGACCGTCGATTGTTGGTCTGGAAAATTGTGTTGGGTAAGTATTTACTTTGATTTTCTGTTGTTTCATTGATCTCGGAAGTTGACGTAATTTCTGTGCGTTGTCCAAATTTTCACAGGATTTCGAACAAAAGTAGATGAAGGGTCCATATTTTTTTTAGAGAATCCCTGTACATTTCTTAATTTTTCCCACACTTTCTTTTTGCATGCTTTCCTACCTGGAAGTACAAGATAAATAACCGGAGAATCAATAATTACTGTATTACATATTCTATTTAAATGTGATGTCCGACTAATGATCTGCAATTTTTCTTTAGGTCTCGGTGCGTCCAAGTGTCACGTGAAATTGACGCAAACCGTCTTATTTGCTAAAGTTTGACGAGGAAATGGCACAAAAATTTGTAAACATTTCGGTATTATACTTGGATGGATGAATGACAATTTGTCGATAATGGATAATTTATATAGTACTGTATATTTCGAACAACTTTTTGGACATTTTCTTCGTAATTGCGCGCAGAAGTAAAATTGTATTCGCGTTTTCTGATCTGATTCATGGCTTTTATATTCTTGCAGGAGTTCTTCCGAAATTTGCATCGAGTCACGATTTTGTCGCGCAACAAAGAAGGGAACAGTATGAAGATTTGTTTCGATCCGTGGATGTTCTGAAAGCAGTTCCCAGAGGCGGGCATCTATCCCGGAAGTTCGTGCTCATGTGGGCTATTGAAACACGGAAGTGGGAACCGGAAACTAATCGCTGGGTACGGTTCACATACATTCATGCGGTGGATTGAAAATATTTGATGAAAATTATTGCGTTTGGTTTGTTAGTTTGAAAGCTGTAGGGGAATGTTCAAACTATTTCTCGAGAATGATGCGCTCACATTTCCGTAATTGTTTAGATTCATATTCGAGTAGCCTTGAGCTTTTTCGTGAAATTCGGCGCAGTTCTTGTTTTTAAAAATACTGTGGTGAAAATTTTAAAAACGAAGCCCTCGGTGTGTAAGAAAAAGGAAGACAGAAACTTCAATTTATTCTCTCTGATTTCCTGTTGTTTTCATTTTTTGTAGCTGTCTGAGAAACCGGCGCAATGCATGGAAACGTTGTCAAAGGCTCTGCTTTCCATGTTTCCTGGAAACGAAAGTGATTGTTACTGGCTGGCGAAGAGCATAGTATCGACTAGAATTCTCAGGATGGAGAAGCAATTGACATTGATGACTGAAAACTTTTGGTCTGTTTTGGAACGAGAAGATGGAGAATTGCACGCTCATATTGTTGGTCGAAAGGCGCAAGAATCCGTTCCCATCGAATCTTGGTTTTTGACATTATTTGCCGTTGTTTTGCATCACGAAGCTCTGCTCAAGTGAGTTGATAATTTCCGGGAAATTGGGGGATAATTTGCTTTAAAAAATGATTTACGTGATATTTTTTCTGCGCACAAGAAAAAAATTGCAGTAAATTTCTCAGTGAAACAGTTGGGCTAAATTTTCATTATGCTCCTGATGTCAGCAATTTATTCACCCCACTTTTGTGAACGAACAATAATTCCAATTTGTTTTCGCATTTCACGTGTAAATTGAGCAATTTTTGTCAAATTTTGTGTTGTTTTTTTCTTGAAGGGTTTGGGATCGTGTCGTCGGAGGCCAGGATAAGACGGTGGTGAACATAGCGATTGCTGTTGTGGTCCACTCCAGAGCTGCACTTCTGTCACAAAATAACATCCCTATGATGCGAGAAAATTTGCTGAAGTGTGTGACAGAAACATTGCTTGTGAGTTTTTTTCAAAAACCTTGAAATTTTTTTTTTTTCTTCAACTTGTTGGTCCTTATTTTTTAGGATTCGGAAGATGCGTCCATTCAAGTTGTGGACGAAGCTTTTGGAATAGGAGACCACGGTGCTTGATCTGAAATTCGTCTGCTGTGATTTTTCGTTGTGAGAATTTTGTTCGATTATTTTTGAATTGAAAAATATTAAAATTTTGGCTCGAAACTTACCGAATTTTTCGATTGGCCTCGCAGCATCTAACGTGAATCGTCGTAGATTAAGCCGAGTAAATCTTTCTCGGTCAAACGAAGTTCGTCGCAGTGTATATTTTGTTGGATCGGATCCGTGGAACACTTCGAGGTGAGATTGCGTTTCAAAGTTTTCAACCGTTTGAGCTCAATTTTTGAGATATTTTCTTTGGCCAGTTTTTGATCGAAATGCCGGTAAAGCTGGAAATCTGCGTGAAATCTCTTTTCGATTCTGATTTTATCCGCTTGACTGAAATGGTAACGACTTTCCGTCGACTTCTCATTTAAATATCCGACATCCGCGAGGCTCCAATTGAGTAATCGTTTCAAGCGTATCAAACTTTTGTCCAATTTATCACCGATTAAAACGAGGTGAAATTCTTCGTCCATTTGTTCGATGAAATCCTTGATTTCCTCATGATTGTGAACCCATTCAATGTGCAATCCGAGTTGAACCGCAGCCATATTCTCGTGGGAAATACTTTCTATGAAGTTTTCCAAATTTCTGGATTGTCGTGACGTTGAATTTTTTGGGAGGAGACTCGGCATGAGCTTTCGAACACGATGCAGAGGATTCTCGAGAATTGTAACGTAGCGAGTTTTTGGTGGGAATGATGGCTGCATCAGTTGTTTGTCCCAAATGCCTTTGAAATCGCTCACGGAGTAACTGTAATAGTGTTCCAGGCATCCATTTTTGTCGACCATTGGAAGTTGGAAATCGTGGACGTAGAATGTTGACGGAGACACTGGTGCCAAACTTTTTTGAAATATGTTTTCAATAACGATTTTAGCGTCTCAAAAAATTCGGCTGTCTATATAAAAAGCACTGTGCAGCGAGAAATTTATTTGCTGTTGTAATGCAGGGGATCCTCTGAAAGTCGAATTTCAAGGGACCATCCAAAAATTCGAGTTAAGGAAAAAAAGCGTTAAACAACACTGTTTCTTTCCTCTTAACGTCCTTCAACGTTAGTCACTACAAGATCCGGTCACAAGGGTTGGAAAAACCCGGACGCCTGGTTGTTTAAAGGTTTTGTTTTAAGCGTCTGGTCGTTTAATCCAAAACAAAATTCGCAGACCAGCAAATTCCCAAAAAAATTTCTGTGGACCGGCAAAGTTTCAAGAATTTTTTGCAGACTTGCTGAAGTTTTACTTGAATGTTAATAGATAGGTGATAGGTAGATACAATAAAAATGCATTTAAGAATGCTATCAAACAATCAGAGAAGTGGGCTTGAAGAAAGGTTTCTCTGAATGAAAAATGTAAATACTGTAATTTATTTTGGCAGGTGAAAATTTGAAGTGTTATTAGGAGAAAAGCCAACTTTTGTTTTCTTCAGATAATTCAACTGCCATTGTCCCTTCTGAAATTTTTGGTAAGAAGAACAGACTTGGCGATTTTTGATAAATGTATAAAAATTCATTATGCTGAAAATTTCATGCGGACTGGCAAAACATTTTTGTAAACTGATACCAGTCTGTAGAATAATGGGTTGGGGAACACTTTTCTAGGCCACAAATTTCTCCTTAAATAAGTTGACAGGATGCTGAACTTGGAGGCAAGGGTTCATTTGCCTAGTTAGTCTTTCACTTCCTTTGAAAACATATCAAGTTATATTTTTTATAGCTATTCTCTTTCCTGTTTAGAAAAAGTAACCAAAAGACCCCCAGAAAATTTGAGTTTTGGAGGTTTGATGGGGAAAGCCTTTGAGTTAAGTAGACTTTTAATGCTTTTGTTGTGACAAAGAAAGGAGAATTGCAGGAAGTTGCAATCAGTGATGTTCTAGGCCAGTGTTCCCAACCTTTTTGGGCCTGCGGACCAACAAATTTCCAAAACAAAATTCGCAGACCAGCAAATTCCCAAAAAAATTTCTGTGGACCGGCAAAGTTTCAAGAATTTTTTGCAGACTTGCTGAAGTTTTACTTGAATGTTAATAGATAGGTAGATACAATAAAAATTCACTTAAGAATGTTATCAAACAATCAGAAAAGTGGGCTTGGAGAAAGGTTTCTCTGAATGAAAAATGTAAATACAGTACTGTAATTTATTTCGGCAGGTGAAAATTTGAAGTGTTATTAGGTGAAAAGCCAACTTTTGTTTTCTTTAGATAATTCAACTGCCATTGTCCCTTCTGAAATTTTTGGTAAGAAGAACAGACTTGGCGATTTTTGATAAATGTATAAAAATTCATTATGCTGATAATTTCATGCGGACTGGCAAAACATTTTTGTAAACTGATACCAGTCTGTAGAATAATGGGTTGGGGAACACTTTTCTAGGCCACAAATTGCTCCTTGAATAAGTTGACAGGATGTTGAACTTGGAGGCAAGGGTTCATTTGCCTAATTAGTCTTTCACTTCCTTTGAAAAAATATCAAGTTATATTTTTTATAGCTATTCTCTTTCCTGTTTAGAAAAAGTAACCAAAAGACCCCCAGAAAATTTGAGTTTTGGAGGTTTGATGGGGAAAGCCTTTGAGTTAAGTAGACTTTTAATGCATTGTTTTTGAGGGGATTCAGAGAAAAAATTGAAAATAAAGGGATTTTTGACCTGAGAAGGTTTGAGTTACAATGTTTCAATAATTTTTGGGTAAAATTGTCTTATTGTGGCTTCTAGATGTCGCTAGTTCAATTGTTGAAGTGTGGTTGACAGGTGTCACTACCTCAAAGGTAATTTAATTTTACAGAATCATCCTATGTAAAATCACCGTCTCATCATGCGGCAAAAATTATTTATCCCGCCCAAGATTTAAAACGTTAAAAAATTGTCCATTGCGCAGTAAATTTAATTGTTTGTAATACATAGTTTCAGTATATGTACTGTACCTTGAATTTCTCTTAGTCCTGACAGGGACCATGAAACGCTGATTATGTTGAAGGCCGTGTCGAATTATGATGTTCTGCACGACTTCGGATGCTTTTGAAAAGGAGAGAGGTCTGAAAACAACTCCGGTGACAACAGGAGATTTTTCATGCATCTTTCGTTTTTTGTGATGAATGATTCCCGAGCCGATCGCAATCACAATGAGAGGAATCGTTGCAAAATATCCCCTGTTCATCGTTTAACGTATTTCTGCGGTGTGAAAAATTCAAAATTTTTATGAGAATCATAAAATATGAGATCATTTATTCAATGTATGAGAATCTTATGTTGAAAATTTTTATGAGAATCATGCATCTTTGCATGATTTGAGGAATATTGCTCAGTAGAACCTCTATTACCTTTGCTTGGAATAATATGGAGCTGAATTGAAAAGTCTTTTAATGAATGGAATACATTTATGCAGGTTTTTTTGTATTCCCATCTCAACTTGAAGTATAGGTACATCCATTCTCTAAACAATAAAATTGCATCAGGAGGATTGAATGCATTGCTTTTCAAAATGAAAGCGTTACTAATACATTGGTCTTATTCCTCTTTATAGCAAGAACTATTTTTTGGATTGCTCTAATTTTTTTTTTTTTTACCAAAGTACCATGTGCAAAGTTTTTTAGAACTCTACCCAAAATTGTGAGGTTTGCAACTTACCTCAAGTAATTAATTTGCTTTCTATACTTGGCTTTGTTTCATATTTTCAATCTTAATTTATAAAAATCAATTGAAAAAAATCTATTATGGGCTTAAAATTTAATTTATTCATCACCAAAAATTAGACTGCCTTTCTTATGCTGGGAAGGTTTACCCAATTTTTTCTCTGCAAATTCAAGGTGTTCATCTAACTTGAGGGTGCATATGGTACCTATGCACAAAGTTATAGTTGGCATTTGCAGAACTTTTTTGCTTCTTTAAGCAGCTCGAATATAATGTATATGATATTTTCCCGTGATAAAAATGTGCTCTCATGAGTCAAATTTTAAATTTGAAGTCAATGTATGAGATATTATTGAAAACCTTGTGGAGAAGAACTTGGTTGTTTTTTTATTTAAATGAATGCGATTAAATGTTCATTAGTTCAGACTTTGTGATGCAAGCCATTATATTCAATTTTTTCATTTCAGAATTGCATCATATGTAGATTAAATTTTTGGTAGCTATTTTTATATTGCATTGAGTCATGAGTTGTATTGGCTTGTTTCTTCCACCTGAGTAAAATATTGCTTTAAAGTAGCATATGCAAGTTAAACTTGTGGTTTTTATTTTTGGAATATTAAAAGGTTCTACTTTTGAAAATTGAAACAACTGTGTATCGGCTTTCCAAAACTCTTCGTTTTCTTTTTCCTCCCTCATCAGCTGAACGTTGAGAATCATGCATCTTTGCATGATTTGAGGAATATTGCTCAGTAGAACCTCTATTACCTTTGCTTGGAATAATATGGAGCTGAATTGAAAAGTCTTTTAATGAATGGAATACATTTATGCAGGTTTGTTTGTTCCCATGTCAACTTGAAGTATAGGTACATCCATTCTTTTTAAACAATAAAATTGCATCAGGAGGATTGAATGCATTGCTTTTCAAAATGAAAGCGTTACTAATACATTGGTCTTATTCCTCTTTATAGCAAGAACTATTTTTTGGATTGCTCTAATTTTTTTTTTACCAAAGTACCATGTGCAAAGTTTTTTAGAACTCCACCCAAAATTGTGAGGTTTGCAACTTACCTCAAGTAATTAATTTGCTTTCTATACTTGGCTTTGTTTCATATTTTCAATCTTAATTTATAAAAATCAATTGAGAAAAATCTATTATGGGCTTAAAATTGCATTTATTCATCACCAAAAATTAGACTGCCTTTCTTATGCTGGGAAGGTTTACCCAATTTTTTCTCTGCAAATTCAAGATGTTCATCTAACTTGAGGGCGCATATGGTACCTGAATAAGTATAGTAATGCAATCTATGCACAAAGTTATAGTTGGCATTTGCAGAACTTTTTTGCTTCTTTAAGCAGCTCGAATATAATGTATGATATTTTCCCGTGATAAAAATGTGCTCTCATGAGTCAAATTTTAAATTTGAAGTCAACGTATGAGATATTATTGAAAGCCTTGTGGAGAAGAACTTGGTTGTTTTTTTATTTAAATGAATGCGATTAAATGTTCATTAGTTCAGACTTTGTGATGCAAGCCATTATATTCAAATTTTTCATTTCAGAATTGCATCATATGTAGATTACATTTTTGGTAGCTATTTTTATATTGCATTGAGTCATGAGTTGTATTGGCTTGTTTCTTCCACCTGAGTAAAATATTGCTTTAAAGTAGCCATACGTTCAATTTGAACACCAAAAATAAAAACCTTATAATTTTCCAAGATGAAAACTTTTAACTTTGTTGACACATAGCCGAAAGGTTTTGAGAAGCAAAAGAAAAAGGAGGGAGTAGTCGACTTGCCCATGGTTAGTTCATCATCAAATCAAGAGCGTTTTTATAATTATCCATGACTCTGCGAATCCGATCCCACTCGCAGAGAGCAAAGAAGAAAAATCTTTTGCGATTTTCTTCAACAACAAAAAAAACCATTTTGGCACAAGAAACGCGCACGAGACGTGCATTCATTCGACGGACGGATACGTTTCTTCTGAAACACTTCACTCAATTTTAGTGCACGCAAAACAAAATTCATTTCTCCTTTCGGGGATTGAGAGGATTCGTATGAAAAAAATACATCGTGTTTGCTCTAGAAGCGTTGAAATTTGAACGCTCTGAGGTAGTCGTTGTTCCGCACACAAAACAAAATGGTCCAATTCAACCAACCTTCAAACATGGTGAAATTTTACTCCTGAGAAGATACCAGCGAGGTCAATTTCCCTCTTCAACAGTCCGGGAACTTTTCATGGTTTCCCCAAGGAGACTTTTTTTTTCCCTCGCATAAGACCTCAGAGCAGGAATTTTGACCTTGCGCTAAAATCTGCAAAGAGGTTAATGGCAAGTTCGACTTTCCCACACGCACAATCAAGCCCACAAAAAAAAAACAATATCACAGCTTTCCGAGCGAAAGATAAAATGGGTGCGGTGAGAGTGGTTTGAAGGAAACGAGCGAAAATTCGTATCACAAATAAATTTTGGGGGGTGGGTGAAAATAAGCGCGGTATTGGTGGGGAAATCCGAGATTTTTCTCCTCTTTCTTTGTTTTTCCGCCGCTGTTTCACAAACGTGATTCGTTATCGTCAACACCGCCACAGTTTCCACTTCCTTCTGCTTCGTCCTCGGAGAAACTGTGTTCACTTCCGCTTGAACTGGACGAATGCACTGGAACGATAGTTGTCAAAGGCCCTCTGGAAATCATGTCGCCGTCGTCATCTGACACTTCTTCGTACCAGGGTCTCCGTTCCGATCTCCGCCTTGCTTTCATTTCCGCCTGTGAAAAAATAGGTGCTTTTAAGCTTTTTCACTTAATATCAAGGAGGAGAGAAGGTTTCCTCAACATGAGAAGAAAATTGATTTGAGATTTTAGTAGCGATATATTTGTTGTTTGACAATAAATCAGCCAACTCTGCTTACTGATGAACTAATATGGTCCTATTAAATAGGGAACATTTAATCCGCTTTTGGAGGGAATCCCAGAATTATGTAGGACTGGCATCATGGTTGCCTAACATCTGCATGCATAAAGTTGAGCTTCCTCGAAAATATTGAGAGCTTGAATTCTGACTTGACTTCGAATAAAAATTAATTTGTGTTTTCTCCAAATACCGCAAGTAGTTACATGATATCCAGTACTGACGTAAGTTCATTACAGTACAATAATTCCAAAAGTAAAGTTTATCAGTAATATCCGAGTACCCAATTTACTTGAAGCACCCTCAAGTAAGACAAGCACCTTGATAAGCCCAAAATTCATGTCACAATCGGCAATGTGCTCACCTTCGACTTCTTTTCGGGCCTGGTGTCCTCCATGATAGTGACCTTGAAAACCTCGCCCTTTTTACGGAACGTTTTCGGTTTCACCGGCGGCTTTCCTAAACTGACGGCAACAGCATTACCAACGGCATTCCCAGCCCCCGGTGGCAACGCTTCCAATCCCCTGGATTCTCCAATATCCTCGCACATTTCATCATCTCTGCGCGCCGCCATTTCATTCCCAGGACTGCTTCTCAACTGCTGCTGACCATTCCCCGTATTCACTTCCTCTATCCGACTCAAGTGATGCAAGTTCAACAGCCTGGCAGACTCGGTTTTCGACACGTCAGATGGCGGGGACAGTGCGGATTCCGTGGCAGATGGAGCGGGCGACATCTTGCCAGAACTACTGCCATAATCAGGGCCCCCTGCGCTTCCAGAGCCGCTGCCTGCACTGCCCGTGCCTCCGCCAGGGTGCAGCACGTCCGTTGATACCGACACTGATGAGGCCTTGCGAAGCGGGAATGCGAACCCAGGCCCAGAGGAGGTGGAACCCGGGCGTGACAAGGAGTCGGATTTTGAGGCCGATGAGCCCGGACGATGGAACCCTATGCCCATTCCTGAATCCTCAGACGTTGCCACACTTGTGATTTCTGCATGGAGCTGTTTCAAATCAGAGAAAAATAAATCAGTAAAACATCAAATCAAAATCCCGGGCAAGGGAAGAAAAATGATAATGAAGAACTTTGGAGTTCACGATTTCTCAGTCTCATTCGAAAATAGGTTCACGTTCAAACTTAGTTACTGTTTATCTTCTAATGCTTATACAAGTAATTTTTGGAAAATCATGCGTCATAAATTTAACGAAAATGACACAATTAATCCTTATCACTCAAATGATAGGATTGATGAAACCCCCCAAAATGCAATTGTTATTGACTATTAATTATTCACTAAAATTACTGATGAAGTGTGTACCTGCATGACAGAACTAATCAATTCCAAAATGAGTCTCGTGCACAAAAACTAATGTTCATTTTTGGCCAAGAAAATTTGAAATTAGTGTTGCAGGAGTGTGTCAGAGAATAAATTGTAATCTGGAAGGAAATTATCCGAAGTACAACTTTTAAAGCAATGTTTGTTCAAAACAATTTACCTGAGCTTTCAAATCTGGAGAAGACTTGGTCAGCATCGACATTTGCGGCAAAGCTGTTCCACCTCGTCCTTTTTTGCCTATACCGGCTAAGGCATCTTTTTTCCTGTCATTATTCGGATCAGCAGTCAAATCTGAACAATCCAAGGCCAAGTTCACAACGCTGTTCACTTCGCAATTCCCTTTGGGGCCTATGAGAAAAAAGGGAATAAAGCGTCAAGCATTGAAAAAAAAATCATTTCTCAATTTGCTTAAAAACTCACCAGAAAATTCCAAACTTTTCACATCCTTCATAGCCATGTCTTCGTCTTCAGACACCAGTGTTTGTCCCAGCGTTAAAACCGTATCACTCAGGGGTTTGGCTCCTCCTTTACCACAATTACTGGCAACGACATCTACTCCAACCTGGAAATAACTCTGTGGTACATGTTCTCCGGTTCTAACGCTGGCGTCGCCCTGTACTTGGCGTTGCTGCATTTGCGCGTGTTTGGCTTGCACATTTTTTAGCACGCCAGTATCTGCTGATGAGATTGAAGAGCTTTGGTTGCCAGATGACCGATGAATGACTGTGTCGTCGTCGTGATCCTTCTACAAGCAAAAGAAAGAAACATTTGAATGGGCGCGTCACAATAAAACAAGCAAAAAACATTTGTAAAACTTTTTTGAAAACACAATACAGTAACGTGTGGAGTCCTTTCTTTAGAGAAAGAATCAACAAATGCAATAAATCAATAAATGATCAAATTTTGTTTTCTTACGTCATAATGGTGACGATCTTGAGAGTGACGTCGTCGTCCGTCAGGGGAATCAGTTGACAATTGATCACTTGATGATTGACGGCCCCCATAAGTGTCACGAAATTCTTCCGGGCTCAATTCTCTTTTTGAATTCTGCTAAAAATTGAAAAAAGAAAACAGTTTGTTACTCTCATTTTTTATCCCTTTGAAAGTTCTCCAAATTTTGCACTAACCTTTTCCTTGTTCCGTTTGTTGGGCCATCTGGCCTTCAGGTTCAGCTTTTGCAAAAACCCGCGCTTCTTGCTCGAGGACTCTGCACTTGTGCCAACTGCTGGATGCTGCTGAATCTGATCCACTCTGGAATCACTGTCTTCATTCATGGAACTGCCGACGGATAAGCTCAGGTCCTCCGACACCTGATGACTTTTTGCGGACGGCGGCCGTGTGTGGGACGACTCATTTTCTGACGAGTCCGCCGTTGTTGACCGACGGCTAATTGGCCTTGATGACAACGGCGTTTCTTGCTGCTGCTGCTGCAACTGCTGGTTGCTCACTGGAGACGGTCGAGTTCCGATTATCAAGTCCGGCTCGCAACTGATGGAACCGCTGCTGGTTTGCGCTTCAAACCTTTTGTTCAAAAAAATTAAAAACAAAGCACAAGTCAAAATACTTTTCCTCAATTCAATAACCTGCAAGCGTGTGTGTATGAAATCAAGAATTTAAAATTTTATTTGATACCTAAATCAACCAATAAATGCTTGCACAGTAAAAGTTGAAACGATTTTCAAGCAACAAATTTTTTCAAAATGGAATATTTTCTTTGTGAAATTTCTTGAAAGCTGGTCCTCAACAGTTTGGACCATTTTGAAAGAGCATTTTAAATCTGATTTTCAAAAGGCATTGACACTGAAAATTGCTTACAGTATTCCAGTACAATTAAATTATCTGTCTCCCAAATTTTCAGAGGGAAGATTTTTTAATGCCACACAAAGATAATTAAAAATAACGACTCAATGCATATTGTGCTTATTGAAAAATGCATTTCAAAAAAGTACGAGCTAAAATTTGATTTTTTTTTAGAATTAAATGGACACTGAAAATTCTGAAATATTTCAGAACGAATAAATGTGTCTCCCAACTTTTTCAGAGGTACGAGTTTTCAATACCAAAAATTACGAGAAATAAAAATACTGAATCAAAAGCATTGCCTGAATCCTTCATTCAAGCCTAAATTTTTCGTGGTTCTTCCAAGTTTTTTTAATACAGTATTTGCTTAAATTTATCAAATAAATAGATACGGTTACATTTAAATGGCAATTTTTTTTCAAAATTTCTCATGAACTGATGAAATGATTACTGAAGTTATGGACCATATCCCATGAAGCATAATTTCCCCATCAAAAATCAAAGACAATAAAAGTTTGCAGACATCTCTTGATTTTCCTCAATGAGTCTACCATTTCAAAAAATAAAAATAAAATTGGTCTCGAGGTAAATGATCAATTCAGGGAATCTTCCAACAAAAAGGCACAGAAAACCCGTACCTGTCAACCAATGAGCGAATTTTGCTGGATGTGACGTGATGTTGCATTTGTTGGTGGCCAGCACCCGTGTTTGGTGTTGAATGATGAGACACATTCTCAAGTAAAATTGTCCCACAAACGTCTCCGTTGCCGATGACGAGTTTCTGGTGATCTGAGGCCCGATGCTGACTGACCAACATTTGCCCATGACCTGATTTCTGCCTCTGGTGCTGCACCAATTGCTCAACCAACGATTGTCCCACTTCCTGGTACCTAGTAGTGAAGCAAACAAAAAACAAATAAATAAATACAATGTTTACAATACTGTATATAAACTACAGTACAGTATACAGGCAGAAAACCTCCAACAAAATATTTCAATCGCAAAAAGAGAAGTTAATTTTGCACAAAATTTTTTCATCAACATCCATTTTTGCTTTGCCATTGGAAATTTTTTATTTTTATTTCTAGTTCAGGAAATTAAAGGTATATATTTTCCTGGTTTTAGATTTTTCCATTGAAAAATATAACTACAAATTTTTTGCAAGCACAATACACAGATTTAAAACCTCAAAAGAAATATTTCAATTATGAAAAGAGAAGGTAATTTTTTACAAAATTTTCTCACTGACATTCAATTTTGCTTTAAATTCAAAGTTTAAAAATCAAAAGTAACTTTCACTGAAAAATATAACTACAAGTCTATTGCACACACACACACGCACACACACAAGGGCAAAATGTAACAAAATCTAAGTAAAAATAATTTCAGCTGACACATATGCTTACTGAATGCATTGCAAATTTTCCAAAATAATTTCCGCGCAAGAACTTGGCATTTTCCGGTACAGCTATCCATTTTTTTCATTCTGGAATTCAGATAAATTCAGAATTCATACAATATTGTAATTAATTTGCTTTACATTGTGATTGAAATTATTCTTTGCATCTTCATCCACCCTGATATTGAAAAACAGCAATTGCTGCCTCAGTAATTTGAAAAAAATAGAGCCACAATTATAAATAGCCACAATATTTGACAATATATATTTTTTTATAATGACGAGGGGAAAAAAAACAAGATTTACCCATCAAATTCCTGAAAATTTGGTGGCGGGGGAGGAAGTCTTCCCAGGGGTTCAATAGTGATTCCTCTGGCATTGTTGACCACAGCAGCAACAGCATTTTCATACTCTGGTTCAGGGTCGTTTCCAGGCTCATTGTCGCTGGTGCCAGTAGATGGCGGCTCTATCACCTCAAGCACAGAGCAATTGCTGCTCTTTGACATGAGATTCATGGCCTTCAGCTTGGCATTCACGTCATTGTGCGGAGACCGTGGGTGGACATTGTGAGCCATGGCATTCTGACGCGCATGCTGAGGCTGAATCACTGTTTCTTGCTTTTGCTGATCACTGAAAATAAAGGAGGATATTTGTATATGGATGGACTCTCTAAAATGAAATTCATGAAAGGACCAGAAAAATAATTGCTGTAGAGAGAATATTGTTGTATAGAAGTTGGGTTGGGTGGGGAGGGGGTTTGGATGTGGGAGTTTTGGTTGTGCCTTGTGAATGCTAAAAAGCGGCAAATGAAGTGTTCTGTTCATTCATTCATTCATAGAAACCCTATAACATTTGGAGAAATTATAGTCAACCCTGTGGGATCACAAAAGTGTTACAGTACATCAAGAAAACTGTTTTGGACAAGATTTTTACAGAGGAAGTACACCTGTATACTGTACAGTCAACCACCATCTAATGTCCTGTACTTAATTCTTGCAACAGATAAATATGTTAGACAAAAAGTACTCAAGATAAATTTGGTTTTCTCATAGGTTTACATGTTAAAAATTTTGATTTGACTGAAATAAATTAGAAAGATTTGCTCCATTAGATGGGATGAAAAACTGCGCCCAGAGGCAGTAACTTGGACAAAACAAGAAAACAATACAAACCTATGCAACTGTTGCTGACCCTGGTCATGACCAGACAAACTATGCAATGCAGAAATTTCAGAAGCTATGTCAGAAAACTCTTTGCTTCTGGTTCTTGCATTATTCACTGCTGCAGTATTAGACAATGATGCGCCAGAAGCATTGGCCCTTCTCAACAACTGCGATGGTCTGCCCAGTGTCGCTGTTCCTGCCAGATTGTTGGAGAAGGAGGCGTTGTTGGCTGGGGGTGTTGTGGTTGATGCGACAATAAGACTCGTGGCGCTTTTGTGCAGGGATGTTCTGCCTGCTGCAGCAAGACTGATTCGCTCGTTGCCTAGAGCGTAGGACACTACACCGGACCGGCTTTTGTTGGAAAAGGCCCTTTTCTTGGCTCCTAGTGGAGAAGAAAACACCGCAGCCTGGGAAAGAAATTGAATCAAATTTAAAATAATTTGCATAATAAACATAGAAAGCAGATTGTTTTCTCATTTTTAGATTTGATCTGAGGCCCAGAATACCAAAATTTACCAATTATTGGCTCTGAGCACAATAAATGTAAAAATGATCTTTTTGTGCTCATACAGTTGAACCTTGATAACTCTAATCTTTCTTGGTCAAATACCTTCAAAGTCAAAATTTGTCCAGGTCCCTGAAGATTTTTTTCTGAATCCTTTTAGAATTAATGCATTAAAAACCTCCATAAGTCAAAGGCTTTTTCCCGCAAACCTTTATTAGTTAGATTTTCTGTGGCCTGTTGGCTATTATTTTCTTGACACAAGAAAGATAAAAGCAATAAAAACATGAATTCACTTGTTTTAAAAGGAAGTGAAAGATTCAAATGGGCAAATGAAACCTGCATCCAAGTTCAGCATCCTTTCAACTCATTTATGAAGCAATTTAAGCCCCAGAATATCACTATTCAGAATTTTGGGCAATTTTTTGATGTTTCCCAGAACAAAAGGGCTTTGTATTGTAGCTCAATCCTCTATAATTCAAAGTCTCCGCAAGTCAATTTTTTGCGGGTCCCTTGAAATTCAACTTGGAGAGGTTAATACCTACCAAAGTCAATTCTTTTGCTGGTCCTTTGAAATTCAACTTAGAGAGGTTTGAGTGTAGATTTAAGCTGAGGCCCAGAATATCAAAATCCACAATTTCCCCAAATTCTTCTTTCTTTCTTACAACAAAAATGCTTGTTTCCCTGACTCAAATTTTGTTGTTGGTCCTTTGGAATTTGAATTAAAGAGGTTTGCCTGTATTAAAATGACTTCCTAAAACATCATTGCCCTCATTGTAAATTAGTACAGGTGAACTCTCATGACAAAAATCTTGCCTACAATGATTTTCTCTGTATAACAAAGATTTTTTCTTTCTTTTTGGTCGCATAGGATTCTCTTCCCATGTTTTAGGAGTTCTCTAAACCAGTGTTCCAAAACCTTTTGGGGCCTGCTGACTGGCAAATTTCTGAAAAAAATTTCGTGGACCAGCAAATTTTCAAAACATGTTCTGCAGACAGGCAAAGTTTTGTAAACTTTTTTGCACACTCAGAAAAGCTTTGTCTGAAACACTTTACAGCAGGTAGTGAAAAATTTTCTGCCTTTTTGCAAAAATAAAATATAGTACGTAGCGGAATGTCTTCAAAAATTGGAAAGATGGGCTTCAACAAAAATTTCTCAGGATAAAAAAATTAAAATAATTTATTTCAGCAGGTGAAAATTTGTCTGAAGTGTTATCGGGAGAAAAGCCAACTTTTATTTTTCATGAGATAATTTTACCTGTAATTTTCCTGCCAAAATTTCAGATAAACATACTGTAATATCCTTCATTGACAGGTTTTCATAAAAATGGCTGACCACAGACCACCGATTACAGGAACACTGCTCTAAACAACAAATGTTTCTCTGGTCCCCTCAAATTTCATCATGGCAAGAGTCCAACTGTACAAGTCAAACACGGGGGTTTATCATGAGGGAATCACCTCGTCTTCCAAGTCACTGGTCCACGAACGACCCTTAAACTGGGCATCCTTCCTCGCCCGCACACCCCTCCGAACCGGGGTGGACGCATAAATCCCATCTGTCCAATACCCCGCGGCCCGGGAATGCACATTCTCCTCGTCGTCATCCTCATCCCGACTGTCGTCAAAGGCGTCACCCCTGGGCCCGAGTTCGTGGTGCAAAAACTGACCCAACAACAACTGCTTCGATCCCAGCAACTGATCCAACTTGCTTTCTTCTTTCACCAAATCACTGCTGCCAATTTGGTGGTTCTTGTTGTTGCTGCTGCTGGTACTTCGTATATGGTGGTGGTTGCTGTTGTGATGGTGACTGGTGGTGGAGGTGGTGTTGTGGTGGTGCTGGTGGTGGAACTGCTGCTGTTGGTTGTGGTGCTGGTCGCGACGGGACCGACGCACCACAGAGTCGGAAGAGTCTGAAGAATCCTCGAAACCCGGTGGGATGAAGAACTCGTCCGAGGAATCCTTCCCAAAGCTGAATTCAGAACGTTTCAATTTTTCACGCGACGCGGAATTGACGTATTTGCGTTCCACGTGCGTCATTTGCGACCTGTAATTGATGCGGAAAAATAACAATGAAAATTTGATCACGCATTCGTAACATTTTTCAAGAAATGCCTAGTGCAAAAAGAGCTGGTTTTTTCCCAAAAGAAATGCAATTTTTGACAAACAAATGATAAGCCAAGCCAGCTCTTGTTTGACAAAATACAGGGATCTTTTTATCAGTTCATTACCGACACTTGAATATTGAACCGAGAAACTGTTCAAATGGAAGAAAATGGCACTGGACATTTTATAAAGTAGTAGTCCAAAAATATGCAATTTTTATTTATTTCATGAGGCTATGTTCTTCATTCAAGAGAGTGAATACAGGGACATTAAAATATTATTTTTAAATTTAAAGACACCATTTAAAAACGCATTGGGTTTTGATACATTCATATGAAAGAAATAATTTTGCACAATTTTTTTGCCAAACAAAAGATAATTCCTAGTTTACAGTATTTTCGAAATTTGAATACCAAACTAGGAAACTGAAGGACAAAAAATGGCATTTGATATTTTAAAATATGTTTTATTATTCCCAAAATGCGCCATTTGTATTCATTTCATCAGGTCATCTTCTTCATTTGATGGAGTGAATACAGGGACATTTGGATACAATTTCAGAAATTTCAAGAAATGATTGAACAAAGCATTGGGTTTCAATAGACAAAAGAAAGGCAATTTTGCCATGCTTTTTTTGCCAAATAAAAGATAATCCACTAGCTTAGTTTTGAAATTTTGACAAGTGGGAAAATCTGCTTGAAAAAGGCATTGGCGCAATTTTTACATCACATGAAGAAACTTTGGATAAAAAAACTGAAATGAAGTTTCTAGCCAAAATTTGGTTTTCACAGCCTGTGTTCTGGTAATATTTCCTCCATTTTAGATTTGTGAACTTTTTAAGCAAGCCAAAAACAATTCAAATAAATGTTGAAACTTACTAAATATGATGAACACTTGATTTACCTTGTTCCAAAATATAATTTAAGTCTAAAAATAAAGTTGAACTTTGATAAATCAAATCTCTCTCAGTGCCTAAGTCAAATACCTCCATATGTCAAATTTTTTCATAGATCCTGTCTCAATTCCCTTAGAAACACTGCATTAAAAACCTCCAAATAATATAGTATTGTTTCACTGGCCTGGGAAAGAGAAAAGCAGTAGAAATTTGAATTCATCTGTTTTGAAAGAACGTGAAAGACTAACTGGGCAAATGAATTCCCCTGTCTCCAATTTCAACATCCTTTCAACTCACTTAAGGAGCAATTTAAGACCCCAAATATCACCAATTACAATTTTCTGCAGATGTTTGTTCTTTCCCCCAACAAAAATGCTTCTTTCCTGAACTGGAGTCATTTTCCTAGTCCCTTGAAATTAATTTTAAATAGATTTGACTGCTTCAAAGAGATATGCTGATTGACTTAATTAAAGAGATTTTACCAAACCGTACTTGACTTTTTGAATATTGAAATGTAGGCAAAAAATGTGAGCAATACAAAGTCTGGTTCAATCCATTGATTATGAAGTACTGTAAAAAAACACTTCCTTGTCTTAAATATGCATACATGACAGATGTCCAGTTGTATTTTGTGGATTGTATTTTCTTTTACTTTTGCTATCAATTTGTGCTCTCTTTCCTGCTCTGAAGTGATTAAATGTCTTTGAGTGGATTTGGATGTGGAAATCTTGATTGAACCTTGTGAACGCTGAAAAGCAGCAAATAAAGTGTTCTGTTCTGTTCATTCATTCATTCATTCATTGTCTTAAATTAAATCACCTCAAAAGCTCATCAGGAGAGATTCCAAAGCCAGAGGAAGTGAATCGTTGTTGAGAAGTGACAGCAAACGGGGAATACGATTTCCCACCACTGCTGGACTTGGACTTGTAGGGATGATGAACTGACGATGACAACGGTGTCGACGTAGCTGCCGTCACTGTCGACGCCGACAATGATGACGTCATGACACCCGGGAACGGAGACGAGTTGCCCAACCCCGCGAGGTTCTCCTCCGCCATTTGCAGCTTTTTCAGCAGTTCTCTCCAGTTTGGGGACCGGTGGGTCCAGAGGTCTTCTTCCTTCCGCCAATCGTCCAACAGACCTTCGCACATTTCTATACTCTGTTCCACTTCCTCCCTGGAAAATTGACAAAAGAAAAATAAATCAGATTTTGAAAATATTTTGATTCAAAAAGAGGCATTTGATCAAGGATCACGAAAGAACATAAATAAAAATACAGGCAGTCAGCCTTTTGAAGGCCAAGAACACATATTCAAAGGATTTCCTTGAATAGATGTTTGTAGTTTTTCAATCATTTATAACAGTTTCAGCAGAGTTGAACAGATTAAAAAATTCAAGAATAAACACAAACAATGCATACAACCAATTTGAATAACATACAAGGATCACAAAAGAACATAAATAAAAATACAGGCAATCAGCCTTTTGAAGGTCAAGAACGCATATTCAAGGGATTTCCTTGAATATATGTTTTCAGTTTTTCAATCATTTTTATAACAGTTTCAGCAGAGTTCAATAGATTCAAAAATTCCAAAGAATAACCGCAACCAATGCACACAACAGATTTGAATAACATAATTCAATAACACACAGGAAAAACATAGATTTGTGCACACAAATCATTTAAAAGGAAAGAAAAACAATTGTTTAAGAGTTCAGGACAAACTGACATAAATTCAAATTATTTGGAGCTTATATAATTTTCTTGGAATTTCCTGGTCAGATGATCCGACTAGAACATTCCAGAACATCCTTGGATACTCTCTGGACTCTGATTGGCCACAAATAGAAAAATCAAAGAGATTTATGCACTGCATCATCAGCTGATGCAGAGGGAAACCTTCATCGGTTTCCTCTCTTATTTTCTCTGCAACAAAATGGAATAATTTTTATAACAACAATCATTCCACAGCAGGAATTCATGTACAGTAAAATATCAATACAGCGAACTTGGGGGGACCTCAGAAAAACTTTGTTTTAACAAATAATTTATTATAATGAGATTTTCAAATCTATTTGCTGCTGGAGAATTTTTTCACATTTTCATATTTCCTCTTTTGAAAATGGTTCATGCCATTAAACTTAGAGAATGGGTAAAATCAAGGGACTCTTCCGATTCCAGAAAACAGAATGCATTAAAAAGTTCAGCTTACTTTTTCAAATAAAGAGACTAAATTTGTTGATAAGTAAAAAGGGAGGTGCACTTCACAATTTATTTTCCAGGCTAAATAAGGTGCATATTAAATAACGTTTTCTTGAAAAATTACTCTTTGAAGGATTATTTCATCACAATAAAAGGCATGGCCTCCTTTTTTTAAACAATAGATGAAAAAAATATAATTATATTTTTAAAACAGTGATTATTCGTTGGAAAACTGCCCTGGAAAATTACGAATACGATAATTGAACAGGATTAAAATACAGCTGTTCAAATTATACGCAAATTTTCGTGGTCCTGTTTTTTTTTATATTGATGATATCCCCATTCAAATTTTTCGCAGAGGAAATCTTGACCACCCTGAAGGCATTCAGGGCAGTAGCTTTTTTCTCATTCCACATTTATTCCATCTTCCCACACATGAAGTAAGAACAATTTCTCCTTTTGGAAGCACAAAGTGGCTCATTAGCAGCGATGTGAAAGAAATGCCCATTGGAGTGTGTGTATATCCGGAATCCAGGTCACTGTGGGCTGCAAAACACGAGTCCCGATTTTTATTTTCAATACATCCATATTTATATCATCATTATTATTATTATCTCTGGATCGCATTGCACTTGCAACGACCCCGTCATTATACGCATTCCCCGAAAATGGGGGCCCACAACACATTTGTTATTTTTTCGCCACTCCCTTCATTAGCGACTACTTGGGGGGATTTGGTGCCCGAATCCCATTTCTCTCGATCATCCGCGGAAAATAAGAAATAATCAGCCACGTGATGATTTTTTTTTTTTCAGAGAAAAATTTGACATCATATTTCTCGATTTTTTATCACGATCTCCACGATCTTCTAATTTCCAGTTCTATTTTAATATTCCCTGCAAACTTTTTTCACGGAGTCCTAAATTTGTAATAAGAAAAAATTTAAACATGCATTGAAATCATGGGAAATTCTTTGTTTCAATGCGTCATTCAGAAAAATTAAAATTGAATACTCCAAAAAATAAAACGTGGCATTTAAAAAGTTTCAAATTTGTAAAAACCTTTTCTTCGAAAAGAGAGCGTTGAAATCGTACGAAATAATTTGCTTCGATAGATCATTTACTTTCCAAACATGAATAAAAAATTCATGTTCGGAAAAGAATCGCGGATATCATCTCATCAGATTTTTTTTAAACAGTAATTCTCGAGACATTAACGATGTTTTTTCTGTGGCGCGGAAGAGAATTCTGCAGCTTTATCATAAAAAAAATTGACAATGAATTACTTGGCGTTTTAATCTCAATTTAGTCAGGATCATCATTCCACTGTAAAAAAATGTTATTATATTTTTTCATAGAAACTCTTTAAGGTTGAGTACTTCACCTGAATTTTATGATTTATTTTGCATCACTAGGAAAATAAAATGAAATTTAGCTTCAGGGTATGAAAAATGCCAAAAGGGACAACTTATCCACGCGAAAAAATTTACTACGGTATTTAAGAATATAAATTCGTAATTATTTGCAGTTCTTGCCTCAGGGCTAGCCTTGAAAACCATTCTTGTGGACTGGAATTATAACTTCCTTATTGTCCGTGAACATCCTCGGTGATTCAGCATTTTATAGTCGAGTTTTGCATTCGTTTTTATCTATAGTCTGTTCCCATTAATTAGCTTATGTAAAAAAAATGACTCGGAAAAATATAAAAAATCACTAATGTCTTTCTTCTTATACGAAAACTATCCCTAGTATAAAATTGAAGCCTTCTAATTTCCAGTTCTATTTTAATATTCCCTGCAAAATTTTTTCACGGAGTCCAAAATTTGTAAAAAAATCTTTTAATTAAAAATGCATTGAAATCATGGGAAATTCTTTGTTTCAATGCGTCATTAAGAAAAATTAAAAATTAATTGTCCAAAAAATAAATCGTGGCATTTCAAAAGTTTTCAAACTTATAAAAACCTTTTCCTCGAAAAAAAGGGCGATGAAATCGTACGAAATAATTATTTTCAATAAATCATTTACTTTCCTCACAGGTACATTAAAAACGACTATTAAAAAAACACACATGTCGACATTTAAAAATTTCACATCTGTAAAAACATTTTCCTTGAAAAACAAATGAGTGCTGAAATCGTAGGAAATACTTTGTTTGAATAAATTATTTAGAAAACGGTTTCCTCACAGGTCATCTAAAAATGGTTATGGTCCAAAAAAGATAAATCTTGACATTTAAAAATTCCGAAAAAAAGGTGGAGATTTACGAGGCGTAAGGGACGAGTGAAATTCCATCCGCTTTTTCAACTGCACAGAAAAATTCTTCGGATTCCACAGCAAATTTTTTTTCGTTTGTTTCGTGAATGAACAAAAATAACACATATCTTTACACAGCGTCTTATGAATACCACCCGCAAGAAATATGAACACCCGCCTGTCATTAATCAACTGAGCAAAAACTATTAGCTTCAGTTCTCTAACAAAGGAGCTCGTACGACCGGAACGAAAAACTGTTCAAAACCGCAAGCGTGAAAAAAAAGGAAAAAAATATTCTGAATCCAAATGAGCACGAGTACATTTTTTTTCTCTTCTCTAGAAAAATGTATAAAAATCGACTGGAAAATGCGCATATGACGGATTCATCATTAATGAGGAAGGAAAAAAAGACCCACGCTTCGTTAACGGTATTTTTCCAGCTGACATAATTACGCTAGTTTTTCTTTTCTTTTAGTTTAAAAAGGGAAGCCTCATCATTCATCTGTTACGAATACTGTACATAACTGAAACGCGTCACGGAATGGCGAAATGAATTTGATGAAAATCCTGAGAATAAATCAGGAAAGCGTAAATTAAAAAAAAAGGAAATTACGAGTCTCATGGAACACCTCGTTTAAAAAGTTAACTGCATAAAAAAAAAAGCGCATCCATTAGCAGCGTAAGACCAAAAATTTCCATCATAATTTAAAAGCCAATGACCGGTTGAACACATTTTCAATGGCCTGAGAAAACAAGAGCGATGAAAAATGACGTTGCGGAAATGACGAAACATTTTCCTTCACTCTCATTTCAATTTTCATTTCAAAATCTTATGAAAAAAATAAGAATTGAGAAGTTGCAACAGAAGGATAATAAACATTCCAGTACAACATAAAAAGCGGATATTTTAATATTCCGCACTTGGAATCTTCGAAGAAAAAAAATTACATAAAATAAACTGAAACATTTCAACAAGGCTTTCATGAAGCAAGAAAAATATACCGTAACTGAATCAATCCTTTTTTAAATAACACAAAGAACTCAATAATTTCAAGTCTGCAATTTCAACAATAGATAAATATTGAACTACACACAGAGAGAACCCGTTGATAAAACGCTACCATGACTGCGAGCGACACCTACCTAAACCAAAACAATCTTCCAGGAATGTTCCGCGGAAGAAAAATTTATGCATCCGATTGCAAATTCATCTTTTCTGTCGCCGTCATTCGCGTAGAAATTTTTTTAAATAGTTTAAAGGCATAAAAAAAATTTTCTGATACAAATTTCTAGTTGGAAAATCTTAAAAACGCCAAAGGTGCATGAAAATTTCAAAAATTCCCAAGATGGATTTACAGGCCACCACTTTTGCTGATTGATGAATTTGTCGTAAATAATTCACGTTAACTCCCAAATAAATAAATAAAAAATCCTGCAGTTTATTCAACTTTTTTTCAGTTGAAAATATTCCTCTGGAAGTATTCTTAACCCCAGAAATGCATCACAAAAAACATATTTTATTCTTCGATCGATTCCCCCCTTCCTTCGAGAATCCGAGGCATCATTACAACCTTGACCTTGATAAATCCCTTACAGCACAGAAAAGATTAAAATGTGTGAACCGAGATTATGAGAATAAAGAGAGACAGAAAAACAAACGGGGTGTGGGACCAGGAAGCCCCTGACTCCAGATTGCGCACTTGTGTGCGGGGCGCAATAATAAAAATCCCTGGAATGCCTGGGTTCTTTTATGGGGGGGCCCTTGTGGTGATTAAAACAGAAAAAGGCCTTTCCTGCTACTGCTTATCTCAATTATCACCAGGAACTCAAGGCTACTGAAACTTTTATCCTAAAAATTAAGTTAACCAATGAAGCAGCTACATAGTGAAATGTCCTAAAAAAAAATAGGAAGCTTGGATGCAAGATAGGTTTCTCAGATTGAATTAATGTATTTCAACAGGTGAAAATATGTCTAAAGTGCCATTAGGAGAGAAGGACAACTTATTTTTCATCAAATAATTTCAAATAACATTGTCTTTCAAAAATGTTTGATTGCGATAGAAGACTTCATTACCTATGAAAAAAGTTTGTTCTACTGAAAAATGTGTTTTAAACCGATTTCACTGCATTTATTCATTTACAGGTGAACCTGGATAAGTTGAACATCACTAAGTAGAATTCCTCCATAAGTTAAATTTTTTTCAAGTCCCTGTCTGAATTCCCTTAAAATCAATACATTAAAAACCTCCCTGTCTTGAAGTCTTTTCCTCTAAAACCTCTGTAAGTCAAATTTTCTGAGGCTTTTTGGTTAGTATTTCCTTGAAATATGGAAGAGAAAATGATTAAAACAAATAATGTGATGCATCTTGAAAGGAATTGCAAGACAAATATAGCAAATGAACCCCACTGCCTCCAAGTTCAGCAAGGTGTAAACTCATTATGGAGCAAGTTTTGTCCCAGAATATCCTCATTTATGATTTCCCACACTTTTTTTCACCACTCCACACTACAAAAATTTTTTTTTCTAACTGGAAACCTCCAAAAAACCAAAAACTCCTTAAGTCAAATTTTTTCCCTGGTCCCTAGAAATTCGACTTACAGAGGTTCAACTGTACTGTACAGTGAGACCTCCACATGCGGACACCCTGACGTGCGGACAATTCAGTATGGGGACACTTATTTTCCCATAAAAAATTAATAAAAAAGGCCCGACATGAGGACACTGACTCAACATGGGGACATTTTGTGATAAAATTGCATATAAGTTTCAGGCCACATTACAAGAAACAGATACGTATTTCCTACCCTAAAATTGATGCAAGAAAAATTCTTGGGCATTTCTCTCACCAATTTATCACCCATTTAGCTAATTAAAAGAAAATTCCCTCCATCATAGAGGGGACTTCCTTCTCTCTTTTCCATGGAATTATGGTGAGTATTTTGTATATAAAACACCAATGAAAAAATTATATAATGTAAGTCTAAGGTAAAATTAGACTTGACTTAGGGGCATTTCAACTTAGGGACACTCTTGATGCACCAATTACGTCCGCATCTTGGGGTCTCACTGCATATGCATACAACGACAAAAATGCCTCAAAACTCACTCGAGGTGTCTCCCATCTTTGAGCCCGTGTCCATTGAGCCTGGCTCTGAGCCCAGCATTGTCCTGCAGCAAGACCCTGAGCTGCACAATCATGCGTTCGTGCAGGGACGTCACGTGGTCGTGCAGGGTGCGAAGTTGGGCAAAAAGGTCGTCCCTGTCGGCCTGCAGCCGCCTTCCGGCCACCACGACTTCTTTGGACACCCGCACGGCCTGGTCGGCAGTTTCCCGCATGAGCCTGTCCTGGGTTTGCAGCTGCACCATGTCCCGACACACTGACAAGCTGGCCATGTACAGAGTGAGGTAGTCTCGACACACTCTCTGGCCACTCTGCAGACTCAGGTCCAGCGCCGTTTGACCTCTGTCATTCTGCAAAAAAAAAAACAAGATGAACAGAGTTTTCCTCTTTTTTTCCCCAAAAATGTTCACTTCTCCAACAAACAAAAAAATTGGATTAAAATTTATGAATTTTAACAAGTTCAATTGAAACTGGGGGAAATTTATTTCAACTTAAAAAAAACACTCAGGGTGAAATCCTCAAATTTCAAAATGTAATGGAAAAGTGGGAAAATATTGTTGGGCCTCCCTCATCAAGGTGAAATTAAATAAAGTAAATAACTAGCTTGGGGTGCCAGCCACACCTGGGCAATGGTTGGTAGAATAACTATAATCCTAAAAGTAAAAAATACCCAACAAACTAATGTACCCTAACATACACAACAACATAGCCTACCAAAGGCTAGGGTATGTTCTAGGGTAGGATCGTTTTATTAGTAGGTTGTAGTGTAGGGTAGGGTATGTTGTAGTGTATGTTAGGGTATGTTATAGGGTATGCTAAGATACATTAGTTTGTTGGGTATTTTGGAGTAAAATTCATAAATTTCAACAAGTTTAGTGGAAACAGGGGAAATTTATTGGTTATTTAAAAAAGCACTGAGGATGAAATCCTAAAATTTCAATGTGTAATGGAAATGTGGGAAAATATTGTTGGGCCTCCCTCATCAAGGTTGAATTAAATTAAGTATATAACTAGCTTGGGTGTGCCAGACACACCTGGGCAATGGTTGGTAAAATAACTAAAATCCTAAAAGTATAATATACCCAAGAAACTAATGCACCCTAGCATACACTTCAACATACCCTACCATACACTACAACCTACTCAAAAAACTAACCTACCCTAACCTTTGGTGGGGTATGTTGTAGTGTACATAAAGGTAATCTTCAAAATGATCTTGTCCAAGGCCAAGTGTTGTGTTTTATTTTCATAGTAATTATTTACACAAAGATCCAGATATTCCTTCACTTTTCATCTTGAGGCAACCTTGCATCCCCTAAAAATATTAGCAAAGAAAATAACTTTTTTTAACTTTGTTTAAGGTATTTAAAGTTTTTCACTTTGTACTTGACCCTTATTTATAGGTTTGTTAGCCAAACATCTTTACTTAGACCATTTACACGATATTATACTGATTTAATTTTTTTTTTATTAAATGAAGGACCATTTCCATCATGGCTTTCTCCTGTGACACACGTTTGAACAAAAAATATTTTATTTCATCAGAAGAATTTATCCATAAACCACGGCTTTCCAGAAAAGCTAACAAAAACAAAAATCAAACCCAAAAGCAATTTACCCCTTCCTCAACAGAAAAAAACCCCCAGATTGCGACACATCCATGAATAAAAACTAGAGAAATTCCCTCTGGTCACTAATGGGTCGGTTCGAAAGGACCCCAGGGGGATTCGGTAGGAAAAAGATTTTAAAAATTGATTACAAACAGTGAAAAGGACGAAACGTCTTTTTTCTCTTTCTCTCTCTCTCTGAGTAAATAATTAATGCGTACCCTGCAACAATCAGTCTTCCAAAAGCCCCGCTTCGAGAAGCGTGAAGAAACGGGTTTTCATCAATCGTAATCACGTTGGAATTCTCGTGATCGATCATTCCACGGGCGACGGAACATTGTTTTTTTTTGTAAAATCAAAAGTTGACTTGAATTTGATTTTAGAAAAATCAGAATGAGAAACACAGCGGAGCAAATGAAAATTTCTTAAACAGAATTAGCGCTTATCTGTGTCAGAAGCTTTCGTCTATTCTGTGCACCAAACAAAATAATTTGAAAAACTACCCATTGAAAAATAAAAATTTGCAAAATCTTTCCGCATCTTTGCATTATTTACGATGCCAATTATCTGAATTCTACATGTTCAGAACCCGCATTGGTATTTTCATCGCACACAATATCCAACAACAAAAATTCATCAAAATTATCTTCATTCAACACTGATCAACTTCTCCAGCAAGAATAATAAAAATTTTCAACTTACATTCGTAGAGGCATCAGCACCGAGCTTCAGCAAGGCCTGAACTGCGCACAAATGTCCTTTTTTGCACGCCAAATGCAATGCCGTGTCGCCTCTCGAGTCCCGAGCGTCCAAATCCAATCCGTGTTGCTTCATCATGAGTCCAATTGTTTGGACCAAACCGCCCTGCCAAAAAAAAAAAATGCGTCAAACATTCAACTTTGAAAAGAAGTCGACATTTCAGAAAAATCGACGGGCATTGAACCAATCAAGAATGCAACACAGTTAACGCGCATAAAAGGAAACAAAAATTATTCCTCGATTGAAAAAGACTCATATTTCAAACAAAATCACCCAACAGCGATGTGAAATAATATAAAAAGTTATTTTGCAACCAGTTTGTTTCTCAAAGAAACTCCCGCTAGATGATCAGAATACTCCAGGATTGACAAGCCCATAACTTTTCTGAAAAAAAACACCATCCAACAGCAATGTAAAATATTATTTCAAGTTATTTCGCAACAATTTTGTTTCAATGCTGAACAACTTAATTTAAAAGTAACTTTTTGAAGAATAACTCTTCTAAAAATTGGTGGAAAAAAAGGCGAACCACATGCGAGTGCATTAAAACGGCGGAAAAAATTTGTAACAGAAAATAAAGGGCCTTTCATTTCCATTCCAAAACAGAACCCACGCAATCACCTTTCTTTCGATTTCTTGAGAAACATGTCGCAACAATGTTTATTTCTTCCATCCTTTCTTTTGGTTTGTTACGTTTCATTCATATCGTTATAAAATATAATCGATACCATCTCTTAACCCGCAGCTGATCAGAAAAACTAGGACAAGTTCAGATAAGGAGCACAAAAAAAGAAAAAAAAACAACTCAACATCCACAAAAAAAAAACTAGCAAGACTTGACCAATGTAAAAATGCATCCATTTTTGTAAATAAAAAAGGGTAGAAAACCGTGATAGTACAGCTCAACTCCATGGAAATAAAGTTGAAAAAATGTGGGAATAAGTAACTGTTTGTTATCAAGAATATAGAACACCAAGTTTAAAATTGTTGCCTCGCACAAAAGATGTTTCGTACAACGAACACGCGTTTTTTTTTACAGAAAAAATTGCTCGAACAATTAACCCAAACAATCTCGGTTCCACATGAAAATGTTGCACAGTTAGAAAAAATAAAATAAACATAAAAATGATAACAACGAGAAACGAAGCTGAAAAAATACAGGTGGACTCCATACAAAGAAATTCATGGGACAAGAGAAAAATTATTGATAGAAAGAACTTTGATGTTGAGAACCCCATCATTTTCTTTCCTGTTTTTTTTTTTCAATAGTTGAAATTGTAGTTTCACTTCGGGAAAAAATTGCTCTTCAGCTTTGAAAATGATTTGTGAAGCAGGAAAAAATAACTACTAAAAATGGGGAGAGAACGCTTTGGGACCAATACAAATTCGTTATACAGAGAAAATCATTGTAAACAAGATCTTTGTAGAGAGAGATTCCTACTCTATTTTTTTATTTGCTAAATCTGTATTTTCATCTGAACTGACAAAACAAAATGAAGACTTCAGAATAGCGTTCTTTGGGGTATAAAGGGTAGTACAGTACAGCACAGTACTAGAAAACCTAATACTCTATCATTTCAAACCCAAATTATTACAAATAATCCGTCTAATCGTAGGTCAAGGATTTTTCTTCGTAGTTCCTGTGCAACGTTATTTCGCGTTGCGATCAATTTTTGCGCAGAACATTTTGCAAATTTTGTGTGGTAATCCCGTGACTCCCAGAGATTTTAGCATAAAACTTCAGTCTTCACAAATTCAAGACTCAGTGATGCGAAACTGTATTGAAAAAAAAAAAACGACTCTCACACTTATTATTTTCAAAGTCGTACCATTTTTATTCCCCAACTGGAACGCATTCATATTTGCTTCACGTCGTTTGCATAAAGGACAAGACCGTTTTCGTGCAAAAAAGTCGAAACAATCGCACACAACAATAATGCCAAAACGACGTACACCGTGGTGACATGTATAAAGGTTACCGGTGCCCCTTGTTTCCTTGGTGTCTCTCTTACCGCGACTTGAGGTGGTGGTCCCGTGGTTTCTTTTTATGCTCTGCTTCAGTATAGTAAAAAAAAATGAAGTTGGGGGGTGAAATAACAGCGGGAATACAAACAAAAACGAAAGAATCGATTACAGGTGAACGACGTTTGACTTTTCGCTTTGTTTATCTATTTTATATTTTTTATTTTATTTTTTTTGAGGAAGGAGACGAGTCCGGGTTGCGTTTGATCCTCGCCGCCCGACTCGTAAATTACCCGGGTAATCGCGTTCCCCGCGGGGTCGTCATTTTTCTTGCGTAAAAATCAATTCTCTTCTCTTTCGATTCTTTTTTATTGCATTCATCTTTCCCTTCCAATCCCTCGAGGAGCTCCATGTAATATTTTTTTCTTTCTTTCACAAATAATAATTATTCTTTTTACTTCTTCTTCTTCTTCTTCCCTTCCGCCTCGAACATCTCGTCCTTATCTCGAATCCACAGCCAAGACGCGGCTTCTCTATTCTTTTTTATTCCCTCTCTCGCATTTCTTTGTAGTTGTCCTCGCATATCGCGACAATGCGAGGAATCCTCGTTGTCAACAGCAAGAATTCGTGGGTAGCTTCTCTGGAATGTGAATTGGAATGAGGGGGAGAGAGAGAGAGAGAGAAAAAAAGGAGATGCTTTCACACTTGGAATTCCGATGTGGGCTCATCTTCACGCCGCGAGAGCCACGAAAAAAGTCCGACTGGTAAAATATTCCGTTCGACATGGTTATTTAAATTTGAAAGAAAGAAAAAAAACTCGTCACAATTTTGTTGAAGGTTTGAAGAGGGGTTTTTTTTTAATATTTCTATCGACAAAAGATACAGAGACTTTCCGTGTAGCAAATCAAATTAAATACGACATTACTACAGGGGGAAATAATCTGGAATTGTTTTCAGGTCGCGTTTTTTGCGTTTTGTCTCAGGACTTTATCGTGTCTTTATTTAATTCGAATACGGCATCGAAGAATGAATTAAATGATTAGGATTTTTTGCCTGTCTCGTATTTCGTGTTCCAGAATCTTTAAAAAAAATACAGATCCTGACCATGTCACTATTTTATTTAAAAAAAAAATAGAACAGGGTGAAAAAATCATCTGGAAATTTTCTCAGGTCTCGTATTTTGTGTACCAGGACCTTTTCATGCCTTTATTTGATTCAAATACTGCATGAAATCATGAATTGAATAATCTGGAATTGTCTGCAGGTCTTGCCTTTTGTGTTTTAAAACCTTAATAAAAATAAAGATCCTAACCGTGTCGCTTATAAATTTAAATACGACATCGGACCGGGAAAACAATCATCTGGAATTTGTTCCATAGGTCTCGTCTTTTGTGTCTCAGGACCTTGTCATTAATTTCTTTTTATTCAAATACGGCATTAAAGGGTGAATTGAATAATCTGGAATTTTCTGCGGGTTTCGTATTTTGTTTTTCAGAACCTTCGAAAAATAAATGATCCTGATCATGTCGGTATTTGATTAAAATAAGACATTCTATTAGTAAAAAGAAATCATCTTGAGTTGTTTTCAGGTCTCGTATTTCCTGTTGAAGGACCTTTTCAAGCCTTTATTTTATTCAAATACGACCTTCAAGCAAAGATTAAATGACCTGGAATTTTCTTCAGGTCTCGTATTTCATGTTCCAGAACCTCAAGAAAATATTGTACAGATCCTGATCATGTTGCTAATTTATTAAAATACGACATTTGAACAGTAAAAAAAATCATCTGGAATTGTTTTCAGTTATCGTGTCCCGGGACCTTCTCGTGCCAATTTATTTTATTAAAATACGGCATGAAAGAATTGATTAAATTCCTCAGATCTCTTATTTCGTGTTCCTGATTATGTCGTTATTTTATTAAAATAGGACATTCAAACAGTTTAAAAAAATAATCTGGAGTTGTTTTCAGGTCTCGTATTTTGTGTTCAACGACCTTTTCAAGCTTTTATTTCATTAAAATACGGCATAATAGCATGAATTAAATAATCTGGAATTTTCTTCAGACCTCGTATTTCGGGTTCCAGGATCTTCAAAACAAACGATCCTGATCATGTCCCTTTTTTTTTAAAGCGGCCTTAAAATATAAAAAAATCACTTACAACTTTCTTAGTTTTGGCCTGTGGGAAATTTTTTCATTCTTGGTGAATAAGGAAGAAAAAAAAAAGTACGGAGATTGTTTCCAAAAGTAATATTTCTTGAATGATTGTAGCAACCAATAAGTTCGGTCAAAGGTCATTCTCTATCGCCTTTCTCAAGACGGCAACATTTTTTTGGTCCCAAAACTCCCAAGGCCATTTCAAGGAAAATTAAGCCCGATTCATATACAAAATGCTTTCAAATTTTTTTTTCAAAATGTCAAGTTTCTGGGTCGAAAAAGTCAATTCCTTTTTACAAATAACCTCCACGTCTGGAAAATTGTGCTCAACTCGTCCGTCGTAATTTTTAAAAAACCATCCTGACGTTATTTGATCCACGTCAAAAATGATATGATAAATGGACGTTTTAGACATTCAATACCAGGAAATGACGGTTTGGACAGAAAATGGCGAATAAGGAATGTCAAAAGTCATGAAAACTGCAATCTGCATGAATATTTAGCTTTTTTTAATGGGTCCACTTTCTCCGGTCGATTTCCTATACGGGATTTACCATGGTTCCTGGAATGGGATAGTCTTGTAATTTCTTCAATTTTAGTCATTTCCTAATTAAAAATAAAATGTTTCTTGACTAACTAACAAAAGATACTGAGCCTTTTCGTGTTGCTACTCAATTTCAATACCACATTGAACCGGGAAAATACCCAAACGAAATTTTCTCAAGATCTCGGATTTTGTGTCCCAGAACCTTCAAAAAAACATGCAGAGCCTTGTCATGACCCTATTTTATTCAAATACGGCATAAAAATAAATCAAATAATTTGAATTTTTCTTCAGGTCTCGTATTTCGTGTCCAAGAACCTGAAAAACAAATGCAGAACCTGACCGTGCCGCTATTTTACTCAAATACAGCATTAAAAACATTACTTAAATAATCTGGAATTTTCTACAGGACTCTTATTTTGCGCCCCAGAACACAGGCATATAAAAAACTGTACATTGTATACATAAATTATTTATAAAGCCGTGTATATTCACAAATAGAAACCGCCTCATTAGTTCGAGGAAGTAAATTCCAAAGATAACAAAAAAAAACCAACAAAACAAAGAAATGTCTTCGGAACCACGGAAATAAACTCGGGTACTTGAGACGAGCTCGGTTCATTCATCCGATTAATTTTCCGTCATTAACCGCATTTTAATCGTCAGATAAATATGATAACTTTGTACAAGGCATTTTTTGCTTCCTCGGGGAAAGAAACCGGTGGAATTTTGATTACGCCTAGACGCACTAAAATATGTATATATATATATATATATATGGAGTCATTAAGACAAATTCTTGCTCCATTCATACGAGACCCGAGGGGATACCATAAAAAAAAGTCCCCTTCGTTCTTGTGATAATTAGAAAGGAAAACTGAGCTTGTACGATAAAACTTTTCCTCATTCTCAGCATCTCAAGGGAAAATACATTAAACATGGATTCAGACCCCTTCAGAAAAAAATCGTCTGATGAAAATATATATTTTTTTCAATAGACGCGAGTTTCGTCAGAACCAATGCGTCGAGTAGATGAGGAAAAAGTGAAGTTTTAAATACTGTACAAGAAATTAAACAGAAAACCGCAAGAAATGAAGGTTCCCACAACATTTCTAAACACAGGGGATAAATAGGCATAATTTCAACGAAAATGATGGGCAAGATTTTTCCTTTTTTTAGCCATATTAAGATTAACAACCCCCGACACTTTTCTATTGTCCATTTTTTTTTTCTTGAGGAAATGTGAAGTAGACGCTTTCTGGATTATAGATCTGACCAAATATAATTTGATCAGACGAATAATTTTTTTTAAATGTCTCGAATGTTTTGGTTATCGCCGAATTCCTCGAAAAATCGTTCGAGTTAACATTATTCTTGCAGTTTGCTGGAGTGAACCGTTATTAACTTCAATGAGTAACGTTTTCTCCTTAAGTTAACTTTTTTTATTCCTTTACGAGTACTTGGAGACTTGGGCTTTTAGTCAGTTAAAGTGCTAAAAGGGGAAGAAAAACTCCTGGCTTATTTTATTTCTCTGTGATACATACAAACTTACAAATAAATTTTCATTCGTCTTATTTTTTTCAAGTGTTAGATTTCGGGACACAGAAACGGGAGAAGATTCCAGCAAGTGCGCGAAGAGGTCAGATGAATTCCGCACCTCAGGAGCTAAAATAAATTCTCCAGCAAAGAAAGCGGTGGAAACAATCACACACACACACTATTTCGGGACACAGAAACGGGAGAAGATTCCAGCAAGTGCGCGAAGAGGTCAGATGAATTCCGCACCTCAGGAGCTAAAATAAATTCTCCAGCAAAGAAAGCGGTGGAAACAATCACACACACACACACAAAATGAAAGAGAGAAATATTTCCCGTGATTTAATAAGCAGGAGGCATTTTTCTCACCTGTCCGTATTTTGCAGCCATGTGCAGAAGCGATCGGTTCCCCAAGGACTTGGACTTGGAGCTCAGCAAGAGTAAATCTCTCGTCTCGGTGTTCTCCAGCAGCCACTTCACACAATTCAAGTGACCCAGCTTTAAAGAAAAGAAATAATAATAATAATAATAAGAAAAAGGAAAAAATATATATATATTAAAATCATCCGAGGTAGAAAATACGTGGACCTCGTGTTGAAGCTAGAAAAGTTGTTGAAAAAGAAAACAGGTTCGCGGTAAGTGCTTTGCTATGTTATGCTCAGATAATACTGCGATAAAACCTGGTTTCGGATTGCACCACATCTGTCAACCACATTTGGCCGATGGAAGAAACAAATCTTGACTGAAAAGAACTCGTGGAAAGCACCTACATTTTTCCCGCGATTAAATTTAAGATTTTCTCAACTATTTTCTGCAGTGAAAGTATAATAATTTCATTTTATTCTTCGTTTTCAATCGAATTTAGTTCAGCAGGGATTGTTGAAAAATAGTGCAAATACTTTAATGAAAAATACGCGTGAAAAATATGCTAATTTTAATAAGTTCGACATCGACTAGTTGTAGTTTATTTAGTATCGTCGTAAGTTGAGTTCAAGTTTTGTCACGTCATAATTTTAAAGACTTTTTGATGCGAAGTTATAAATTTTATTTTCGTATTTTATTAGTACCTTGATGCAACTACACGGTGCTGAAAAATGAATTGACCTACAAAATCTCAATCAACATAAGATATTCAGCTCCCTGGCTGAATTTTCGCGAATCATTGAAGACGCGCGGAACTAGGACGACTATGAGACACTCCAAATGAAAAGAGCTTATGCGAAATTCTCTATTCGAAGCTATCTTCTCAAATCAACGTGTCAGCCGTGTGACTGCAACGTGTCACATTAGATTGAAATTTCAAAAAAAGCACCGAATGAACTTTCGTGACTCAATTCTTCATTTTTTCAATCCCTAAGGAAAAATATAATTTACACAAATACCTTATTCAAAATTCGTACACATGACGAGAAAATTCGAACGTAAATCAAGTAATTCTTTCGCAAATCTCTCGACTTGAAAATTCACAAAAAAGGCAAGCCGACGGAGAAAGGCGGAGATCAAGAGCCAAAACGTTTGAAAATACCTTTCGCTTTTTAAAAAATGCTTCGCAAACCATGTCGAATTAAAAAAAAAAGTCTTGATCGTTGATGATACAAAGGGACAATTCGATATGCAGCAGACGACCACGTCTTTTGACAGAAAGTGTTACGCTTCAACGTTGAATTTATATTTTTGAATTTCTCTTCATCCGGGGAAATTTTTGGAAATTCCGAGATATTTCCGATTACCTTCTTTCCTCAAGAATATTCCAACAAAGTTTTCAACAATAAAAAAAAGCTCTACATAGCCTCGCCTTTAAAAATCGTTTCAAGTACCGTACGCACAAAAAATTCATTATTGCAAAATTAAATGATTTCTTTCGAGAAAGAATTTATGATAAAACAGCAGATCGAGTCACAAAACAACGCGTACTAAAGAAGCGCCAGCAAAAAGCGGCAGATGCAAAAAATAGCTTTTCGGATGGAATGATCAAATGGTTAGTTCGGAATATTTCCTGAGCACAAAAATCGATGAAAAATTGTATCCCGAAATGTTCGGAAAATATTTTCGTTATTAATGTTTAATCTGAACATTTAAAAACTAGTTATCAGCTAAGAATACATTGCACAATTGATTCAGGGCTGCAAAAAAAAATCCAGCAAACGAACACAGGTTTTCAAGACTAAGGGAGACTTTCAGTTATCAGTAATAAATAAATTCACCATCTTTTGAAAAAATCTTACCAGAAAATTAATCAACTTCTACTTTTATTTATCATCATTTTTTTTTAAATATTGATACACGTTCAGAAAAGTTCAGGCACACATCAAGCCTTTTTAATCATCTCACTGCAGCTTCAAGGACTCTGATTCAAAAAGTTGGGCACCCCAAAATTTTTTTCGAAAGTACTGCAAAGGTACTTGTCAACCATTCATCAGACGCATTCAAGTAACTATTCATAACCTCGGAAACATAAATATACACACATTCTGGCGAAACCTTGACTCGCAAAAACCAAGATTGATTAAAGTGCGAGAAATACATTTTTCCCGTGACAACACTTGATTTAGTGCCCAAAATTTCCCTGGAACGAATCTCCTTCTATTTTATTCATAAAAGAAACCCCAAATTTCGTGCAAACTCACTTAGTACCCAAAAATTTAAATAAATATGACAAAATCAAATAAATCAAGACATTTCTACAGATATCAATAGCTGATTATCACATCCCCCGTATTCACATGACAATTCGGGATAATTTTGAACAATCTATTTTTGAATTTAAAATGCAGAAAATTATTTTTATTCTTAAATGACTTCCTTCATTGAAAATTTAAAAAAATGTCGAAGCTTTCCTGTAAAAACTGGTGATTTCTTCATAACGGCACCAAATATAAAACTCAAAGGCACAAAAGCACTTGAACAGCTCTGATCTTTATACTGGACACAATCTACGTAAAAACCTCATATATCCTGTCTTAATAAATACTGCACTTTGAAATACAGCACACATGAGATTTATTGGGTACAAAAGGCCTCAATATAATTTGATGTTGAGTGCTTTTTGATATTGAATAAAAATGCATTATTCAGTCCGGGACAGGACCGGGATTCCATTTTGAAATTCCTAGTTTAAAGGGTTAAGATATATTTCAAATAAACACACAACTGATTAACAACTCAACAGGTTTGACTTGCAACTTGCAGGAGTAAATGAATAAGTTGGGAATAACACAGCTGATTAAACTGATCTAATGATCTTAAGAAATTCGCTCCTTATATATGACAGATATTAATTAACCTTCACAAGGTTTTACTTTACAGTCAGAGGCAAGAATAGTTATCCTCAAATATGCTGCGGTGCCGCAATTTTGAGGAGGGGGGAATATCTTTACTTCTGAGAATGTACGTTATTGTACCCGGCGTGCATGCTCAACAAGATTCAAAGTATTTCCTGTAGCTTTCTATCCTATTAAAAAAGACCCAGTGGCCTTAAAATTATATTTAAAAAAAAGCGTATTCTGCCTGCAATAGAAACCCTTCAACTAAACCTCTCTCAATTTATTGCACAAAAAAAAAAACGTGCCAGGACAAATGGTGGCAGATTTACATTCAAAAGCTGACGTAAAAAAGGGGTGGAACTACCGTTAGACCTGTCCTCACCGCGGAAGGAACAACCTCAGGTCGTTCCTTCACGTTTGCAAGTGCACCTCCATGAGCCACTGGAGCAAGGGCAAATGGTCTCGCAAACAAGCCACATGACACAAACAGTTTCCCGCTGAATCCCGCAAACTCCGAACCAATGCCGGCGGCAACCCGTTCAATTCACGACCCTGAGAACAGAAACAACAACATCAACAAAAGTGTCAAAAACATTGCAAAAACGACCAATAAGACGCATGTAAAATTACTGCCGGCAAAAAAAAGTTGCCGACTCATCGAACCGGGATTAAAATCAAACCATCAAACGAATTCAAGCGTTCGATAAAAACATTCAAAAATGTCAGTCCTTCCGAAATTTATTGCATATTTGGAATTCTTGACAACAGATTCAAAAATTCAAGTAATAAATGAATAATTTAAAAAAAATCAGTAATATGAAAAACACAAGTTGATGCTTCAAATGCTGCCGGAATTTTAAAACGTTTTAGGGATCCTCCAAACTATCGAGAGACTACAGTACAACAAAGTTATAAAAAGCTGCCATGTGTATTCAAGCTGTAGCTGATCAACATCAAATAAATCATAGCAGCATTCAACTCAAGTTCAAAACAGTGCAGTATTAAAATTTCTGAAAAACTACGCTTCAATATTTAAAATAAAAGCATAAAATAATCACCCTTGATGCAACTACACGGTACTAAAAAATGAATTGACATAAAAAATCTCAATCAACCTCCCTGGCTGAATATTCGCGAATCATGGAAGACGCGCGGAACTAGGACGACTATGAGACACTCCAAATGAAAAGAGCTTATGCGAAATTTTCTATTTTGAAGCTACAAATTAACGTGTCAGCCGTGTCACTGCAACATGTCACATTAGATTGAAATTTCAAAAAAAGCACCGAATGAACTTTCGTGACTCAATTTTCCATTTTTTCAATCCGTAAGGAAAAATATAATTTACACGAATACCTTATTTAAAATGCGTACACATGACGAAAAAATTCGAACGTAAATTAAGTAATTCTTTCGCAATTCTCTCGATTTAAAAATTCACAAAAAAGGCAAGCCGACGGAGAAAGGCGGAGATCAAGAGCCAAAACGTTTGAAAATACCTTTCGCTTTTAAAAAAAAATTCTTAGCAAACCATGTCGAATTTAAAAAAAAGTCTTGATCGTTGATGATACAAAGGGGCAATTCGATATGCACCAGACGACCACGTCTTTTAACAGAAAGTGTTACGCTTCAACGTTGAATTTATATTTTTGAATTTCTCTTCATCCGGGGAAATTTTTGGAAATTCCGAGATATTTCCGATTACCTTCTTTCCTCAAGAATATTCCAATAAAGTTTTCAACTATAAAAAAAAGCTCTACATAGCCTCGCCTTTAAAAAGTGTTTCAAGTACCGTACGCACAAAAAATTCATTACAGTATTGCAAAATTAAATGATTTCTTTCGAGAAAGAATTTATGATAAAACAGCAGATCGAGTCACAAAACAACGCGTACTAAAGAAGCGCCAGCAAAAAGCGGCAGATGCAAAAAATAGCTTTTCGGATGGAATGATCAAATGGTTAGTTCGGAATATTTCCTGAGCACAAAAATCGATGAAAAATTGTATCCCGAAATGTTCGGAAAATGTTTTCGTTATTGGTGTTTAATCTGAAAATTTCAAAACTAGTAATCAGCTAAGAATACATCGCACAATTGATTCAGGGCTACAACAAAAAAATCCAGCAAACGAACACAGGTTTTCAAGACTAAGGGAGACTTTCAGTGATCAGTAATAAATAAATTCAACATCTCTTGAAAAAAATCTCACCAGAAAATTAATCAACTTCTACTTTTATTTATCATCATTTTTTTTTTAAATATTGATACACGTTCAGAAAAGTTCAGGCACACTTCAAGCCTTTTTAATCATCTCACTGCAAGAAGTTCCTGAGACTAAGTTTTTCAACCCGTGGGGTTTTAAAAAAAGCTTTCATGACGTTTCCATGAACAGTTGGTAAGTAGTCTGCGTAAGTTCATTGATAAGTATTGGAGCCTTTGTATTTATATCACACATTCTGGCGAAACCTTGACTCGCAATTTGGTTCTAACTAATTTCACGCTCTTTATGTAAAAAGGGCACTGTTGTGAACTAAATCACGGGTTTTAAAGGGACCTTGCTTAGAGGAAGATAAAATAAGTATTTTCTTTGGGGTTTAAAGCACGTCACTCACTTAGTACCCAAAAATTTGAATAAATATGACAAAATCAAATAAATCAAGACATTTCTACAGATATCAATAACTGATTATCACATCCCCCGTATTCACATGAAAATTCGGGATAATTTTGAACAATCCATTTTTGAATTTAAAATGCTGAAAATTATTTTTATTCTTAAATGACTTCCTTCATTGAAAATTGAAAAAAATGTCGAAGCTTTCCTGTAAAAATTGGTGATTTCTTCATAACGGCACCAAATATAAAACTCAAAGGCACAAAAGCACTTGAACAGCTCTGATCTTTATACTGGACACAATCTACGTAAAAACCTCATATATCCTGTCTTAATAAATACTTTACTTTGAAATACAGCACACATGAGATTCATTGGGTACAAAAGGCCTCAATATAATTTGATGTTGAGTGCTTTTTGAGATTGAATAAAAATGCGTTATTCAGTCTGGGACAGGACCGGGATTCCATTTTGAAATTCCTAGTTTAAAGGGTTAAGATACATTTCAAATAAACACACATCTGATTAACAACTCAACAAGTTTGACTTGCAACTTGCAGGAGTAAATGAATAAGTTGGGAATAACACAGCTGATTAAACTGATCTAATGATCTTAAGAAATGCGCTCCTTATATATGACAGATATTAATTAACCTTCACAAGGTTTTACTTTACAGTCAGAGGCAAGAATAGTTATCCTCACATATGCTGCGGTGCCGCAATTTTGAGGAGGGGGGAATATCTTTACTTCTGAGAATGTACGTTATTGTACCCGGCGTGCATGCTCAACAAGATTCAAAGTATTTCCTGTAGCTTTCTATCCAATAAAAAAGACCCAGTGGCCTTAAAATTATATTTAAAAAAAGCGTATTCTGTCTGCAATAGAAACCCTTCAACTAAACCTCCCTCAATTCATTGCACAAAAAAAAAAAAACGTGCCAGGACAAATGGTGGCACTAAATGTAAGTTTTCGACTGCATTTTTTCCCCACCTTGATGGCAATCTGGACAGGAGTGGCGCCTTCCTTGTTGGAGTCCAGCAAGGAAGTGGTTTGCAAGTGCACCTCCATGAGCCACTGGAGCAGGGGCAAATGGTCTCGCAAACAAGCCACATGACACAAACAGTTTCCCGCTGAATCCCGCAAACTCCGAACCAATGCCGGCGGCAACCCGTTCAATTCACGACCCTGAGAACAGAAACAACATCAACAAAAGTGTCAAAAACATTGCAAAAACGACCAATAAGACGCATGCAAAATTACTGCCAGCAAAATTTTTTTTTAATTGCCGACTCATCGAACCGGGATTAAAATCAACCCAACCACGAATTCAAGCGTTCGATAAAAACATTCAAAAATGTCAGTCCTTCCGGAATTTATTGCATATTTGGAATTCTTGACAACAGATTCAAAAATTCAAGTAATAAATGAATAATTTTAAAAAATCAGTAATATGAAAAACACAAGTTGATGCTTCAAATGCTGCCGGAATTTTAAAACGTTTTAGGGATCCTCCAAACTATCGAGAGACTACAGTACAACAAAGTTATAAAAAGCTGCCATGTGGAGCACGGTTTTAAATTTTTCAAAAGTGTTTTCTTCAAATTTATTGAAGAAGGAGGCAAATAATCGGAGGAATCCTAGTAAAGTAAAGGTTCGATAAAATATCCAGAAATCGGCGCCTTTTAAACTTTTTCGCACGCGTTCGTTTTCTCTTTTATAAATTGAAAAAAACTTCAATCGCACGGATCCATGAAGGCATCTGTATCAAAGGATTTTACAAATCGTTAAAAAAAACGACTTTCATTGTTTCGCAAACTGAAGCGGAAGTTCACCGAGTTCATTCACCTCTGAACGCCAATTTTCAAAAATGTCAGCAAATTAGTCGCAATAAACTCCAATGTGAATCAAAGAAATATTCCACGAAAACAGAAAAAAATTCAGTTAATCCGTTTCGCAGAAATTCGCATCAAAATAAATTCTTGTTCCCACCATCAATTCAGAATTTGAATGTGAAACAACAAAAAAATCAAACGATCCGCTTCGCAGAACAGTACTGGCACGAAACCTCATAAAAAATTGTCACAGTCACGCAAATGAACCTCAGTTTTTCTCACCCTGGAAAAATCATGGAAGAAAGGCTTTCGAATCATTGAAGTGTGGAAATTTCGGAAGAACGGAATGTAAAAGGTGGAAAAAAAATGCATCCACCACATTCGGGGTGGTCCCATTTAAATTCAATAATAAAGGAATTAAATTAAGCTTTAATCTGATCTGGATTAGTAATGTTGTCATCGAATTTATCTGCGGGACATTAAAGCAACATTTTAATGTTTTTTTCACCTCTTCGCGTTAATATTTTTATAAAGGTCACGTTAAAAAATTGTTGATGCTCAAAAATGACAACTCATGCAATATTTGAAAACAATTGAATTCCGTCATCTGCAGAACCTTAATAATTTCTTTCCTAATTTCCTGTGATTTATCCAGTCTTGAATAATTGCACTTTTTATCACATGAAACTCCTTCAAATATATGTACGCTTTTCTGGAAATGAAAAGACCAACCCCCACCATTGATTACATTTTTAAAATATAACCTAACAATCCGATCAATTGACATTCTCTGCAGTAGTAATGATCACTTAAAATACTGCCGTTAAAAAAAAATTATTGCTGCGCCAAAATTTTACGGGTAACCCTGTGCATACGAAGTTAAAAAAAATATATATATTTGTGTGTGTGAGTCACGGACACCAGGGTTCATTACTTCTTTCCTCTCCGTCATTTCTTTTTCCCGTGGGGGGATTGCGCAAAAATACAAAACTGGAATTTCCACACGAGCATAAACTTCCCGTGACATAATAGCACTCTAAATGGTGCAAACGTGCGTGAATTACACGTCCCCCCACTTTTGTTCCTGAGAATTATTCCGATTTGAAATCTTTAAAACATAATGCTTTAAAGCCTCAGTTAAGTAGTTATTTTTTTTTCATGACCTTTTCGAAGATTTTAAAGAAGTTCAATTCTTTCGGTTAGTACTGCAGTGTCATCTTACAAGGCGAGTAAAACAAGCAAAAAAGATGTCGAGAACTCGTCTTGTTAATTACTGCAATTTTAATATGCCGCAAAAACTGAGTCAAAACGTCGAGCGAAAAAGTTTTCAAGCCGTTTATTGTCCATATTCTTGATGATTTTGAAACACGCAACATTTTGAATCTCAATACGAAAACTTAGCAAATCGGGATGAGTCTGTTTCAAATTTAGTTTATTCTACTGTTCATCGCGGATTTTTGAAAATCCTGGAAAATTTTCACGAACATTATAAAAGTAAGGAATTGTTCATTAATTTCACCACGTCCAATTGTGGAAACGAAGGCCCAAGGAGAATTTTCGGCAAATAAACTTCTTGTACGAGAAAATGCAGCCACACAAAATAATTTATTAAAAAAGAAACAAGCAAGGAGAACCGGAAAACTAAAGGTGCAATCCTCGGAGTGTAGCAACTGATGTAGGAGTGTGGGGCCAAAATAGGTCAATAAAAATCCCCCACGAGGTCAAGTAATTATACACCCATGTGAACCGAATGCAAACCCAGCAGGAGTTCTTCTGAGCTCATGACATTCTTCAAACTGCAATAAGAAAAAAAAATAATCCTCAAAAACGAACTCGAAATTGCTCAACAGAAAAAGCAATTTCCGTCCAGGCAAATATCAAGGCTCTTTTTTCACNATATTTGTGTGTGTGAGTCACGGACACCAGGGTTCATTACTTCTTTCCTCTCCGTCATTTCTTTTTCCCGTGGGGGGATTGCGCAAAAATACAAAACTGGAATTTCCACACGAGCATAAACTTCCCGTGACATAATAGCACTCTAAATGGTGCAAACGTGCGTGAATTACACGTCCCCCCACTTTTGTTCCTGAGAATTATTCCGATTTGAAATCTTATTTTGTATTACGAAATTTCGGAGTCAATTCATCAATAAAAAAAAAGTACTGGAAAAGCTTCTAAAATTTCTTCAAGTTAAGAAAGCCAATCATGACGTCACAGTAGAATGTTCCGCTCATTTTGTTATAAAAAAATGTCGAGAACTGGTCTTGTTAATTACTGCAATTTTAATATGCCGCAAAAACTGTGTCAAAACGTCGAGCGAAAAAGTTTTCAAGCCGTTTATTGTCCATATTCTTGATTAGTTTGAAACACGCAACATTTTGAATCTGAATACGAAAAATTAGCAAATCGGGATGAGTCTGTTTCAAATTTAGTTTATTTTACTGTTCATCGCAGATTTTTGAAAATCCAGGAAAATTTTCACGAACATCATATAAGTACGGAATTTTTCATTTAATTTCACCACGTCCAATTGTGGAAACGGAGGCCCAAGGAGAATTTTCGGCAAATAAACTTCTTGTACGAGAAAATGCAGCCACACAAAATAATTTATTAAAAAAGAAACAAGCAAGGAGAACCGGAAAACTAAAGGTGCAATCCTCGGAGTGTAGCAACTGATGTAGGAGTGTGGGGCCAAAATAGGTCAATAAAAATCCCCCACGAGGTCAAGTAATTATACACCCATGTGAACCGAATGCAAACCCAGCAGGAGTTCTTCTGAGCTCATGACATTCTTCAAACTGCAATAAGAAAAAAAAATAATCCTCAAAAACGAGCTCGAAATTGCTCAACAGAAAAAGCAATTTCCGTCCAGGCAAATATCAAGGCTCTTTTTTCACTGTTTCCAAAAATTGTATTTAGGCAGGCAGGGTTTTTTTTTATACTGTGCAGCATAATTCCCGCTCTTGCGATAAATTAAAATTATATAGGAGAGGAATGTGATTGAGAAATTTTGAAAATTGATACGGGACAACTTAGCTTGTTCAAAGCTTGTTTCAACGAGGACACAAATAAAAGAAATTTTGATTTGAAAAAAAAAAACGATCTGGCACGAGAAAGAACAATTCCTGTCAATTTACAAAGAAAAGAATCGGTCCTCCTCTGCCGAAAATATGAGAGAAAATTGATTGAAAATATCATTAATTGACACGGAAAAATAACAAATATTGTTCGAAGCTTGTTTTAACCAGGACACGAATTACATAATTTAAAAAAAAAACATTATAAACTTCTAAAATTCAAGTACGATGACGAAAGACTCCAGTCCGTTGACAAAAAAAATCTTTCCGCCTCTGCAAAAATTTCAATCGTCGCAAAAATTTCGAACACGAGCGACCGGTTGAGAAATAACATCAAACCATTTTTTTTTTTCAAAACAGTCGTCTCATCATTCTTGCTATTTCCAAGTTTCAACACAAATTTACAAAAACATTATATGCACCAGAGGGAATTCCGGAAATATTCTGATCCCAGAAATACCAATAATGAACCTCGTGAAAGCGGACCTTTATTTTATTTCTTTCCTTTTTCTCTCCCAAAAAAACTACGCGATCTCCGGAAATGCCGTGAGAACGAAATTTTCCACGCCGCAACAACGAAAGAGTTTCTTTTATTCTATATTTATTATATTATTTTCTATACCAAAAGAAAATACCAACAAGGAAACAGGAAGAAAAAAAACAAGGAAAATCCCAGACCCCTCGCCGTGGAGAAAGGCATCAATTCACGCGTTAACTAGGGTGGGAACGGGTTCACACAGTTTCCTACGGGCTCTGTCAATGTAATTTCGGCAAGAAAACAACCGTATCCATCAATTCCTTCTTCATTATGACACGCAAGATATCGCTTTATAAAAAAACAATAAATAAATAATATTTGAAGCTTTAAAAAAAATGGAAAAGACGCACTTATTCTAATTTTAACGCACCTTAACATCAATCGATGACATCCCCGGTATGTTTCTCATGAAATTCCCCGTTAAAAAAATTATAAGTAAAAGGGCAAAAATCTGAGCACCAGATAAAAATGCTAATGAATTTTTGCAATATCAGTTGATAAATTGGCGGCGTGATCGAAAACAAGTACATAAAACTGATCGTTTAAAACGCCCACGCGCGAAAGAGAATAATTATCAGGCGACTTCTCTAAGAGTAATTATTTTAAAACTTGAAAATTAAATAGCAGTACTGCAAAGCAGGTACTTCAACGGTCGACTGGACTCGAAATATAACTAAGGGAAACCTTCATTTCGAATACATCACAACGCACAGCGTTTGAGACTCTATTGTTTAAAAAAATTGCAATATTTTTTATTCCTATTTTTTCATTTTTGATTTTTTTTAAATATACATTACAACGTTTCGCTAAATTTCCATGATTTTTAAAAGCTATTGTAGCTTCCCATGTAAATTTGCTGCTAAGGTACTTCAGTAGCCCAATCAACAAATCAAGGTCATGTCTGCAGTGATGTAATCAAGAAAACTCTAAGAAATGATGTTTCAACGCTCAGAATCTTAATTTTGAACGTCCTTCACAAACACTCTTTCTTCTTATCAGTACTACATGGGGACGTCCTAAAGTTCAGGTAAAACCATGCGAAGATATCCAGAATGGATACTTTTTACACGGCAAAATATCATTAAGGATTCATCCAAATTGATTGCAACTGAATTATAAATTGCACAATTTTTGCAATTTTAAGCATGCTGGAACCGAGCATATTTTTTCTTTAAAAAACAAATGAAACTGCTAATTAATTCGTATGCAGACCCAAATTATAGCATAATCATAATTTACTCAAAAGAGCCTTTTTTACGAGCAGAATTCTCTATTTATCACTATTACTTTCAGGTGCTTTATTTGAATCCACGCGTGGGCTCATTGGAAATTTAAAAAGTTATTTTATTTAAAAAGTTGATTTATTTCAAGTGCACTTATTTATTCAAGTGATTATTGCTGGAAGGTATTTCCGGGATATTTATTGCGAAAATATTCATGAGGTTATGTTTCGTAAGCTGACAATTTTCGCTCGAAATTTCAAGCCGATTAAGTTTTATATTTCCATTCAAAATGATCAACTTTTGAACTTTCCCATGCATCGGGAAAATCGCGGAATAAAAATGAGTTACCGTTCTGTTCAGAAAAAAAATGTACAGTACTTCGAAAAAATTAACGTCAATTTCGCTTCAAGCTTTCTTTCAAACACGCCAGTCCTTGAAACAATCAAGATTTCGCGATTTTTTTGTGAATAGCCGATTGCTCAAGTCCCAATCAGGTACATGTCATAACTCCGTATATAGTTATGTTTTTGCATGAGTTCATCGAAAAAAATAAAAGGAAAGGAACCGAAACAAAAGGCAGAAAAAGGGTGATTGATGAAATGAATGCTGCCACGAGTTGGTTTGATTTATGACGTCCATCGGGTTCAGATAATCTGATTACGAAACTTCTCGCGGATAAAGTCATTTTTTCCGGAACGCTTTCTTTGTACACGGAAGAATTTCGAAATACAGGATTTGCCAAAGCAAAAAGAAATCAACCTCTTTTTTTCATTTCAAAAGCAATATATCACGTGAATATATGTACAAAAGGAAAATATATTCCGGCGGTCGGAAAAAAAAGAGCATTCGTTTCGCATTCATAAAAACCGTCTGTACTGCGAAGTAAAAGAAGGAATTCCTTTCAAATCCATCGCCATGTTCATCTGACATTTCTTCCGTCTTTTTATTTTTATTTTCTTTTTTGCTTCTCTTCACGTATTCAAAAATTCTTCGTGACATGCAAATGTAACAACTGTCGGATAAAATTCCTCCGTCGCCTTTTGTTCAGGACAACTCATCCGTCCCCGAGTTCATCTCGGATAAAAATGAATCACAATAAAAAGTAAAAAAAAAAAAAAACAATGGAAACATGTAAAAGATATCTCGTAACCAAGGAAATATTTCCGACCTTTTCGACAATCTAAAGCAGAGAGAGTTCTTCAATCCAAAAATGCAAGGAATTATTTTATTCGAGCACTTCAAAGTAAAGCGTTGCGCCTCTAAAAACGGAGAAAAATAACCCAGAAAAATAACGGGACTTAAAACTTTTTTCGCTCATTAAAAAAATCCTTCAAAATACAGCAGTTGAATCGATTAGAAAACCAAGCACAAAAAAAGACCAACTCGTGAGATATTTTGCACCGCCTTTCAACAAATGAACAAGGGAAGAAACCCACGATTTTCACATCAAAACCTTTTAACCAGCAAAAATCCATATTCATAACAGGTAAAAATGCCACAAAAATTTTCTTCACGAACACAAAAACTCAAGTACATCATAAAAATCCAACATCAACAAAAAAAAAACGCATGCAGGGTAAAACAGGATTTTCATTATCCGCGCTTTGATTAACCATGAATTCAATAAATTCCGCCTTTGGAAATTTCCAAAAGGCGAGAGAAAATTGAGAAATAATTTCCGACATCGTCTCATATTTTTCACAGCATCTTCTTCTCACGGAATTGGTTAATACTCGAACTTCTCATGATCCAGCAAAATTTAGCAATAAAGTCAAGTATTTTGAAATTCCAAATGAAATTCTTTCACGGATTAAAATTAATGAGCATAAAAGTTTTCAAAAAGCCGCTTTTCTCCTCCGTAAAATCCGTCAATCTTCGAAATTCAAGTGAAAAACATAATATTACGTCACGTCACTTTGGAACACCTTTTTTCCTCATTTAATTTTGACTAACCAAAAATGCTTCATTGACAAAAGTAAAAAAATAATGAAGTTCGACCGTTTTCCGCCGAATGAACCACGTGAAGAACAGCAAAATATTTCTGCATGAATAACTGCGAACGAGAGAAAAATATCGTACTCCTAAACCACAAGAAAGTCATCCTTGGGAGAAGACCAAAAAAGACTCTTTTAAAATCTAAAACGAAACAAACAAAAAAATGACACGACCTTCAAGAAAATACATACTATCACGAGGAAAAATCGAGAATGCAGTACTCGACCACACACACATATTCTCGAACAAACCCAAACAAGAAACTTTTAATTAAAGCAAACCTTGAACTCGTCGCCACATCATGAGCAAACCCGGCAATTTGAAACGAGGCACACGTGGTCAAGTAGATGGGAAGACAGCAAAAATTAAATAAAATAAAAAAATAAGATAGAATAAAAATTACAACGAACACGTTCTCACATCGTTCGGATGCTAAGATTACGTACAAAACGCTCACGAAAAATATTTTAAAGATGGTGGGGCTGTTGTAAAGAGAGATCATGAGAGAAATGGGTGCTCGTACAAAATCCCAAGACGCCAAAAGCTCGCCTGGAAGATGAAGATAATGAATCACCGTTTTTCCGAAAGCTCTTTCGGAAATTCACATGCTTTGCCACAATCTCAAGAACGATATCTTTCCCATTCCTAAATTGTTTCTTTATCACGGTGTTTTTGAACAGATGCATTTACGAAATTGATTTCATCCCTCAAAAATAAAATGTTATCGTTCCTACCCAGCTTAAAAGTGGATATGGAAAATCTTGAAATTATTCCATGAATTTTAAATGAACTTTAAAAAGTTTATTTAGTTGACAGCCGCATAAAAAGACAAGAAACGTTTGATGATTTTTTTGTGTGTGCTCAACAATGGTTTCCTGGGACGAAGAAAACCTTGAGGCTGATCCAAGATTTCCTTTTCATAATTGCGAAATTTAGCCCACAAGAATTGAAGCCTTTTTTCCTCCATTACTACCTTATTTTTGGTCATAATTTTTTTTAGCACCTGAAGATGGATTTCAAACGACAAATGGACCATATAAACAAAAACGCATGTTAAACAGGATTTCATGAAAATTTATTGAAATTAATTCTACCCAGTTGAATGCTTTTAGCAATATTGAAAAATAAAAATTGATAAGAAATATAAAGATAGTGTCTCTCAGACAATTTTTACATTAAACGATTTTATCTGCATAACGATAAAGAAGTCTACCAGACTCCAAGAAATATAGCTTTAAGAGAGATGTTCCTTAAAAAAGACAACAACGTCTCAGGTGAATATTAAGTATCTGTAAGCCTATGTGTTTATATTCGTAACTACTACAACCACTCTGAACTAGTCAAATTACGCTCAAATTCGGAAATCAATCAAATGGTTCACCTTCAGTCAATAAGGAATTATTTTTTCATCATAAACCAACTCTAAAATCCGCCATCTGTTGAATAGATCAAAAAGCTCAGGCTTCAATTTTTTGTTAAATCTCCAGAGGTTGTTCTTTCGTCATTCATCCTTCAATGTCGTGGAAATTCTTCCGAAATGAACTCATTTGAATATAATGTTCAAGTGAACTGAGATGTTTTCAACAGCTCCCAAAAACCAAAAACAAAAAAACTCGACCAGTCAAGAGAACCTCGACAAGGGTCGTGTCCAGCACAAAACCGCAAGCAGTTCGTGATTCTCCGCGCCCCTTTTCCTTGGCTTTTCCCGCGTTCATTTTTTTTTTTTTTTTTCAACATTGTACTTTTATAAAGTTTTTCTTTCATTTTCTTCTCACACTTCTTTCCTCCTCCTCCCAACAGCCACAATGTTGCGAAGGTACGACAACAACCATTGTGACATGCAAATGTAACAACTGTCGGATAAAATTCCTCCGTCGCCTTTTGTTCAGGACAACTCATCCGTCCCCGAGTTCATCTCGGATAAAAATGAATCACAATAAAAAGTAAAAAAAAAAAAAAAACAATGGAAACATGTAAAAGATACCTCGTAAGCAAAGAAATATTCCCTTCTTTTCGACCATCTAAAGCAGAGAGATTTCTTCAATCCAAAAACGCAAGGAATTATTGTATTCGAGCACTTCAAAATAAAGCGTTTCGCCTCTAAAAACGGAGAAAAATAACCCAGAAAAATAACGGGACTTGACAATTTTTTCGCTCATTAAAAAAACCCTTCAAAATAAAGCAGTTAAAT